ATTTGAGAGCACATTTGTCTTAGGAAATAATTTTTGTTTTAAAATTATTTCATTGACTCTTTTTTACTAAGTAACTAACTAATGCCATGCTTCTGTGAGCTTTTGGTATAGCCTGTATTGCCATTTGTTTTTTAATTTGACAGTCTCTCTCTCTCTAAGCTTAAATACAAGATCAAGGAGAAATGGTCATCATTAAACCGTTGTATTATTGAAGTATTCTTAGCTATTATCATAGTGAAGTGAGGGGAAAAAGCATTTTGCTATTGAAATTATATAATGATCTGCCAATAATGGAAATGTAGAGGATATTTAATTGGTTGGTATAATTTCATAAGCCAAATGGTGTTCCTTGGAGAGTCAAAGACATTCTGCTTATAAGTCTAAACTAGAGGGATTTTCTTTTAATTTTGCTTCTAATTCTTTGTAGTGCTGTGAATTGTTTCTTTTACCAGAAATGCTTATTCCACTGAAGTGACTTGAAAAATGATTTCTTGTGCTTTGGGTGCAGGTTGATGTTGAAAAAATAAAAATAAAAAATAAAACAAAACACAGTTTACCATACCAGTGTCTGCATTATAGGCTACTAGATACTAGACTCCAGGAAGTTACATAGGTTTCCTCCGGTCAGCTGCTGTACCCCTGTGCCTTACTGGTCCTTTGTAGACTTGCCTTAATGGTTTGTACAAAAGACTGGGAGGGGGGGAAGCTGCCATGGCCTGGTGAACCTAATGAAAATGCCTTCTGAGGCGCAATGCAAAGCGAGCATTTGTTCTGTACTCTCAGAGCCCGGTTCTGCCCTCTGAGGCGATTTCATAATTGTCCAGTTCATGTCATCTTTCAGATTTTATAATCTGCTCTCGATACTTAGTTTGAACCACTAGGTTGTGAAATATATTGGTTTCCTGCCATCGTTACTGTAAAATCTTCCTGTTCATGAACTATGGATTTCTCCTTTAATTTTTTTTAATTGTTGAAGATTGTCTTTGAGTGTAAGATCTTCCTTATCAGAAAAGGAGAGTTTGTAATATTCAAAAAAAATAAAGTCCTCATTCAATAAAAGTTGAAATCTTCTTTTAAAAGTGTGCTTTCTCACTGATGTGGGAGGAGGGAAAAGTGAGACAGGGTGATGGTAATAGGCCTGATCTTGACTTTTATTTATTGCTTTTGCTTTTGAAGGTGGTTGCAAACCAAGTCTTTTTTTCTTCTTTTCAAATTTGTACATGAACTTGATTAGCTTAAGCTTTTATGTTTATTAAAATTATATTTGAAATGGGAACTTTACCCTCTACTTTATGCTACACTTTATTTTAAACTTTCCTATAGAAGGTGAACGAGGGGACAGCAAGTACCACTTTCAGATTTCTTTAAGTTCACCTTTAACTGTGTATTCAGGTTTTTTTTATTAATCTTGATTTGAAGTTTTATAAATGAAGCCGCATACTTCATTTCATATGGATAGGAACTACATTTCTAACAAGCTGCTGAGTAACTGTGTAGTTTTTCTTTTTTTCCTTTAACCACTGCTTTTCTCCGCCCAGAGAATTGGTGCTTTGCTAGCGGTGAAACAGAACAGAGTAGAAGATTTTTCTGGAGTGAACCATCAGTCTTATTGAAAATTTAGATGTGACATGTTTATATTGAAAAACACAACCGTACATTGTATCATGAGGTTTTTAATGAGGAACTTGGATTGATTGGCTTCAGGCCCCATACTCTTTCCCTTCAGGTACTTTGTATTTTTCTGCTGTTGGAGAAACTGGGGGAAAGTTGCCAACATGAACCACTGCGAGGGCTACACAGGATTCCATGCAGTGTGATCTGCACAGATATGGTTGTGTGCACAGAGTGAGAATGGGGAGAATGGGAACTGGCTTTTGAAGGAGTAAGTCCTGAGCCAAGAGCTGAGTGCCAGAGTACAACTGGGAATTCATCCAAGTGAAGAATGGCAGGGAGAGGGTGAGGAAGTAGGGCAGGGAACTGGGGGTAACGAGGTGCTGAGAATTCCCGCTGTGCCGGGAGTTACGGTGAGAGATGCGGGCAGTTGGGTGGACAGGGCTGGATCCTGGCATGCTGAAGAGTTGGGATTTTTTTAAAAACAAAATATCTTTTATTATGAATTACACAAAATCAAACTCCAAACAAGCACTGCTTATAAATTCCATTGATATTATATTTTAAAGTAACACTCAGTGTCTTTAAATCTGAGTTAGTATAATATCATTTATTTTTAATAATACCGAAAACAGCCACATTAATATTTGATAGAATTTTGATGTCTGATAACCCCTGCCTATCGGACAGCTTCCAATTCAAATATCATACAGCTTTTATTCATGAAAGAAAAAAAATAGTTTATTCAAGTTCACAAAACAAGTTTGAGGAGCTATATTGGGTTTGAATTGAAGAAAAAGAACCTGTTAAAAAAAAGGAAATAAAATTTTCATTTGCTGGAAGCTGAAATCAGTGTATACCTTCTAATCAAAGATCTGTCCCAGGTAGCATTTTCAAATTTTAAAAAGTGTACCAGGCCAGATCCTTAACTGCCTTCACTGCTTTTGCTTTGCTTTCCTCTTTCCTTTCTCTCGATTGCCTTCAGCGTTTTTCTCTGCCTCTGGTTCATCTGTATGGGGTACTGTCCATGCTGGCCTAGAAAATTCTTTCTGTTCTTCTTAATATCAGACTCATTTTTTATGTCATCTTTTTTATCTTTCACCACACACTAGGTTTTCTCTTGAAAATGTTTGGGGACGACCACAGTTGCTATCTCTTGAACATCTTTCATGGGAACATCAGTGTCGCTCTGGCTGGTATGGCTCAGTTGGTAGTGCTTCATTCCCTGCACCAAGAGGTGGTTGGTTCGGTTCCCGGTCAGGGCATATGCCCACGTTGCAGGCTTTATTCGTAGTAGGGGTGAGCGAAAGGCAGCCGATGGATGTACAGCTCTCACATCAATGTTTGTTTCTCTCTCTCTCACCCTCCTCCTCCTCCTCTCTTAAAAAAAATCAATGAAAAAATATTAAAAAACAAACAAACATCGGAGTCTACTTTAAGAATACTTAACAACAAAAAAGAATTCTTTCAAGTCTGCTTAGCTCCTTTGGGGCATTCTATTTTCTCTTTTCAGCATGCATTTCCTTTCCCACTTATTCTACAAGCTTTTATTTATTTATCTATTTATTTATTTTTACATATTAAAGGAAGGTTTATTCCCCAGTAATCTATTACGGATCTATAAGCTTTTAGATGTATTTTATCTGAAAAGGTTCACCGCTCACAGCCCACACGTTCTCATCCATGAGTTGGGATTTTATCGTAAGTGTTGGGAAGCTACCAAATGGTTGTCTACAGGGAGATTGCATCGTTAGATTCATTTAGAAATAGCCGAAGACTGGGCTGGAGACTTTTCAGAAGGAGGTAAGTTGAGAGCCATTGCTCCAGTTAGGAAGTTGCAGGGTGAACTAAGTGCGAAACCGCTCTTTCCCAACAAGGGCAGGGAGAAAGGAGTCTCCGGTAGATTATTTTCAGGAAGAAAACAGATCAGCTTGCAGTCAGGTAAACCCTGTGTATAACAGTCCACAAATCGATGAAGGCTTTTGCTTGGATCAAGGTTGGAAAGTAAAGCAGACACTTGCGGGGCCCACCCCACAGTTTCTGGTTTGGGAGGTGTGCCGGGGAGCCTGATCATTCGCATTTCTGTAGTTCCCAAGTTCCCAGGTGACGCGGATTCTGCTGGATCAGCACTCACCTTTGGGAATCATTAGTCTGCAACAGGAATTTGCAAGCTTTTGAAGGGCCAGATAGATGGTAAATAGTTTAGATTTTGTGGGCACTTTTTTTTTTTTTTTTTTTTGCAACTATGCAGAAAAGCAGCCATGGACAACATGCAAAAGAATGGGTGTGATTGTGTTCCGATAAAACTTTACAAAAACAGGCAGTGGGCTGGGTTTGGCCCTGGCCATAGTTTGCCCACCCCTAATCTAGAAATAATCACAGTGCATCTGAGCTGGGAGACAGCTGTGTGCCAGATGCAGGGGATTCAGTGGTAAGTGACAGATCCCTGACCTTGGGAAATTCACAGAATTGTGGGGGAGACACAGCCGTTAGACAATACTGTGATCTTTAGGTTCCCCGAAGGCTAAACTCATCCTCCAGCTGCAAAGTTAGTAATATTTCACCCACAGGGAAGGGAGTTCAGAGTCTAATTTTTTCTCATCTAAACAGCTAGATAATTGGAATTGTTGCTGATACTGGTAAATTTTATCTTTTTCAGTATTGTTTTTCTCTGGAATTGTTTGATATGTAAAGGTACTACTTAAAATGTATTTTAACGTTTAAGGGGCACTTGCATTTTCCCCCTCAAAACCCCTCCTTTCTCTACCACAACCCCAAATAAAGAGCTCTTGAGCCCTGGCTGGGTGGCTCGGTTGGGTGTAGCATCTTCCCGTACACCGAAAGGTGTGGTCAGTTCCCCGGTCGGGGCGAGTGTGAGGCAGCCAATCAATGTTTTTCTCTATCATCGATGTTTCTTTCTTCCTCACTCTCTCAAAATCAATAAAAACATATCCTCAGTGAGGATTTTTTTAAAAAAGAAAGAACTCTTGAGTCTGAGGAAAGAGAAATTGCAGTTAAAATTTTCTTTTTGTAGCATTTACCCATTACAAACTAGGTTGTGTGCTTTGTGGGTTTTTCCTTCTAAGTATTTATATGTATGTCTGTCTTTTTATCATTGTTTTCTGCCTCTATCCTCCCTCCCTCCCTCCCTCCCTCCCTCCCTCCCTCTCTCTCTCTCTCTCTTAATTCTTCCAGAATTTATTAGCCTTATATTGCAGTATAAACTTTTGTCACATTTCACCTCTCTCTCTCTCTCTCTCTCTCTCTCTCTCTCTCTCTCTCTCTCTCTCTCTCTCTCTCTGCTATCTTTACTTTTCCCAATATTCCTTCCTGTTTCCTTCTCACTTATCTCCTCTCTCCTACATGTTGTCTCCTTTCTCTTCCTTCAGGACTATGAGAGTAAATTGCAGGCCTTGCAGAAGCAGGTGGAGACTCGATCCCTGGCTGCAGAAACAACTGAAGAGGAAGAAGAGGAAGAAGAAGGTGAAATCTAGAGACTGACACTTTCCTGTGTATATCTTTTGGATCTAATTATCAAATTAGTCCTTTACCTGCGATCAAAGCTGGTTTGGACCATAGTTGACCATACCATTTGTTGACATTTCACTGTGCCAAATTGAAGATGATTTTTTAAAGATGCTCAATGCTGAGAATCCAAGCTGTAGTCTATAAAATGGGGGTGGGACTATGATCCTTAGAACACAAGATTTCTGAGTAGTTTTCATATAAACCTCTGGGGCAGTGTACTTCTGTCCGATATTACTGAACATGTGAAGTTCATATATATTGCAGATAAACAGAGTTTAATCTTTGTTAATATGTTCTGTTCTATTTCCTGGTTTATGATTTATGTCAGGGATTTTCCATTGAGGACTTAGGAACATATCAATGTACACTAAATGTACCTCTCTTAATTCTTCCAGAATTTATTAGCCTTATATTGCAGTATAAACTTTTGTCACATTTCACTTCTCTACTCAGCCTCTCAGTGATTTCAGGTTCCAAATGAACTTTGAAGCAACTCTTAATTTATGTGCTAAATTCTTTGTTTTTAAATACCTAGGTAAAACACAAGACCATTTCCCCTTGTACCAGAAAGAACAATAGATGTATATGACATTGTACAATATACTAAGGTGTTTTTTTTTTTATATTATAATCTACACATTAGAGATATATCTTTTTTAAAAAAGAAAGAAAACTATTTCTTTGATATGTTGTTTTAAAATAAACAGTAGGATTTTTAGAAGTTTTCTGAAATGTATATGCTGCTGTCAATATCAACAGAATCTAGTAAGCTTTACCAAAAGTAAGAAAACAAAAGCAGCTGGCTGGAGGAAAGCTGGAAAATACTGTCCTTGATAGAAGTGACGAGTAGAGAGGATATAGTTTCTACCTGGTTATGAGGTCACCATAAATACCCTGCCTTTGCTCTTTCAGTTCCTTGGACACAACATGAATTTGAGCTGGCCCAGTGGGCCTTCCGAAAGTGGAAGTCTCACCAGTTTACTTCTTTAAGGGACTTACTCTGGGGCAATGCTGTGTACCTGAAGGAGGCCAATGCCATCGGCGTGGAACTGAAGAAGAAGGTACGGAGGGAGTGAGGCAGCCGACACTGAGCCTGTGGGTTCATGGTGCTCATCTTGAAATAGCCTTTCTCTGGGTGAACTCAGTTGCTTTTGGCTTTGAAACAGATTTATATGTGACTTTATTTAATGTACGTGCCCGGAACAGAATAGGTACTAATTATATTATTACATGAAATTTTAAAAACAGCACATTCTCTAGCTTACGGTATTTTATAAATAATGAGACTGTATTCCTGCCAAGAGCTAGAGAAGCATGTTAGTAGAAATATGCTTCTCCTGGGTTTCTGAAATTTTCAATTTTCTTTTAGTTTTTACCATTAAGTCTGCACCTAAGTCCCATGAGCCCCCTCTTATTCTAGGGCCTCAGAGGCAGTTTTGTGGATTGGACAAGCGCATGTGCTCTGCACCCAGACAGCTAGGTTCCAGTCCCAGCTCTCCTGGTTGTGTGGATACTAACAGCCCTGACGTTCATTCCCTCAACTACATGTTCCCTTGGCAACAATGCCTGCCCCCCAGGGGATGTGAGGATGGGAAAGTGTATGACCTACTCTTCAGCAGTGTCCTGACTGCTAAGATTGCCGGCAGGCAAGAGGGGGCAATATTGTGGAGTAGGTAAGAACACAGACTGCCTGGCTCTGGGCAAATTCATGTCGTCTCCTGCGGCTATATTCTAGTTTGAAGGAAGGGAATAAGGAGTCTTCATTCATAACCTCAGCCATCCATCTCATTGTGTAATTGTTTACTAATTACTCCTTCCTTCAAGTAGACTAAAGGAAGGCAGGGGCTATGTCTTTCTTTTCTTACTGCTGTACGGTAGCATTTAATTGAATATTTATTGGTGAAAATAAGATGGGAATGAAGATAAAGACATGGTGCATGCAAAGCACTAACCATGTAGTAAACACTTTTAAGAGTTATAGTTGTAATCCTCTGAATTTAAAATTGAAAAGTGTTACATGTTCCTCTTGACCCATTAGTGAGAGACTAGATAGAGATGCATTCTTGGGTCTTTTGGATAAGTTCTACAAAAGTCTTTATTCAGTCAACCAAATTACATATTGCGAATTTAATTTGTGCAAAAACACTGCCAGGAGAGAAAAGAAAATCTTAAAATAGCTTAATTTGACATTAGGATTATTGTCTAGGGTGAGTTTATAACTGGCCAGTTTTTGTGTTTGTGGTGTGTTTTTTTTTGTTTTTTTTTGTTTTTGTGTGTGTGTGTATGTGTGCGTGTGTGTGTTATCAGTTGATCACAAGCTATGTACTGTTCAGTACATAATATATATTGTTTTTTATTTATATATTTTTAATTGAGAGAGGAAAGGAGAGAGAGATAGAAACATCTATCATCTGCCTCCTGCACACCCCCTCCTAGGAATCAAGCCTGAAACCTGGGCATGTGCCCTGAGCAGGAATTTAACTGTGGCCTACCGGTTCATGGGTCAATGCTTAACACTGAGCCATGCTGGCCGGCGATATGTGTTTGACTTCTTTTCCATTGGGCATGATTATATCACCTCATCTCTGACTCTTGCATGCTAAAAACAAAGGCTGCTGCTTGTTTCCATGTAGGTGCAGTTCCAATTTGTGCTGCTGACTGACACATTGTACTCCCCTTTACCTCCGGAATTACTTCCCACTGACACGGAAAAAACTCATGAAGATCGGCCTTTCCCTCGGACAGTGGTGGCAGTAGAAGTCCAGGATTTGAAGAATGGCGCAACACATTATTGGTCGTTGGAGAAACTCAAGTATGAAAACGTTATTCATAAAGCTAGTTGTTTTATTTAGGAAATAGTAATGGGCTCAAGTGGGCTCCTTCAGACTCTCTTCTCTGAGATGCTGCTATTGCTTCCTTTTTTGTACCTCTAAATGCTGTCACTGGCCAGTGATGTTACTCTTCATTCATTTTCTTCCACTCAGCAAACACCTTTGTCATTTGTAGATGGGATTTAGATGTATACTCTTATATTTTATGGTACCTATTTATGTCTTGGATCTAGTAAGTATTCATCTTCTCTGCCCTGGAGCTCAGGTTGACCAGTAATAAACAGGAAAGTTATAGCTTTCTCAGCATTGAGTATGATGAGGTATTTTTCACCATTTCAGAGTATTTGAGATGTCATACAGCATTGAAAAACATTTCTCTGCCGAAACCGGTTTAGCTCAGTGGATAGAGCGTCAGCCTGCGGACTGAAAGGTCCCGGGTTCAATTCTGGTCAAGGGCATGTACCTTGGTTGCGGGCACATCCCCAGGAGGGGGTGTGCAGGAGGCAGCTGATCGATGATTCTCTTTCATCATCAATGTTTCTAACTCTCTATCCCTCTCTCTTCCTCTCTGTAAAAAATCAATAAAATATATTAAAAAAAACAAAAACATTTCTCCTAGGACTCGGTGGAGGTCAGGTGGCCATTCTTTTTTTTTTTTTTTTTTTTTTTTTTTTTTTTTTAATTTATTTATTTATTTTTTTTACATATTTTAATGATTTTTTTTTGCCCCCTTCCCTCCCTCCCCCATATCCCCTCCCTCCCCATAGTTTTATGTCCATTGGTTGTACTTATATGCATGTATGCAAGTCCTTCAGTTGATCTATTATCTCCCCCAGATCCTCCTCCCCTCCCCGCTGTAATTTGACAATCTGCTTGTTGCTTTACTGTCTCTATATCTATCTTTTGGTTCATCAGTTTATAATGCTCTTTATTATCCACAAATGAGTGAGGTCATGTGGTGTTTCTCTTTCATTGATTGGCTTATTTCACTCAGCATGATGTTCTCCAATTCCATCCAGGTTGCTGCAAATGATGAGAATTCCTTCTTCTTTATGGCAGCATAGTATTCCATTGTGTAGATGTACCATAGTTTTTTGATCCAATCATCTGCTGACGGGCACCTAGGCTGTTTCCAAATTCTGGCTATTGTAGATTGTGCTGCTATGAACATAGGTGGCCATTCTTGATTTTTGATGGCTTATCTCTAGTCTCTGACACTTTGGTTACTGTTTTGGTTTCTGTGCTTCTGGCCTTTCATTTTGTTTAATATCATTAAATAGTGGGAGGGTTTTTTAAATTTTTTGCATGGAACCTACTTCCAAAGTGAAACTATTTGATGCCATCTGTGGTATTAACCCGGTGCTCTTTATGTTTGCTGCGTAGGCAGAGGCTGGACTTGATGCGAGAGATGTACGACAGGGCAGGTGAGATGGCCTCCAGCGCCCAAGACGAGAGCGAAACCGCCATGACGGGCAGCGACCCGTTTTATGATCGGTTCCATTGGTTCAGACTTGTCGGCAGGTGAGCGGTGGTTTTACTTGATGTCTTCCTTTTAAGTGATGGATTATTTTATTTTACTTGTATAAAACTTCAGCATGTTTTAGAGAAAGTTAAAAGCAAAAGAGTATAAAACAGCCCCATTTAGAATTGATACACTCATACACAGCCACTCTGTGTATGTATCTTTGGTATATTTCCCTTCAGATTTTTTTCTCAACATGTATGTTTGTGTAAGTCTCAGACTTTCAAACCAAGTAATTGACAGTCTTCCCAGACTCTCTGCTCATTCACAAAATAACTTACAGTTGAACAAGACTGATTTAAAAGAAAAAGACAACCTGTATCTGTATCCCACAGTTTAATATTGTAATGTGACTGATAAATTAACATACTGCACCCTCTCCATGAGCTGAAATGTCCTCACTTTTTAAAAAAAAAGCAATTCATCTCACTGTAGTATTTGCCAACGGTGAATTGGTTGCACATCTTAGTAGTCCCCTTGTACCTCTTTATCATATACATACTTTCAACGTTTAAGGGAAACAAATAGTGCCCTGTGAGTCCATATTGAGTCAAGTTCTTCAAGGTTTAGAATTTAAAAAGCAGAGAAATATAAGTTTTGAACTTAATGATTTCAGAATTTAAATTGTTTTCGATTGCAAAACCTTTCTGATAGTTTTAAAGGACCTTGATGAAAAGGAAGAGCTGCAGTCATCGGATTTTGAAAAAGATGAGGTCTTTTCTACTCCACTCTGATAGTGGACTGTTTTTGAAGAGACCAATTGGCCAAATGTTTACCCATGCAAGGCACATCCTTGCTTTGCTATATACAGTTCATCCATTTTGTTTTCTGCTCCCAGATGACATCGGAATTGGAATAAAAATTTAGGCCTTATTATTCTGCCTAATATTGAGTGGCTCTTTTGAGGCCTGTTTGCTGAACTTTTGTGTAACCGGAGAATAAAAACGTTCCAGAGCACAGTATTGACCTGGGATATTCTACTCATGTGTTTCCTTTGCTTTCTTATTCTAAGGATCAGTCCTTGTTCCCTTTCACCTGAGCCAGATGACTTATGCCTATTTTATTCTTTTGCTTTTCCACTTGCTTTTATTGTGTTGATTCCTCAGCGGGTTCTGTGCCGTTGGCACCTGTAGCTTCCTATTTAACCAACTATTCCTCTCTCCTTGGCTGTGTCAATCCGCGTCTTACCTGGTGTCTAGCTCCCCCATTTTCCATGGCTGTGTGAATGAGCGCCTTGCCGACCGCACACCCTCCCCCACTTTTTCCACGGCTGATTCCGACATCACTGAGCTGGCTGACGAGCAGCAAGATGAGATGGAGGATTTTGATGATGAGGCGTTCGTGGATGACACCGGCTCTGACGCAGGGACGGAGGAGGGATCAGATCTCTTCAGTGACGGGCATGACCCGTTTTACGACCGATCCCCATGGTTCATTTTAGTGGGAAGGTTGGTGAGGTTACTGTGAGAAAGGCAAAAAGGGACCAGCTCTTGCTCTAAAGAGGCTCCTTGTGCAATTTTGGATGACCTTGCTTTAGCCAGTTCAATTCATGACATACTGATCTGGCTAGTGTTTGTAAGGTACTGGGTCTACTTGGTGCAGCAGGCCACATAAGGCCCAAGAAATCATTTGATCTGGCCTTGCCAAGGCATTAGGGGTGGGTTAATAAATGTTTGACCGAAGATAGCAGGCTAATTTGGTAATTTTGAATGGCCCACAAATGATGGTATAAATATCCAAATGGCCCTTGGGAGGAGAAAGAGTCCCCATCTCTGATCTCCCTGGAGGACCCCTCATTTTCCCTTGCCCAGTAATATTGTGAAGGAGGAAATCCCAGAGGAGGAAGTGATTAAAGCCAGGTTGCAGGGTTGAAGAATGATACTGTGATCTAGTAATGTTTCCTTTTTTGTAGGAATGCAAGTAAGGAAGCATAGGTGACAACTTGAGAAAGAGAGCAGAGAAATCCAACATTAGGCTAACTGACTTGTGGCATCAGCAGGAATCAAGAGGACAAAAATGAAACAGGAGTAGTACTAGGTTCTACTTTTTGCTTTGTCTGTGAGTCCAAAAAGGAATCAAGAACACGACATTTCCTTTCATCTAAAACAGATGCCTTTCTTTGGCCAGTTTCACTGAGCCTATCTATAGATCTTTGGCTTCTGCCAAACTTTCACCTATAGGCTTTGTGATGACGAATCTCATAAAATTATCTGTTGGCACCATCAACAATGGATACTTGTTCACCAGTACATGAGACTGCTTTGTGTTAAGTTTAGTTCACCAAACTGAGGCATTGTCTCTGGCTCAATCTGTCCGCGATGCAGAGCCCTTGCTCTTGCTCCTAATACTGGTGTCTTTGTCTCTATCCCGTCTTCATGCTGAAGTAATTTTAATCACAAACTCAACAGAGCAGCACACACTGGATTAGCCAAAAAGCATGTCCAGGTTTTAAGGTATAAGTTTAACTTTAATGATTGATTAGAACCACGTATTGTTAAACCCTTTCAGAATAAGGGAATTATGTCAGTGTTAAATGGATAAGCACCAGTTACCTACAAATGAGTCTCCTGACCCAATAGAAACATAAGGTTCTATCATTTAGTTCATAGTGTGGCATTGGTTGGTTGGTGAGAGCTAAATAAATAGCATAGGAGATAATCCCTATTATGGAAAGAGGGAAAATGAAAGCTTTCTGATGGAAATGAAAGTCTGAATTATGACTGTTGGTAGTCTCAGGGGTTAACAGTACTGAGGAGACATTTACTCAGTTTACCCAGGAATAAAGGGATTATGTAGTCATGAATCTTGTTTTCTACTGGCGAATTGCCAGGAATAGATGCTAAGAATTTCAGAGAAGCCCTTTTATTTTTTTAAATATATTTTATTGATTTTGTACAGAGAGGAAGGGAGAGAGATAGAGAGAAACATCGATGAGAGAGAGTCATCGATCAGCTGCCTCTTGCACACCCCCTACTGGGGATATGCCCGCAACCAAGGTACATGCCCGTGACCGGAATCGAACCCTGGACCCTTCAGTCCCCAAGCCAATGCTCTATCCATTGAGCCAAACCAGTTTCAGCTGTTTTACGACTGAGAAAGGCCATTCTGTGTACCAATAATGGGACCAGGATGCTTTCTGTACTTTATGGCTACATGTGTCCTTCAACACATTTTCCTCCTCCACTAAGAGGGTCAGAAGTTCGGACAGAACCAAGTTTCTGTCCACAAGCAGCTCGGTCCTGGTGCCAGTTGCTCAGCTTCTAACTCCGCTCACTTAAGTTCTGCACCGCTGCGCAGTGAGGAATGGGAAGAACACTGACTGGATTGTCAGGAGGAGCTTGGGTCCTAGCTTCGGACAGGCTACTTAGACTGAGGCCTGTTGGATTCTCAAAGAGCCCGAGAGTTAGGGCTCTTTCAGATTCTGCCATCCACACTGGCAAAATCCTGGTTAAGGGTGCTACCCAAAAGCATTTGTATTGTGAGCCAATTGTTTAGAAAACTCAAGTCACAAGCCCATTTAATGTGAAATTTACTGGCTTAAGATTTATGTATTTTTCTATAGTTTTATTCATTTTAATCATATCAGATTTAAGTGAAGATAGAAAGCAGTGAAGTCTACTTTGATTTTCAAACGGAATCTCTATGGAGCTATGGCTCAAGAATGGACCTCTCACTTGTTTGGGTTCCCAGGTCCTAAAACTTGAGGCTCTGTAAAGGCCTTAAGGCTCTTTAAAACCAACTTTGGCCTGCAAGAAGCTGTTAGAGGAGGAAGTGAAATCACAGCAGTCAGTAAAGTGAAGGATAGTTCTTTATTTTCTCTCTTGCCTGCATTTCTCATCTGCAAACCATTTATAAAGTGCAACATCCCCTAGTTTACAACGGTCATTGTGCATGCATGGGGAGGAACTTCTCCCTGCTCTGTGACTCAGGATTGGGTTTCTCTATTGGCGTGTAATCGCAAATACAATTCACTTTTTGAAATTTCTAGTTTCTTGTGAAATTCCATTTGTTCTTTGGCTGCCTCCAGTAAATTTTTATATGAAAAATAAAAAGAGCTTGTCCCTTTACCTATTCTCTTATGGCATGCTTGGATATTATGAATCATCCATCATAATTTGGGATGACATGTAGTTAAAAGTGAGCAAAGGATGGTTATTTTGTGATCTAATTACCTGAATTGACATTCTTTCTGTAACTAGAACCATAATCATGTTGAGTTTTCTTATCTTTATGTTGACAAAATTTGTTTACTTTTTTTATATAACTTCATAGAACTTTCTGCTAATATATCTTTTATCTTTCCCTCTTTCATTCCTGTTCTCCTTCAGTCTGCTAGGTCAGAGTATAAGGGCTCTCAAGAATATGGAGTAATTATTAAAATACCAGTTCAAAATATTCATTGAGTTTTTATACAGCATTGATACTGACTGCCACTCACATAGAATTACAGATTTCTCTAAAGGAGACATCTATAACAATGCTTCCATTCTTCCACATTTGGGATAGCCATTGCCATAGGCAGAAAGGAGAGTCCTATGTTTAATGTGTGCTCAAACCGTACTTTATATAATGCGTGTGTGTGAACATGATATGCTGTGCCTTCAAGTGGTAAGCATTTTTAAAATTAAAAACAGGAGTTACTGTTTTTGAGTAGCTATTTTTAAGTATAAAAAGATGACCATACAACTTGAGTTAAGAATCTAAACATGTTCTATGTAGTCATTGTTCATTGTGAGTAAGGCTTGGAAAAATCAACATGGTATAAAGTTGGATGGCTTTGCTTCTCTCTCTCTGGTGGAAGCCATTTTTCTGGAAAATCTTCTACCTGTACTTAAAAACAGGACAATTTCTCTTCCCATTTAATTATATATTTAGATAGATGTTTGATCACCCACCAGTGACCAGCAAGACCAGACGTGGTTCCTACAGTCTGGTGGATGAGACAGACAAGTTAAATAATCACATACATAAAAAAAAGTAAATCCTAAGCAATGGTGGAATCATGTGTTACTGAGATCATATAACATTGGCGGGACCTATCATGAGAGACTGGTATTTGAGATCAGACCTCAGATGTGGAATTAAAGGCATGAGGTTGGTAGTGGAGTTCAGAGAGGACTTCAGGCAGGAGATGAACATGCGATGGCTCTTTATGGCCAAGGCTTTGAGAGTGGGCACGTCTGGCAGGAATGCCATTAAGAGATGATGAGTATCATCCTGTATGTACACTGACTTGGAAGTGAAGCTGTCTATATGGTTCCTTATTCCAAATTCTTAGTCTTTAATTTCTGTCACATAGTTGATGTTTGAGAGTCTTGTTTGTAATTTTTTAAGAAGACTTCAGTTTTTAATTTTTTGTGCAACAAAGCTTTAACCCTCTGTTTCTTAGCTTTGCCCTCCCCCACCTTTGGAGCAGACTGAAAGGGAAGTAGACATCATTAGATCTGGTTTAATGTTCACTTGCTGTTATTTTGTTATACTTTTCATTCATATTTCATTTATGCTCTTAAAGTTTTAACATTTGTTTTTCTGTGTTGTATTTTTTCTATTTTCAGAATTGTTTTCATTACTTTGAGTTGAAATCCCACAAATACACTCATCTTCCTTTTCTCTTTGTTTTAAAGTAGATTTTTCAGAGCAGAAATAAAAGCAAGCAGACATATGTGTCACGTTTAGTTGTTTCATTTCTTGATGCAAATGTTTACTCTTTGTCTTGTCTTATGTTCAAAGATCAGCATGTACCAAGTGGGAAGGCAGGAGTAACAGTAGGAACTAGATGCTATTTTCCATTCACTAATGGAAATAAACACTCTCAAGTTTTGTGGTCACCAGTTTTTAGTACATGAAAATAAAATCAGTAGATACAAAATGATGAAAAAAGGAAAAAGAATACAAATCGGACTTTGCCAGTTTCTTTGAAATAGAAAATGTTAGATCTGTAACTTACCTTTTGTATATGCATTTCTGAATTAGGTTTTGGACCTGGGAGTAAAAAAGCAGCCTTTAGCTGCCTTCCACCTGGCCATTTATCTTGATTCCCATTCAGAGTTTCCTATAAGCTGGCTACTCAAAAACTTTTGGCTACATAGCCTTTCCACCCATATGTGTTGTAACCCTGCCTAAAGATAACAGTCATTTCTTAGAGTAAAGATAAAGACCCATAACACTGTGACTTGAAATCTATTTTAGACCTATTAACTGTATTTCAGTCACATTCTTCTATCTTTTTCGTCTCCTGGTTTCTGTTATATCAGGAAAAACAAAACAAACCTCTTTATAATTCCTTACATTAAAAGGCTTATCTCTTTACTGGGCTCCCTTGTCCCCACCCTTAGCACTATTGATAGACTAGTATCTTAAAAGTCTGCTTCCAATTGTTACTCTTCTACCTACAGTAGTGATTTTTATAGGGCCTGACTAATTTGGTGTAAATTGGTCTCTGTCAGCTGTTACCAAGCATTTGCATTGGTTTAGGTATTATCTGTGCTAAGAAAGAATTAGAGGTAGCCTGAGAATGCAGAGCAGAGAAAGGTACCCTTCAGACAGAGCCTAAAAGCCAGCTCAGTTTCACAAAGGTATTTTCAATAAATCTGACAGCCAGCTTGTCTCTCGGTGGGATGCTCAGATGTGTCTCCGGTTTCATTCTCTAGGGCATTTGTATACCTGAGCAATCTGCTGTATCCCGTGCCCCTGATCCACAGGGTGGCCATTGTTAGCGAGAAGGGTGAAGTGCGGGGATTTCTGCGGGTGGCGGTCCAGGCCATTGCAGGTAGGTGACCCTCTTCTGAAACAGAGCTGTGGACTCTGTGCTTGGAAATGGAGCAGGCCCGTTCTGCAGGGTCACGCTGCAGCTGCACATACAGACTGCAGTGCGGTTTTGTTTGTCTTGGAGAAAGCCTTTATTGCTTCCTTTCTAACTGTTGTTACTAAGTATCAAAAATAGATTCTATTTAGTCTGAGCTACTGCTATTTTGGAATAATGGGATAAAGGGATTTTCTTTAACATGAAAGACAACTCTTGGATTAACTTTATAAAAGCCATTTGCATTTAAATAATGTATATTAACCGCCCCAGAAGTAACTAAGGACTTTCAGTACTTTTTTTTTGCCTAATTTTCTCTAAGAGTACTTCTAGGCCTTTCTGTCCTTCGGCTATTATTTGTAACTAGAGGCCCGGTGCATGGATTCGTGCACTGGTGGGGTCCCTTGGCCTGGCCTGCAGGGATTGGGCCAAAACCACCTCCAACATCCCCCAAAGGGGTGCCAAAGCAAGAGGATAGCTCTTGGGTAACGCATCCCAAAATCGGGCTCCCTCCTCTCTGGTTCTGGGTGCATCACTCAAGAACCGCAGCTGCCAAGTTACCACAACTCAACAACTTCTATGTTGAGCATCTGCCCCCTTGTGGTTGGCCAGTCAACTGATCGCTTAAGCTTTTATATATAGAGAGACATGGATTGAAAATCTGATGCTTCTCCATGATCCAGCCTTCCTTCTGAGGAAGAATGTGGCCATTTCTTGTAATTTTTCTGTTTTAATTTCTAAATGCTATGCTGTGACCTTTCACCTTTACCCGTGGAAATCTGTGACATATTCACTATTGTTGAAGTCTTGACAAGTACAGTGTAGTATTTTGAAATATGTATTGAGTATTATTGAATATAACCTTGCCAAGTGAAGAGATCAGTATTTTAGATATGGCATGTAAACAATACCAAGAATAAAGCTGATTTTTTGCTCATTTGAGCTAAGGGGATCGGTAAGGTTACCTGAGTAGAGTTGGAAGCAGCCCTTGTGACTTTACTGCTTAGGTCTCATTTTCTCCTTCTTAAGCAAAAGGACATGTCCTTTGGCATCTCCTCTTATATCAAAGTTCTCAGAACCTAAGGCTCCACTACTTCATTATTTATTTTATAATCCAGTAAGAGTCGTCCCCCTCTGCCTCATATGTAGTCTTTGCTTTTCTCTTTCTTTCTTTTTATTTTTCTCTACCTAGCGGATGAAGAAGCTCCTGATTATGGCTCTGGAATTCGACAGTCAGGAACTGCTAAAATATCTTTTGATAACGAGTACTTTAATCAGGTGAGAAACCTTTCCGGAAGAGGAAAATCTAATGGAAGGAGAAGTAGTCAGGTTTATAAAAAGGATGTTCAGCATGGGAGAAGAGCAGTTCTTTTACCTACAACTAAAAAGTATAGGTAACCACAGGGTGTTTGTTAGGATATGGGACATGTCTAAAAATTACAACGGTAAGGGTAAAGGCCCAATATTTATATTGCCTTTTTAAAGGCAGCTCTAGCCGAAACTGGTTTGGCTCAGTGGTAGAGCGTTGGTCTGCGGACTGAAGGGTCCTGGGTTCGGTTCCTGTCAAGGGCATGTGCCTGGGTTGCGGGCACGTCCCCGGTGGGGGGTGTGCGGGAGGCAGCTGGTTGGTGTTTCTCTCTCATTGACGTTTCTAGCTCTCTATATCTCTCCCTTCCTCTCTGTAAAAAATCAATAAAATATATTAAAAAATAAAATAAAATAAAGGCAGCTCTAATCCACATAATTTTACAGTCACTATTAGTCATTAGGCAAATAAACAAAAGAAAGGAAACTGGGGGAAATGCATTATGGCAGTACTTCATCTAACCCCCCTGCCTTGATTTCAGAGTGACTTTTCTTCCGTTGCAATGACTCGTTCTGGCCTGTCCTTGGAAGAGCTGAGGATTGTGGAAGGACAGGGTCAGAGTTCTGAGGTCATCAGTCCTCCAGAAGAAATCAATCGAATGAATGACTTGGGTATGTAGACACAGTTTACTGTGATTGGGGACATTTTCAAAGAGGGGAACATATTGACAGTTGCATTGACCAATGTGATAGTCACTGTCATTCACTAGGAATGGAAAGAATATCCTGCTCTCTCCTCATTGAAGGGTGGTCTGTGCATTGTTTGAGCCAGGTATGTGTGTGTTTGACCCTCTAGATTTGAAGTCGAGTACTTTGCTGGATGGGAAGATGGTCATGGAAGGGTTTTCTGAAGAGATTGGCAACCACCTGAAACTGGGCAGTGCCTTCACTTTCCGTGTGACCGTGTTGCAGGCCAGCGGGATCCTCCCGGAGTACGCAGACATCTTCTGTCAGTTCAAGTAAGCCGTCCCTTCGCTCTGCCTACTCAGCTGTCCACCCGATGCCGTCCTTTGTGCTCTGTAGACTGTTTTACGTTTGTGAGACCCTGACACTCCTGAGAAATGACAACTACCGGTCTCTGAAATAAAATGCTTGCTTCCCTCAAGATGGGAGTAAGAACCAGGAACCTACAATGGAATGAAACAGAGTTCATTGTGGGAAGGGGTGTGGCCACGCCTCCCGCTAAAAGATTCTATTGTGGGCCATCGCTCTCTGCTAGGAACATAGGGTCTGATCCAGACACACCTATTTGTTAGTCTTTTTAATGCTCTTCATGCTGAAATGTATTAATAAACAAATCTCACCCTGACCCGCATTGCTCGGTGGTTACAGCGTTGAACTGTGGACCAGAGAGTCACAGGTTCTATTCCTGGTCAAGGGCACATATCTGGATTGCAGGTTTGATCCGTGGCCACGGTCTGGATGCATGTGGAAGGCAACCAATAAATGTGTCTCTCTCACATCAGTGTTTCTCTCCTCTTTCTGCCTCTGTCCCTCCCTTTCTCTGTCCCCATTCCCTCTCCCTTAAAGCAATGAATAATTTAGTCACCAATTATGCCTATTTAATATTTGGGGGAAAGAAAATTTAAGTAACATAATGAACAGTAATATTTTACATCAATTGAAAAAGAAAAGATAGTATGTAGAGATAATGTGACAGGTTTCATTTCTCTTCCACTTACAAGCTTTTTCTCTCCTTAACCCTCTTAAGTCTATATTCTAAGTGCTTTCTTCTCACAACCTCCCTAGGAAAACACTTTTTTTGAGAATCTTAAGTTTTAATATCGCAAAGCATCAATGTATCTTTGCGGTATGTGGAAGGGCCACTCGAGAATGAAGCCCAGGTGCCACCAAAAGGCCACCTCAGAGCCTGCCATCCCGCATTCTGTGGCCTTCCCAGGGTCCCTGATGCAGTTACAAAGCATTGCTTTTACATAGCATTTAGCCAAGTCCTGGATTAAATGTGGCTACTACATATTAAGTCTCCAATAATCTTTAAAATATTATCCATCTAGTATTGGTTTTGCCCACTTAACAACATATTTTCACTAACAGCCACAAATTTGGAGTAGGATGGCATTGCCTACATGAATCAATTCTTTTGAACTTTCACTATTCTAATTAGGCAACTGATGTATTTTATGGAAAAAACCTACTTGGTTAATGGATGTCTGATATGACAGTGGAATGTTGACTTTTGTCCTAAAACCTACTAGAAAGAGCAGCATGTGCACCTGGCGTTAGCTCTGGGGGAAAGGGCAGATGAACTCACGTTGAGAGAAGACGCAGATCCTTTTTGAGTTTCTATGAACTCTCACTTGGCTGCATAGGGAAGACACAGCTGTGGGCTTCACCTGTCGCTCATGAGGAGCCCCAGGATGGTTGCACCTGCTCCAAGCAGAGCAGCGGATGAGTACAGATCAGAGGTCACCCACCTCTGGTGGGTACCATGCATAGTCCTCAGGCTCAGTGAACTAATGTGGGAAGCAAGGAGTTCCTTGTCCTCCTCTCTCTACCCCTATTCACAGCATTCTTTTTCCCTTTTTTCTTGGGAGAGTGTGAGATGTTCTTTTTTCTCTAATCCTCACTCGAGGATATTTTTCATTGATTTTTAGAGAGAGTGGAAGGGAGGACACGAGACAGAGAGAGAAGCATCAAAGTGAGAGAGACACCTTGACTGGTTGCCTCCCACATGAGCCCCCACCAAAGCTGGGGATCAAGCCTGCAACCGAGGAATTAAGCCCCAAATCCTTCAGTCCATGGGTCGACGCTCTATCCTCTGAACCAAACCGACTCTTGATTCCATTAATTACAGGCTGTTGTTCCTTGTGATTAAGCCCCTATCCCAGGGGTCAGCAAACTCATTAGTCAGCAGAGTGGCAAATTGTGGTTTGTGAGCCGCTGGGCTAGGACAATGTGGGATGTCCTTTTGATGCATATTTCTGTCCCGCACTAAATCCTTGTATTGAGGATGCTTTAGTTCTTCTATTTTTATTTCAGACTTATAATAGGGAGGGAGAGAGAAAAATAAAACCTCACTATTTGTGAGAACAAATAAACATAGCCTGCTGATTCAACAGATATTTCAGGAGTATCTTATATATCTCAAGCCCTGCGGGAGACACTCACTGTCTTTTGGGCAGACAGGCATATCAATACATTATTACAAACAGTGAAATCATCACTATTGAGAACATACATTTCTAGTGCTGTGGGGACACAGAACTATTTCCATGAGTCAGGACAGACTCTTTGCAAGAGGTGGCATTTGCATCTACTCATAGCTGGTCTGAGAGAGTCTCCTAGGCTAGTACGCCCTCCACAGGCTGTAGTATTACCATGTAGAAGCTTCAACCTGCCAAATCTTTTCTACACAAAACAACTTCATAATTTTTATTCTCAGTGAAAAACCACAAAGGAACAGGAGTTCACTGAATTCACTCTCCCTGCTCTCTAATGCATTCTTGCATATGCATCCACTTAGCTACGTGATCAGGGTCAGATAATTTTTAATCATTTTTGAAATAAAGTGTAAAATATTATCTGATTGATATGGAAAATGTCTGACAAGGATATGTAAATAACTCGCTCAATTTAAACTCTGCTTAAGTAGGCTGTTTCCATACCATCCAAGTCGAGCTGTTACCACATAGATCCTGATGAAACCACTAATGAAACATTCTCGTTCTTATCTTTCCATTAAGCTTTTTGCATCGCCATGATGAAGCATTCTCCACTGAACCCCTCAAAAACAACGGCAGAGGAAGTCCTCTGGGCTTTTACCATGTGCAGAATGTAAGTGACGTGACTTTTTGCCAGATGTATTGCGGGTGTGTGGTACCTTGAACTGGCTGGTGTGAGGCAGGCATGTATGGGCTCCCTTGGGCTTTCTCAGAGCGGCTGTGCGGCTGTGCGAGGGAATCTGAGAGAATAGACAGTGGAGGGAGTGGCCAGTGCAGTGAGCCCTCCTCCAGGACGGAGCAGCTGGCCTTCTGAGAGTTACCGAGGGCCGGGAGTCCTGCCCAGGTTCATCTGCCAATAAAACCATCCATCATGCCAAAACCGGTTTGGCTCAATGGATAGAGCATCAGCTTGGGGACTGAAGGGTCCCGGGTTCGATTCCGGTCAAGGGCATGTACCTTGGTTGCGGGCATATCCCCAGTAGGGGGTGTGCAAGAGGCAACTGATCAATGACTCTCTCCCATCGATGTTTCTAGCTCTCTCTCCCTTCCTCTCTGTACAAAATCAATAAAATATATATTTTTTTAAAAATTAAAAAAAAAAAAAAAACTTCCATCACTGGGAATGTAGTTTTTAGTGTTTCTTTCATAGAAAAGTAAGCATTTTAGTATGAGTTTTGTTAAAGCTGATATATTTATTGTCCTTAAACTGTAAGGTACTTAACATTGTTCAGTTGCAAATAAGATAAAAACTATTCAATACCTTTGTAACTAAGATTCAGATTGTATTCCTTGCAATTGATACTGTGATGATCCATTAATGCCCCTTACAGCTCTTTCATATGTGGAGTAAGGGAATAGATCTTCACTGCACAAAAATCATACACCTATGGATGAGGACACTGGGGTGGGGGGTAAGGGCAGAGAGTGGGGTGGGAACCGGGTGGAGGGGAGCTGTGTGGGGAAAAAGAGGAACAATTGTAATAATCTGAATAATAAAGATTTATTAGATTTTTAAAAATTAAAAATAAAATGAGCAATTAAAAGACAGAGAGAGAGAGAGAGAGAGAGAGAGAGAGAGAGAGAGAGAATAGACCTTCCATCTCCTCTAGGAAGATTCACTATAACTGTTCACAAGGCATCATCCTCTTCATTATAGCCAGCATTCCTTGAGAGCTTATTTTGTGTCAGTCTCTGTTGAGAGTGCTTTTTCATGTCTTAATTCACCTAATCCTCACCTTTCTGCCATAGATGGTCATAATCCCCGTGTTAGAGCTGTGATAACTGAGGCGCAGAGCAGTTAAAGCCACTCACCTAGGCCAGTGTTTTTCAACCTTTTTTGGGCAAAGGCACACTTGTTTCATGAAAAAAATCACGAGGCACACCACCATTAGAAAATGTTAAAAAATTTAACTCTGTGCCTATATTGACTATATATAAAGTAATTCTCTTGAATAGGAATCAAATAAACACAAAGAAAGTATTTTATAATTACTTTATTATGAAATATTAAGTAAACAAAATAGTGAAAAATTATAAAATTCTTGTCTTGTCTGCACCAACGGCACACCAGGCAACATCTCGTGGCACACTAGTGTGCCGCGGAACAGCGGTTGAAAAACGCTGACCTAGGCTCCAAAGCTAGGGAGAGGTGGAGATGGGGTTTGAACACACAGAAACGTTGCTCTGGCTCCAGGGTCTTCACTACTACACGAGACAGCCTCTCATTATCTTGTTGGCATACCTACTTTCTAAAGTACGGAGGGAAACAACAGCTCCAGAAGTGGAACAAGCAAACACAAAACACTTTTCTTTTTTTGTTTATCTGTAGAACATGAGCATGCATGTATCCAGTAAACATTGGCTGCTGCGCACAGGACTGTGCCTGGCACTCTGGGGGATGCACAGGAGAATCACAGATGAGCCGTTCCTGAAGAGCTCACAATTCCGATAGGGAAATAGATGCTTATTTAAGTAACACGATCTAGAGACATCAGAAAGGCACTTACTAAATGCAGTGGAGTCCAGAGAAGGCAAAGTTATTTCCATGAACGGAGAGATACTTGGAGTTACTTTTTTTGTTGGGTGTGGATGTTTGGGTGTGGAAAGGAGGTGAGGGCACTTCTGGAGAATGGAGTATAAAAAAGGAAAGGTGGGTCAGACTTGGCATTGTACCTGGCACATGGGGAACAGCCCTGTTTCCTTCCTGTTGTCACTGTTTGGGCTGAGCCTCGAAGTCTAGGAATGACTTAGCGGCATGGAGGTGTGGGAGGCCTCCAGGCAGGGCTGCAGCCGGGCCAGCTAAGGGCGGAACAGGAGAGAGCGGTTGAGTTGGATTAAGAGGAAACAAGGGTATGGAGAGCAGCCGGGGGCAGAGATGGTTCAGGCAGATGGCGGAGGGTCTCATATGCCTGCAGCTCAGTACAGTTACCCCAGAATGAAAACAGAGAGGAGCCCCAGCTTCTCTTGTGGGAAGCGTGCAGAGTGAGATACGCAGCACATACCCAGCTCTAAAGTGCTCAAGTTCCGATTGCAGCCAAAATGTCTCGTCTTATAACAAATCTTTCCCTAACCTGGTTTGGCTTTCTTCCTTACTAGATTGCAGTGGAGGTCACTGAGTCGTTTGTGGAGTACATCAAAACCAAGCCGATAGTATTTGAAGTCTTCGGGCATTATCAGCAGCACCCACTTCACCTGCAAGGACAGGATCTGAACAGGTTTGGGCCAGATGAGCACATATTTCTGTTGATATTATTATCATCATCGTTGTTGTTATCACTTGCTGGAAAGGAGGAAATCTTTTGAGGGGTTAAGATAATAACAGTTTTATGTTACTTGATGTTTTCTCTTTTAGAAACTTCACCACCTTTTTCCCTACCCACCTAATCACTAGTTGTAGGCAGAGCACATTGAATTTTGCCCAGGTGGTCTTGAGTACCATCTTTTTGTAGGAGAGATTTGAATAGGACTGAAAGTTGACGTGACAGGCTATACCATGAAATTGTGTATAATTGTCCCTAAAGGCCCAAAACTCTATGAAGCAAAAAGTTCTAAATGGGGACTCTAGGATGATGGCAGAGTATCAGTGGTAACAGAACAACTTCCCTGCTTCATTTATTAGCTAAGACTTAGAAGGGGACTTTTATTAAAATGTCTTAGCCTCAGTTTACACTGTGGAGTTATGTGTGGTATCTGATACTATGCTGGAGCTGAAAGTACAAGCCATCTGTGTCTAGAGGGTACTTAAAGATGCCATTATTAGCTACAAGGGACTCTTTTTATCTTAAGAATGTGGTCTTCCTTTTTTCACAGTCCTCCTCAGCCATCTCGACGATTCTTCCCTCCGCCCATGCCGCTCTCCAAGCCAGGTGAGCTCTAGCTGCGTGCTCTGCATGATGTTCTGTGTGTGAGTACATCTCTTACTCTGAATGACTCCTCCGACAAAGATCAGATTCAAATTCCTGCTCCTTTTCTGTGTATCCTTACATATTCTTGTATCTAGCCAGAACTGGAATTCTTAGCTCCTGACTTAAAATTAGCAGTGAGAAACAATAGGACTCTATTCCTGCCAGTTCTCTGGTCTTATTGTCAGTTTTCATAAGCTCCCTGTTCCCAAATCTCTCCGCTTTGTACGTAACTCCCCGTAACTGTCGGGCCTGGGCATTTGCATACTAAATTTATCTTGCATGTTCACTTATCATGTTTTGACTTTTCTTTGTTTATTTTCATTTTTTTTCCTCATTGCCCACATTCCCACCCCTCCCTGTGCTCATTCTCCTCCCCTGTCCTCCTCATCTCCATCCTGCCTTCAGACCATGAGAGAAAGATCGAGCTGATTCGATTTCTCGTGTCTGGCTATGTGAATGTGCATGCGTTGGACACATTTTCTGAGCACGCCAGTGTGCTTGCCTCCTCTGCTGCTGCCACCTTCCAGGATGGGGCGGACCCCCTGCCGCCTCTTCTCTTTCTGCCAGTTCCCAGCTGCCAGAGCGAGAGGGTACCTAAACAAGATGGTTAGTAGGTAAATTAGCTCTGCCTAGATGTAATAGCTCAGGGGCTTGTCCTAGAGCCTGGCTTTCTGTGTGAGACACCGACCTCTCTGCTACTTGAACTGACTGACGAGAGATTTCAGGAAGCACCCTGTCTACTTGTACCTTTTTCACTTCACCCTAGGGGTAGGGCTCCTTATATTTGTTTGTTTGGTGTCTTTGCAATGAGAGTATTTGTAAAGATTTTTACTACTACATGTTTTTGGGTTGGATTTTTAATGCTTCTGGTTTTGCTTCCTGACCCTTGGATGACTGTCAGAAGCATTAACCCTATTTTCCTCTTTACTCACGTCACCAACTCAGTCAACGGGGTGGACAGTGCCAACAGGCTACCTGTATGAACAGCGCTGTGCTACTCAGAAAGCCCCTTCTGATCCATTGTCGTGAATCCTCATAATGCCTTTCTGAGATAGCAGGCGGAATATTTTGATCTACATTTTATAGATGAGGGGACAGACTCACAGAGATTAAGTGACTCAGCCACAGCCACATGGCTCTTTAGTGATTGGGCAATGATTCGAGCCCCAGTCACTGGACTCTCACTCCAGTGCTCCCATGTTCTGAGCAGAGGACTCTCTTTGTATGGCCAGAGTTTAGAGTTTCTACACAGTGTCTCAAAATGCCCATTATGTAGAATCTAAAATTCTTGGAAATACTGGATTTTGGTTAATGTATTTCATCAGTATAATTAAGAGTATGAAATTTAAATCTGAAGAAAATGTGTAACAAGAGAGTTACAGAATCCTGTGTTTAGAGATCAGACCAGTGCTTCCCAAACTTGTCTGCACATTGTAATCACCTGGGGAGTTTCAAACCTCTCAGAGGACCGGGTCCCGCCCCGAGAGAGAGTGGTTTCCATGGCCTGGGGGGCCTGGGCTCTGCACCTTTGAGAACCCCGGGTGACTCATGGACAGGGAGGTTCAGGAGCCACTGCATTGGAGGATGGGTCTGTCTCCCGTGATGCCGCTGCTCTGCCTGCCACAAAGCACAAGCGTCTTGGTAAGAGAGAAACATCAATTGGTTGCCTCCTACTCATGCCCCTACTGGGGCAGGGATTAAACCTGCAGCCAAGGTACATGCCCTTGATGGAGAATTGAACCCTTGACCCTTCAGTCCAAGGGCCAGTGTTCTAACCAATGAGCGACGAGCCAGGGCGAAACTTGTTTTCTTTCTTTTCTTTTCTTTTTTTTTTTTTTTTTTTTTTTATATATTTTATTGATTTTTTACAGAGAGGAAGGGAGAGAGATAGAGAGCTAGAAACGTCGATGAGAGAGAAACATCGACTGGCTGCCTCTTGCACACCCCCTTCCGGGGATGTGCCCACAACCAACATACATGCCCTTGACCAGGATCGAACCCGGGACCTTTCAGTCCGCAGACCTACGCTCTACCACTGAGCCAAACCTGTTTCGGTGAAACTTGTTTTCTTATCGTTGGATAATTTGAGAGGGAGAAAGATGCTGACTCTTCCTTTCCTTGTCCTCTGAATTTAGAGGTCCTGACATAGTTGGTGTCGGCGTTTTTCTGGGTCTTCCACATTGAAATCTATCCCGACTCTTATTGCCCTTCCCAAGTGTGTCCTTGAAGCCTGACATTAGAGAAGCTTATACTTTACTAAGTAGACTTGGATCAGATTTTGACTGTTTCTAAAACTTTTTTAAAAGTTCCAGCCACCAAGTTAAACACCATGAGCAAAACCAGCCTTGGCCAGAGCATGAGCAAGTATGATCTTCTGGTTTGGTTTGAGATCAGCGAACTGGAGCCTACAGGAGAGTAAGTCCAACTTTCTAAACTTTAAATAAGGTCACTTTTTTCAAAATGAGAAAATGTAATTTTGAGTCTCTATTGCTGTTCATGAATCATCATCACTTTCAAATTCCAGTATCGAATTGAATGTTGGTAGTCTTGCTATTATCCTTTGAATCGAATGTTTGTCAGAGAACTGACTACTTAGTGTAATAACTTACCTTCTTATTAGCAACAGCAAGATCATAGCGCCTAGCACTTAGTTAGGAGGGAAGACAGCCTACATAGTGAGTTTTATCAGCAGCAAAGAGAGAAGCATTTTGCTGATATGGTCAAGACTTGCATTAATAATCTCAGCGAGGGGAGTGAGGGCGGTGTTTCCCTAGACCAGAATTTTTCAACCACGGCACTATTTGGGGCCAGTTAATTCTCTGATGTCAGGGGCTGCCCTGTGTGTTGTAGGATATTTAGCCGCAACCCTGGCTTCTAACCACTAAATGCCAGTAGCACATTGCCAAACGTCCCCGGGGGACCAAAACCACCTCCAGTTGAGGACCATTGTCCTAGGTTAGAATGATGGGCATCAGCCTACTTTCTCTGTATGAGCTGTTAGAGCAAGTGGTAAATGTACCAGTTATCATTTTCTCTAAAATGCTTTTGGAAAAACACACCAAAAAGATCCCCCTCCTGAAATAGAGGCAAGGGGCTGTGTTATTAATGTAGAGGGTAGGGGATGAATGCTGTCCTGATGACCCTCTGTGTGTAATGCTGAGTACCACCACCATCATGTTCATCTCCATGAAACAGTTACTGAGTTCCCACTATGTGTGAGGTCTGCAGCTGTCGATTCTATTTGCAATTGTCAGTGGAGACATCGCTTTAAGGAATGTGACTTCCCATAGACAGATCCATCATGTGATTATGGCTTGCATTGTGAGGGAGAGGTAGTTACAGTAATTTTTTCGACTGAGTTAATTTCTTTCTGATTCTTGGAACATGATGTAGACTCTGAAATGATCTCCTCTCTCCTTGTACTCCCTATTGTAGTATACATTATTTATGGAATATCTGTTATGCAAGGGGCTAGGATGGAGCCAAAAGACATTACTATCCTGTGAGCACTTAAGTCTAGTAAGGATAAAAAGACGTAGACATGTGGAAACATTTATTGGATGTGAATGACCGTGCGATTAAATGCCTGAACGGTGAGAAAACATGGATCAGAGTTTAGTAAAGCAAAGACCAGCAGGGGACAGCAGCCAGGGAAGACCTGTGGTGAAGTAGCACTCGTCAGCTTGAGCGTCTGTCTCACTCTTTGCCGTGCGTTTCTGTTGTTACAGGTATATCCCAGCTGTGGTGGACCACACAGCAGGCTTGCCCTGCCAGGGGACATTCCTGCTTCACCAGGTACTAATGAGGGGGCAAAGGAGACCTAGGAGGAAACACACACACACACAAAATAAAAGTTAGAAGAAGAACCATAACTCTGGTTTTCTGCTTTTCCTCTCCATTTCTAAGGGATGTGGAGGTGGCAGGACATTGTCCTGTTCTTTCTTATTTTTCTTTTTTATATGCTTTTTAATTTCTTCCTCAGACTTTGGCTTATATATATCTATCCATTGAGTCAAACCGGCTAGGGTTGTAAATATATATATATAAGCTTTTACATATAAATATATTATACAACCCTAGCCGGTTTGACTCAGTGGATAGAGTGTCGGCCTGCGTACTGAAAGGTCCTGGGTTCAATTCTGGTCAAGGACACATGCCTGCATTGCGGGTGTGCAGGATGTAGCCAATCAGTGGTTCTCTCTCATCACTGATGTTGCACTCTCTCTCTCTCCCTTTCCCTTCCTCTCTGAAATCAATAAAAATAAAAATACATTAAAAAAAATAATCCTATATAATAAAAAGTTAATACGCAAATTGTCCCCTTGACAGGGAGTTCTACTGGGGAGTTCAACCAGAGAGTGGGGTTGGCTCACCAGCTGCCTGCGGCCCCTCCCCTAGCCAGCCCTGTACCCAGTCAGCCTCTCCCCACCTATTGGGAGCTGGCTGGCCAGCTAACCTCCCTCATCCCCTCCCCCAGCTGACTCAGCTCAATTGGCCCCATTGGGCCTGCCAGCTGGACCCCACCCGTACAATTTTGTGCACTGGGCTTCAAATAAATAAATAAATAAATAATAGAAGAGCTATATTATTAAAAGATTTTGCTTCATTGAATTATTATAATTCATGCAACATCAATGTCATTTTATACAATTTTTATTTCATGATGTTTGGAAACTGCTTCCACAGCGAAAAGTTTTTTTTGTTTTTTTGTTTTTTTAAATATATTTTGATATTTTACAGAGAGGAAGGGAGAGAGATGGAGAGCTAGAAACGTCGATGAGAGAGAAACATCGACCAGCTGCCTCTTGCACACCCCCCACCGGGGATGTGCCCGCAACCAAGGTACATGCCCTTGACCGGAATCAAACCTGGGACCTTTCAGTCCACAGACCGACGCTCCACCACTGAGCCAAACCGGTTTCGGCAACAGCGAAAAGTTCTTAATGGAGATAGAGGATAAAGGTTTCAGTGAGAGAAAAACCTGGCCATGAAATGTAGGTTGACCCCTATGGGCAGAGGAGCTGGGAATCTCATATTTTGGGACATACATTCCAAGCATCCATTCTATATATGTGTGTATGTATATGTATATGTATATGTATATGTATATGTATATGTATGTGTATATATGTTAATTTTAGAAAGGAAGGGAGAGGGTAAGAGAGAGGGAAGCATCAGTGATGAGAGAGAATCATTGCCCTAGCTGGTTTGGCTCGGTGGTTAGTATCAGCCTGCGGACTAAAATGTCCCAGGTTTGTCAAGGTTGTGGTCTCAATCCTCAATAAGGGACATGCAAGGGCAATTGATCAATGATTCTCTCTCATCATTGATGTTTCTCTTCCTCTCTGAAATCAATACAAATATATTTTTTAAGAAGAGAGAGACAGTGGTTGTCTAACCACTGAGCAAAACTGACTAGGTCTAAGCATCTATTCTTTTTTTTTTCTTTTTTTTTCAATCTTTTTTTTTTAATATTTTTTTTTTTATTGATTTTGTACAGAGAGGAAGGGAGAGAGATAGAGAGAAACATTGATGAGAAAGAGTCATCGATCAGCTGCCTCTTGCACACCCCCCACTGGGGATATGCCCGCAACCAAGGTACATGTCCTTGACTGGAATCGAACCCGGAACCTTTCAGTCCCCAAGCCGACACTATCCATTGAGCCAAACCGGTTTCGGCTAAGCATCTATTCTTAAAGCCATATCAGAACCTGGCTCTTTCTGGGTCCCTGACCTGTGTCCCATTGTTTATCATAGAATAACTGTGTTGGTAGCATTTCCATTCTTTCTCCGTACCTCTCCTTCCTGCCCTCTGCCACACCAAACATTCCAGAAACAGGAGGAAATAATAGTTTGTCCCAGCTAAATCCCAGTCCTGCTCCATTCCCTAGGGCATCCAGCGAAGGATCACAATGACCATCGTCCATGAGAAGGGAAGCGAGCTCCACTGGAAAGATGTGCGTGAGCTGGTGGTAGGTGAGTACGCTGCATTGGCTGGGGACGGAGCCGGGCTTTGTGGAGACCCATCGTTCCTGGTGGCCCACAGGGACTGGGTGGGAGGCTGGCCTCAGCGTGTGGCCCACGGAGAATGCAGACGCCTCGACCCTGAAGCTACTCTTTCTCTCAGCTCCACCGCCAGGGATTCGTGATTAACCATTGTTTTACTCGGGTACCATGGAATGGTTCTGTGCCGGAAGTCTCTGCTCATTGTGAGCTTGCCCTTCACTTGAAGAGACAACATATAAATGTACAAAGCAGTTCAATAAATAAATGCCAAAAAGAGAACAGACAGTGATAAGAGAGCTCACAACACAAGAATCCGAGAGGGCTGGGTTAGCTTTGTGAGAGAGGGCTAGAATAGGTTCCAGAGCGATTAGAGGGGCTTTGTTCTGTTTTCCACACAAGGAAACATTTTAGTACGATAGTCTGGAATCTGGGTAATATGCACATGGCCAGCACCCCATAGGCAGAGGAGAGAAACTGAACTAAGGTATAGTGAGAAGGGAAAACTCGCCAAATAGTATGAATTTTAGAATGCATGGCAGGGGTTCTGAGCCTTCTATTGCCTAAGACCCATTGGCAGTAGTGAAGCCTCAGAATTAGGTTTTTAAATGTAGAAAGTACTTGGGCTTACAAGGGGAACTATATAATATTGAAATCCAGTTGTTAAACTACTTAAAAAAAAATGTGTAACCTAAGCTCTTCTTTATTGATACATTAAATAAGCAGCAGGTTGAATTTCTATTCCAAAGTAGTGATGAATATCTAGATATTTTACATTAGTGTGATATGAAAACATCTGTGATCTCTGCTGAGGGTGAATTCATAGTACTGCTGATTCCTCTGTGGTTTGTACCCTCCCTTCATAATGGAAGAAAATCCCAAATTTCAGTTAGAGGTTCATGAAAATAAAATTGTCATTTTTTCCCTGGTGAAGTTCATGGACATTTTGAATTCTATTCATAGGCCCTCCCCTTTGGTGTCTGTGGATGAGATTAAGAACCCCTGGAAGGAAGATTATACTCTCTTATCTGGGACAGTGGTTGATAAGCTTTTTCAGAATTAATTTTTCTGTGGAATATTATTACATAGAACAGAGTGATGCTTTCTTTTTCAAATATACCCATGCTCTGGTGTCTTTATTTCTTTTAGGGCGGATTAGGAATAAGGCTGAGGTGGATGAAGCTGCGATTGACGCCATCCTCTCCCTAAATATCATCTCTGCCAAGTACCTGAAGTCTTCCCACAACTCCAGCAGGTGGGCACCTACAGGGGGTGCTGAGTCCCCCGGGGGACTGAGTGGTACACTGTTAGATTCTTCATTCATTAGTGACTCTATTTAGCTGAAGAAACTAATTCTCTTCTCACTTCATCCCCTATCCACCCTGCTCCCCCCAAATAAGCAGAGGATTTCTCTGTGTTTGTGTGTTCCTGGAAAACTTGCTCACAGCTATGTTAGAAGAGGGAGAAGGAAAATAAGACAATAGGAAAAAGTGGGATTAAAAGTTTGGGCCAGAATTAATTTCCCATTGTTTCCTTGAGCTGCAGTTTGCATAGGAGGGAGAAAAGGAAACCAGCCTCTGCTATTGCCTGTGAGAGCCGCTGGCAGGGGCTGTGGGGAAGACAGGGCCCCGCAGCAAGTCAGATGCTGGAGGAGACGGATTAGGTTTTGTCCAAGCAGCTTACCTTTCACAATAGAAGCTTGAAAAGTTGACTGAAGTCAAAAATAATGAAAAGATACACACTTTAAACATTTTTGTTTTAAACTACATAAATGTACATTGATTTGTCAAGCACTTACTATAAAGCCAAAAGCCTTTTCATTTGTTGTAGGATCATTTATTGGATGTCTGGTTGTCTTTCTTGCAAAACCATATCCATAATTCATCATCTGTGACTTTTACTTTCGTGGAGCAAGATCTAGAAACCTATAAAGAAAATATAAGAGCCATATCTTTTAAACTTTTTATCATTTAGCAGTAAAATCTTGTCATTTCCCCTCTCTTTCACATTGAACTCACCCACACTTAATTTTACAACTGTTTTTTTACACAACTCACCATTATCAAAACAGTCCACTGAGTTTTTACACTTAGTTTTGACTTACAATAAACAGAAATTCTCTTTGTCCTAATGTCTCACTGATTTGCCTATCAATTGATTAAATTATATGATTACATTAAGGTAGCTACATAAATAGGTTTGGGACCAGATATTACTGACATTTGATAAGTTTGCAGCTCACCTCTCTGGAGCAGGTGGTCTGGACAGATGAGAGATATCTCTAGTTTCAAATGGTCAATGAGAAAAGGGCATCAGTCTTTATACTTTAGGGACATGAAAATGTAAGTCATGCGGTAAGTTACTAAATGGAGTTTGGTTAAGAGCTTCTATTTCATGTTTACAGTTGAACTTACAGAACTCCAATTTGGGTGTTATCATGTGTGCACGTTTGAGGGCTCTTCTGATACATTGGTAGTGGAGTGTGACTCACAAAGGCCATGGCTCATTTCCTTTCAAGTCCTACATTTATTACATAATTGACTTGATTCCCACAGTAACTCCTACCATTCCTATACTCAGTCACCTCCGAGAGGGGTGTTAATGGAGGTAGTCTCCACATTCCCTCCTCTGCCCAGCATTTTCTGCAATGGAATGCCTGGGAGAGGGACCCATTCTATATAATAAAAGGTTAATATGCAAATTGACCAAATAGGGGAATGACCAGTCGCTATAATGTGCACTGACCACCAGGGGCCAGACGCTCAATGCAGGAGCTGCCCCTGGTGGTCAGTGTGCTTCCACAGGGGGAGTGCCACTCAGCTATAAGCTGAGCTCATGGCTGGCACGCCTTCCCCCCTCTGCAGTAGTCGGACATCCCCGAGGGCTCCCGGACTGTGAGAGGGCATAGGCCAGACTGATGGAGTACCACCCTGAGTGCACAAATTTTGTGCATCGGGCCCCTAGTATCATTATAACCCCTCTATAAATTGTGTCCCATGGAGTTCTCTGTTAATTGTCTGTCCACTTGAATTCACTTTGCTAAACAGCAAATTTGTCTTTTTTATTTTTTTATATATTTATTTTCTTTCTTCTGCTTTTCTCTCCTTTTTTTCCCCCTTTCCCCCTCACCCCTTTTTTTTTCTTTTTCTTTTGCTGCACTAACAAAAGCTTTTCCTATGTTTCTTCAGGCTCTTTCTTGATAAGGATATTCCTAGGTATTTTCTGTTTGCTTTTTTGCGCATAGAGATTCTAGTTTATCAGGATGCTTGATGTCTTCTGTTGCTTTGACTGCTATTTTAATTTTGTGTTTTCCCCACCCAAACCTAAGCAAACCTGGAATAGAGAGAGACTGTGCTGCCTATCTTGCCCAGGGCTTTCTGATGTGTGTGCACTTCCACATACAGCTTCCTCAACGCTGTGTAGTCTTTCATTATTTTCTATTCCATTTATTAAGCCTGTCCGTTTTATTCTTATGCCCACGAGGTCCCCTCCTCCATTGCAGAATAGAATGTCACTCCCCTCACTTCATAGAGAACCTCAAGCTTTGTGTTTTTCCTCTTTGTCTTCTCTCTCTTAGAAGCTTGAAAGGTTTGCTGCTCTGTGTGTAGCTTTGCATAATCGTTCACTTTTTTCTTTGTGTTTGTCCTGTGTGGGGGTAGAGGTCTATTTAACCATTTGGGTAGCTGAGTCTGTGAGAAATATTTTGTTTATTTTTAAACTTTTCTCTTTCTCCTGTCAGGGCTGCTTATCTCATCTGTTTATTTTCTCTTTTGGAATAGAAAAAATCCTGAATCAATAGTGAATGAAATTTTTCCTTTCTTTCTCTCTCTCTCTCTCTCTCTCTCTCTCTCTCTCTCTCTCTCTCTGATTTAGAGAAGAGAAAAATGATACATGACAGTATAGCCTAAAACGTTTCAATGTTTTTTTTAAAAAAGAGACGCGCGCACGCGCACACACACACACACACACACACACACACGAGGCCTTTATTCAGACATTTCTGGAAATCCACTTGAAATCATTTCCTAGCCACTGTAGGAGCCATACAGGAAAATATGTCTCAAGATTCAGCCTTGTTTCTAACTCTGAATTCTCTTATTAGCTTGATTCAGTTGACATTACTAGTGTTGGTTGTATTTCTTACCACCACCTCTCAAGAACTGCCATCTCTGGTGGGTATTCCAAAAGAATGTACTGCAGTAACTCCTACACACCAAAACCACCCTCCCCGATACCCGAAGATTTAGGTGGAGTCAAAAATTCCTTTATGTTAGCCAAGTTGCTACCAGTGAAATGTTCTCTTTAGGTTAAATGAAAACAACCTGAAAACAAAAATGTGAAGAAGCTTTCTTACACAAATTGGAATCTTTAGCCTCTGTTGAAAAAGTCATGAAACCCAAATAGTGGCACAGGCTTCCATCCTATTTTTGTCTCCTTGTTATCTCCGTCTTTGTCTTGTTAATTGTGTCTACATTCCTTTGGTGGCCTTGTAAAGACTTTTCTTGATCCTACTAACTAGCTTGTGAGAGAGTAAGGAGTACTTCTATATCCCAAGAAACTAGAAACACCAATCAGAAAGGATATATTCACCCCTATGTTCATAACAGCACAATTTACCATAGCTAAGATTTGGAAACAACCTAAGTGCCCATCAGCAAATGAGTGGATAAAAAAATGTGTTACATCTACAGAATGGAATACTATGCTACTGTAAAAAAGAAGGAATTCTTACCATTTGCAATAGCATGGAAAGTATTATGCTAAGCGAAATAAGCCAGTCAGGGAAAGATAAACATCACATGATTTCACTTATTTGTGGAATATAATGAACAACATAAACTGATGAACAAACACAGGATCCAGAGACAGAGAAGCATTGATCAGGCCGTCAAAAATCAGAGGGAAGGTAGGAGAGGGTGAGGTTAAGGGAGAGAGATCAGCCAAAGGACTTGTATGCATGCATATAAGCCTAACCAATGGACACAGACACCAGGGGGGTGAGGGCATGAGTAGGGATGTGGGCAGGGGTAATTGAGGAATAAAGGCACATATGTATACCTTAATCAATAAAGAAAAGAAAAGAAACCATCAAAAAAGAAAAGAAGAGCCGAAGCCGGTTTGGCTCAGTGGATAGAGCATCAGCCTGCGGACTGAAAGGTCCCAGGTTTGATTCCAGTCAAGGGCATGTACCTTGGTTGCAGGCACATCCCCAGTGGGGGGTGTGCAAGAGGCAGCCAATCGATGATTCTCTCGCATCGATGTTTCTGTCTATCCTCTCCCTTCCTCTTTGTAAAAAATCAATTAAAAAATATATTTAAAAAAAAAAAGAAAGAAAGAAAAGAAGACTTGGATCTAGAAGCTACAAATGGAAAAGACAGGCACTTGGAGGACGGGTGGTTAGGGAGTGCTGTCAGAAGTGTGTTTGTTTTCTCTGTGGTCGTTTCTAAAGGAAGAAGCATGGGAACATATTTAGAGAGAAGAATACCACCAACAGTGAGGTCACCATTGGGGAAGGAGGCAGGAGGAATGTATTGGACAGGGAACAAAGTGTCTAAAAACTTTCGTTGAGCCCTGGCTGTTTTGGCTCAGTGGATAGAGCATCGGCCTGCGGACTGAAGGGTCCTGGGTTCGATTCTGGTCAAGGGCATATGCCCAGGTTTGGGGCTCAATCTCCAGTGGGGATCATGCAGGAGGCAGCTGAACAATGATTCTCATCATTGATGTTTCTATCTCTCTCTTCCTCTCCCTTCCTCTCTGAAATCAATGAACATATAATTTTAAAAATAAAAACTTCTGTTGAGCCGGGTGAGGTGTATTGCACATGCAGAGAGCTAATGGCAAGGGAAATCCACTCTGCTGGGTAGACGGGTGTCTTCCCGCACGCTCGTTATGGGGTCTGAGAAGGGAGACTGCCGTAGCATTAGGAGCTGCTATGTAACTACATTCCTGTCCAGTGCTTCAGAGGAGACGTGCTGGACTGGAGGGTTAATGCCAGTTAGGGTCTATGGTGTTTCACCCGTAGAAAAAGAAAGCTACCGTGTTTCCCCAAAAATAAGACATCCTCCGAAAATAAGACCTACTTAGAGGTTTCCTTCTGAGTGAAATATAAGGCTTCCCCCCGAAAATAAGGCCTCCCCTAGGCTAAACATGAGAGATTTGGTCCACTGATTCTGAAAGAAATGGAGTCACAAGAAATTCACCAGGAAATTCAGGAATTGGATTGTTATGATGATGTTCCAGAAGATGATGACATGATTGTCATTGAATAAATGAGTAAATTCTTGATACTGCAGGATTCACAGTTTGTCTGGTTTATGTTGACAACTACCATACTACCATATCGTATACAGGTAATAAATTTCCTTTATTTTCATTTAACAGTAAATGTGTACTGTATTCTTCTTCATGGAAAAATAAGACATCCCCTGAAAATAAGACCTAGAGCATCTTTGGGAGCAAAAATTAATATAAGACACTATCTTATTTTCGGGGAAACGGTACTAGAACAACTTTTAAAAAATCATGGCACCCACTCAAAGTCACATCTCCTGTCACCATATATTAGAACCCCCTACTCCTCCCACATGGTACAATATACAAACCTTATAACTGAAACCTATATGTTCATGCTGACCAATGTCACCCCAATAAATTTAATTTTTTTAAAAAGTCATTAAATCAGCCGAAACCGGTTTAACTCATTGGATAGAGCGTCAGCCTGCGGACTGAAAGGTCCCGGGTTCGGTTCCCGGTCAAAGGCATGTACCTTAGTTGTGGGCACATCCCCAGTAGGGGGTGTGCAAGAGGCAGCTGATCGATGTTTCTCTCTCGTCGATGTTTCTAACTCTCTATCCCTCTCTCTTCCTCTGTGTAAAAAACCAATAAAATATATATATATATATTTTTTTAATATTTTTTTGATTTTTTTTTCTTTACAGAGAGGAAGGGATAGGGATAGAGAATTAGAAACATTGATGAGAAACATCGATCAGCTGCCTCCTGCACACCCCCTACTGGGGATGTGCCCACAACTAAGGTACATGCCCTTGACCGGAACCGAACCCGGGACCTTTCAGTCCGCAGGCTGACGCTCTATCCACTGAGCCACACCGGTTTTGGCAAAAATCAATTAAATAAATAAATAAATAAACAAACAAACAAACAAACAAAGAGCCAAATCTATGTTCTTTAAATAAATAAATAAATAAATAAAAAGTCATTAAATCACACTTCTAGTTATTAAATGTAAGATTGACTTTCAAGTGAGTTGTGTGTGTTTTTTAATTGACACACAGTAGTTGGCTATCTCAGGTGTTAAAAATCATTTTACTGACACATCAGCTAAGAAGAACCTCTTGTTCTTTTATTCAAAGCTAGGCTTTCTGTACTGTTTCCTCCAGTGATTCTCCCAGATACGTTTGTGACATCTGTGAGGCCAGCAGAAGGGGGCTGTGACATGAAGACTGCAGCCCACACATGACCAAGTATTTGCTTCCTTTTCTCGATCAGCAGAGGATCATGCTTAGTCTTTCTTTCTTCTTTCTCTTTCTGTCCATACTCACTTATCCTTTCATCTTAGTCCCTGTGGCTGATCTCACTGTTTCTGTTTTAGGCAGAGGAGAAGCAGGCTCATCAAAATAAAAATTAAAAAAAGAGTATAGCTAGCTGCCCCTTGATGGTGGGCGGGGACAAAGGAGTCCTGACCTTTCCTCCCGGAGTGAAGGTCCCACTCTGCTGCTAGACATCAGTGAACTGAGGGCTGCTTGGCCTGGGTTCTGTGATGTATGACAGGGACAGGCCTGGGCTAAGGTGACTTCAGCTTCTGTCAGATGACTTTCTCTTGCCTTTCTGCCCTTAGGACCTTCTACCGTTTTGAGGCCGTGTGGGACAGCTCCCTCCACAACTCCCTCCTTCTCAACCGAGTGACACCCTACGGGGAAAAGATCTACATGACCTTGTCGGCCTACCTAGAGGTGAGGAGACCCAAATCTTGAGTTTCTATGAACAGGCAGCCCGGAACAGTGGACGGGCTAGAGAAGGAAACGAGGAGGAAAGATTCCACTAAGGTCCTTTTTCCCTCCACATCTGAAGTTAATTGCTTTGTTAAAAGATAAGCTTTTTAAAACATTCATTTGAGAGAGAGGGAGAGAGAGGGAGAGAGCGCGAGCGAGCGCAATTGGTTGCCTCCCAAACTTGTCCTGACCGGGAATCGAACACATCTTACAGGTCGCTGCTCTGCAAACAGTTACACCGGCCAGGACAAGTTATTTATTTGATTATGCTTTGCTAACTGTTCTGATTATATTAGTTTCTGTTCCTAATCTCTATTTAATCAATCTATTTTTCTTATAGCTTCAGCATTAGTACCCTCATCATCATTCTTCAAAGAATGTATGATTTTAAGAAAACTTCGCCTCCTGCTTTTACAGTCATGGACAGAGCCGAGTGGTGGCTAACAGCAGACTCTGGAAACAGCCTGTCTGAGTTAAATCCCTGTGCTGCCACTGCTGTCTGCATGTCTCTGGTCAAGTGACTTCACCTCTCTGTGCCTTGACTTCCTCCTTTCTTAAGCTGGAACAGTAGCATTTACCTCCGAACGTTAAGATGCTATATAAAAGGATTTAGAACAACACATGTTAGCCATTATTTGAAAATAAATGCATCTGCAAGGGACACCACCACATATTATGGGCTGGGTTGCTGCTGAAATAGTTGGTAGACCTGGAATCCTCCAGCCCCACATCCGGGACCAGCATTCTAAATGCAGGGCACAGACTCTGTCGCAGATGCTCCGTCTGTATCTAATGGGTCCCTTCCTGTCTGCTTTCAGCTGGATCATTGCATCCAGCCCGCTGTCATCACCAAGGATGTGTGCATGGTCTTCTACTCTCGGGACGCCAAGATCTCACCCCCACGCTCTCTGCGCAGCCTCTTTGGCAGCGGCTACTCGAAGTCACCAGACTCGTAAGTTTTTGAGACAAGTTTAGCTTCCAGTTGTTTTGCCCAGTACAGGACCAGCAGAGCTCTAGGTAGCCCTTGCTTGGTGTTTCAAGGTAGTTCACAACCTGGAAGCCATTATGGTACTGACACCTGGGATGCAGTGACTTGAATGTTGGCATAAAGTGTCAACATTATTCTAACAGAGTACCATTGGAATTTTTCTCTTTTAAAGATTTGTTCATAGTTAAGATATACAAAAATATATCTTACGCATCACCACCCAGCATAAGATATAATAGAAGGGTCAGTACCACTCCCTAGTCACACTCCCCAGAATTTGATGGTCATTCTAGTCAGACTTCCTCCAACTTTTCTCTCTTGCAATAAGAAAAGACACATTTTTAATTTTTATATTCATATTGTAAACTTTATCATTCAACTTTATTCGTCCTATTAAAATAAAAATGTTCAAAAGATTGCAATGAAAACAGATTCCTTGTATGAAAAAATTAAGTTCCGAATAGGAAAAGAAATAAGATACTTATATCTGAGGGTGGGTTGCAGTCCCTACAGAGGAAACAGTGCTTTAAGTAGAGAGAATTCAGATTTTCCTGTTTCTGTGATATAAGATATTAAGTAATTGTTTGTTTTAATTTAAATAGCAATCGAGTCACTGGAATTTATGAACTCAGTTTATGCAAAATGGCAGACACAGGTAGTCCAGGTAAGAGCTAATGGATGGGGAGGTGATAGTTGTCTTTGCATCTGTTTAGAGTGTATCATGTAAAAAATCTACCTTACCCATGTAGAAGAGAGAGAAACTTTATTAGAAACCAAGCATATTTTACAAGCCAGGTTTTTGGTGCTATATTTTTCTCAGTTACATCACTTTGTTTTGTGACGTGCAATACAGTTATAAAAACTTTACCGAGCTGAGGCTGGTTTGGCTCAGTGGATAGAGCGTCGGTCTGCAGACTGAAAGGTCCCAGGTTCGATTCCAGTCAAGGGCATGTACATTGGTTGCAGGCACATTCCCAGTAGGGGTTGTGCAGGAGGCAGCTGGTCGATGATTCTCTCTCATCGATGTTTCTAGCTATCTATCCCTCTCCCTTCCTCTCTGTGAAAAATCAATAAAATATATTTTAAAACAAACAAACAAAAACTTTACCGAACAAAATGTTCCTAGGATATGTAATATTATAAAATAGTCAAGTGGCCCTAACCTGTTTGGCTCAATGTATAGAGCTTTCATTGGCCTGAGGTCTGAAGGGTCCCAGATTCCATTCCGGTCGAGGGCATGTACCTTGGTTGCGGGCACATCCCCAGGAGGCAGCTGATCGATGTTTCTCTCTCATTGATGTTTCTAGCGCTCTATCCCTCTTCCTTCCTCTCTGTAAAAAAAATAAAATAAATCAATAAAATATATTTTAAAAAAATAAAAAAATAAAATAAAAATAATAATAAAATAAAATAAAATAGTCAAGTGTATTAGAATGAATTCTGTCAAACTAGAATTTGAACTTCCTGTGCTCGAGAAGACAAATCTAATTGAACTTGTTTGTGTCCTTTTTGATGTCTCATTGGGCTCTGATCCTTCAGCTCGGTGGTCTTAAGCAGCACTTTGGATTTGTATGTTTGTAAACTGGAACATAGACAAAAGGTTTTTGCTTTTAATATTAGTCATTCTTTTAAAAATATTTTTACTGATTTTTAGAGAGAAAGAGAAACATCTATATGAGAGCAAAACATCTATTGGCTGCTTCCTGCATTACCCCCTTACTGGGATCAAGCCTGCAACCAAGGCATAAAAGTCAGGACTTTTAAAAAAAAATTTGGTTAATATGAGTCTGAATCATTTTAGAGAACATATGTGGAAGAGGTCAGGGCTCACAGGTAAGATTTAGATTTAAAAAAAGAAGACTTTGCCGATACCGGTTTGGCTCAGTGGTAGAGCGTCGGTCTGCAGACTGAAAGGTCCCAGGTTCGATTCCGGTCAAGGGCACGTACATTGGTTGCGGGGCACATCCCCGGTGAGGGGTGTGCAAGAGGCAGCTGGTCGATGTTTCTCTCTCATTGACGTTTCTAGCTCTCTATCTCTCTCCCTTCCTCTCTGTAAAAAAATATCAATAAAATATATTTTAAAAAAAAAAAAGACTTTGATTATGATTCTAAGACCCAATAGCAGCTAATTATAGTGTCCAGAGAGTTCCTTGAGGATTATCTAATTAACATGAATTTATGTCTTTTATATGTATAATAAAAACAGTTTAACGTTTTACAAAATTAATGGGAGATGATGGGGTAAAGCCATCTGTCATCTGAACTACTGAATGTTGGTGTATGTATGTACAGGTGTATTTTAATATTTTGGGGACCATCATGTACAGACTATGTAATCACCTCTATATTTTCACTTAACATAATACCTTTTTCTCAAGTTGCATTGCAGTCTTTATAATTATCAAATAATATAAATCTCACTTTTAAAAGGAATTTAAAGAGTTCTTTGAATTCAAAGGGATTGAATTATTAACAAAATCCCATGTATCTACAGACCAGTTCATCATGTATATGAATTATCCATTCATTTTGAGGTAACGTTGGAATGGGATTTTTCTCAAAAAGAGTTATTTCCTCTTGCCTCAGGCATGCAGAGGAGGAGGAGAAAAGTCTTGGACACATCAGTGGCCTATGTGCGGGGGGAGGAGAACTTGGCTGGCTGGCGGCCCCGTGGGGACAGCCTCATCCTGGAGCACCAGTGGGAGCTGGAGAAGCTGGAGCTCATCCATGAGGTATGGGATGGGGGGTGGGGGGGAGGAGAAGGTGCTCAGATGAAAGCTCGGGCCGGAGACTCTCCGTCACCACTTCTGTGTGATCCTGGCTCTCCAGGTTCCATCACCATGAGGCATTATACTGTACTTACTAAAATCATAATGAGCTTTGTGTTTGCTCTTCTTAGGTGGAGAAAACCCGCCACTTCCTGCTTCTGCGTGAGAGACTTGGTGACAGCACCCCCAAATCCCTGAGCGACTCGTTGTCCCCCAGCCTGAGCAGTGGCACCCTCAGCACCTCCACCAGCATCTCCTCTCAGATCTCAACCACCACCTTTGAAAGTGCCATCACGCCCAGCGAGAGCAGTGGCTACGACTCCACAGACATTGAAAGCCTGGTGGACCGCGAGAAAGAGCTGGCCACCAAGGTGTGACTCCCTTCCCTCGGCTGGGCATTTGCCGTGAGACTAATCAGTCAGTTTCCGTTCCATCTTCCTTCTTTGAGCGCCTGTTTCCAGGCTGCACCAACACTGTGAAATAGAAACAAAGGGCTCAGTTCTACTCTTAGTTAGCTTCCATGCACATGGTGACAAGCATTTAATAGAGGTGTATGTCTAGGTGCCGTGGGAGCCAGAGGTGAGGCCTCCACTGGAGAGCATCATGAACTGGCCTAGGAGGGTGCAAGTCAGTCAGTCAGAAAGACCAGTATCACATGATCGCACTCATGTGGAATCTAAGTTACAAAATAAAGCGATGAACAGAGTGGATCCAGAGGCATCAAAGTATGGAACAGAGTGCGAAATCTCAGGGAAGATGGGAGAGTGTAGGTAGGTGGGAGGTAATCAGCCGAAGACCTTGTATACACACATATGCATTACCCATGGACACAGACAATAGGTGCTGAAGGCCTGGGGTGGAGGGGGTGGGGGTGGGCTGGAGGGAGTCAACAATAAAGAATTATTTCAAAAAAAAAAAAAAATTTAGCCGAAATCAGTTTGGCTCAGTGGTAGAACGTCGGTCTGCAGACTGAAAGGTCCTGGGTTCGATTCCGGTCAAGGGCATGTACCTTGGTTGCGGGCACATCCCCGGTAGGGGGTGTACAAGAGGCAACTGGTCAATGTTTCTCTCTCATCGACATTTCTAGCTCTCCCTTCCACTCTGTAAAAAAATCAATAAAAAACACATTAAAAAATAAAAAAATAAAATAAAAAAATTTAATGCTCCCTTTCTTTTCCCTAGTGTCTGCAACTTCTCACCCACACTTTCAACCGAGAGTTCAGCCAGGTGCACAGCAGCATCAGTGACTGTAAGGTGAGCCGCTCCCATTTCCTGTCCCCAGCTCATGCTGCTTTTAGGTGGCTTGACGTGGGCAGAGCATAGTATTTGAGGATGCATGACATATCTGCTCTTGTTTCTGATTTTCCCGCAGTACTGACTTCTGAGGTGAAAGTATGTCTCTGTGTCTCTTAGAGGGATTATCACATGGGAACTATTTTGGCTTTCCCCTGAACCGCTTGGAGAATATTCTGTAGGGGGTGATTTGTCATGTGTGACAGGGCACAGAAGGCCTGAGGTTCTTGGTGGCATGAGATTTTGTTGCCTTCCACACAGAGTGAGGTGGACACGTTAAAGAACTTCTGGGTCATTCGCTCAGTTCTAGTCAGGACCTTTTTGGCTTATTCCGCCAAGCGGGGTCTTTGCACCTTTGCCATTCCTTTGCCCAGAATGGTCTTCTTCCAGATGTTTCCAAGATTGGCTCACAGATGTTTCCTTTTTAGTTTAAATATTGTAAACCATACATTGTAAGGCCAACAACTCCCTGAAACGTCTCTTTCCCTGGCTCATATTTTGCTATTGCTCTTACCACTCGCTGACATTTCTTCTAATCCTCACCCGAGACTATGTTCTTACTGATTTGAGAGAGAGAGGAAGGGAGAGAAAAACAAAAAACCGATTGGTCGCTTCCCATACATGCCCTGACCTGGGATCGAACCTGAAACCTAGGTATGTTCCCTGACTGGGAATTGAACCCTCACCCTTTGGTGTATGTGACGCTCCAACCAGCCGGAGCCTGATGGGTGTGTTGACTGGCTTATTGTCCACCTTCTTCACTTAGAGTATAAGTTGCAGTAGGACAGGTCCTCTGCCATATTCTTAGAATTTTGTCTGCTGTGCTAGGTGCTTGGCTCATTTCATGAATGCAGGAGGGCAGTGGCAATAGAAAAAGCCAGCCTTGCCTCTTTTGTAAATGTCATGATACCTACCAGGACCGGTTTGGCTCAATGGATAGAGCGTCGGCTTGGGGACTGAAAGGTCCCGGGTTCGATTCCGGTCAAGGGCATGTACCTTGGTTGCGGGCATATCTCCAGTGCGGGGTATGTAAGAGGCAGCTGATCGATGACTCTCTCATCGATGTTTCTGGCTCTCTATCTCTCTCCCTTCCTCTCTGTATAAAATCAATAAAAAATATATTTAAAAAAAAAAAAAAAAGAAAGAAAAAGCCAGCCTTGCCTCTTTTGTAAATGTCATGATACCTACCAGGACACTAGGGCCATAAAATAGGTATTTGTAAGGCTTGTTTTCTTTAATGACCTGAAGCAGGATATTTTTTAAAGCGAGGTCACTGGTTGTCAAAGCTGCTCATTGCACAGGCAGTTTCTTCCACCTGAATCTCACTCGCCCTGTTCTTTTCTTCCAGCTGTCGGACATCTCTCCGATTGGACGGGATCCCTCTGTGTCCAGTTTCAGCAGCTCGACCCTCACTCCCTCCTCCACCTGCCCCTCTCTGGTAGACTCTAGGAGCAGCTCTCTGGATCAGAAGTAGGTGCCAGGTTTTTCCGCGAGAAGCTAATCTAAGAACTGGGGGAAGTGCCAGTCTTCCTCTAGCTCAGCCACCCCCCAGGCAGCACCCGGAAATATGGGAAGCCTTCTCTAGATGTCACAAGTCTGGAAAGATGCTACCGACATCTTTCAATATCACGTCTCCCTAACTTCCTGCACCAAGTCATTGGCTCCTCTTAGTCCCGTTCCGCTCACTTGTCCTTCCGCTCCCACCCTGCTTCTCTCCTCAGTCATATCCGACACAGGAAGCCCCATCTTGGGGAAAATATTTTAAAATGAAGTTGGAGGAAAATATTTTAATGATATAAAAAAAAATGAATAGATAAGACTGATGGAGACAACTTTAATGTGAACTCATCAGTACAGGACACCTCAAACTCCTTTGCCCTGTCTCCATTCATTCCGCTCCCCTGTCAGAGCCCACCTCATTATCAGCCAGCTGTCTATCTGACTGGACCAGCACTCGCACAATTGAATGTGGCTGGAGGAAATAACAAAGAGCAGTCTAATTAATTCTAGGCCGCATTGGCGTCAGACATTTATTTAATGTGCCACTAAGAAAGACAAAGCACTGCCAACTAAATGTGACACACTGTGGAGTGTAAGACGCATCCAATTTGAGGGATGGGAAGGCATTTGCAGATGGGCTTTTTGTAATGGGTGAAGTACAGTTAATTAGGCTAGGCTGCTGTCCGAAGAGGACTCTCCCTGCAGAGCAGAGCAGTGACCGCTCCCGGACATCCGGGACTGGTCCGGGGCGGGTGCCGCTGGGCACCTCATGGGCATTCAGAGACACCCCTCCCCCATTGATCTGCTTTCTCTCGGCCCCCAGGCTGTGGTTCTCAGACATCAGTGCATCCAGGGAGGCTTGTTCGAGCCCCCGTGGCTAGACCCACCCAGAGGGAGTTCCTGGTCCTCTAGGTCTGGGCTGGAGCCTGAGAATTTGAATTTCTAACGTGTTTCCAGGAACAGCCGACGCTGCTGGGCAGGGGTCCTCACTGTGAGAGCCGCTGTGCTAGGTGACCGTGGGACTAAATTGAAACAGAGGGATGGAGTCATGTTCCAGACACTTCTGATCAGGGCCTCAGGATAGGAGGTGGTCTGAGTGACATGTGCTCATCGGTGAGCAGCCTCCTGTCGGCCTCTGGAGGAGGAGCCAGCGGCCTGTGGGATGACCGTTCGGGCCAGCCTGTCCACCCAGGCCGCTCTCTGAGCCTGATGTCTGCAGGGCCCTGCTGGGCGGACAGGCCTCGTTCCTGCTGGTGGGATGGTTGTACACGTCCACGTTCCTCACTGAAGCTCTTGTTATCCCTGACCTCTCACCTCTCTTTTAAAGGACTCCAGAAGCCAATTCCCGGGCCTCTAGTCCCTGCCCAGAATTTGAACAGTTTCAGATTGTCCCAACTGTGGAAACACCGTATTTGGCCCGAGCAGGGAAAAATGAATTTCTCAACCTTGTTCCAGATATTGAAGAAATTAGACCAGGGTGAGTCCTCTCCCCAGAGGTGCTGGGTATTAAAGCAGCATGTGGTCTCTGTTGCAGTGTGATGCACATGGGTCCGGGTGGAAGCTCCGGCTGGGTTTCCGCCCAGCTGTGCCATCGCGCACCACCTGCTCAGCATGCTGTGGTGCTGTCTCCTCTCGCTTATTGCTTTGGCAGATAAGGTCCTAGGCCAAATAGACCATTGTCCTGCTTTGTTCACTCGAGGGACTTGGCCTAGGTGAGACATATGTTGATGGTCTTCAGCTCATAATCACTTTCTTTTTCTGTGAGAAACAAGGCTGTCTTTATTGTCCCTTTCAGCTCAGTGGTTTCCAAGAAAGGATACCTGCATTTCAAGGAGCCATTTTCCAGCAACTGGGCTAAGCATTTTGTTGTGGTCCGTCGCCCTTACGTCTTCATCTATAACAGTGACAAGGACCCGGTGGAACGTGGCATCATTAACCTGTCCACAGCGCAGGTGGAATACAGCGAGGACCAGCAGGCCATGGTGAAGGTCAGTCCCCCTCTCTCGGCTTCTCATCGCCAAGCATGCCTTCCCTCTGAGGTCTGGGTTCTGTTGTGTGACATATCTGGCTCCTGGAGTGCCAGTGCCACGTGCCGTATGCCCTGTGAACATGGCCGGTGTTCCATTGCTCAGCCCACGTAACTTTCTCGCCTGCCTGCATCTCTTTCAGAGTCCTAACATCTTCGCTGTGTGCACGAAGCACCGTGGGGTCCTTTTGCAGGCCCTCAACGACAAGGACATGAGCGACTGGTTATATGCCTTCAATCCTCTCCTTGCTGGCACAATACGGTGAGAAGCTGTCCTGCGTTCCCTTCCTTGGCTTTTGGTCCCCGGAACATCAGCATGAATAGGGAAGGAAGGCTTGTTGCAGACAGACTTAAAATAGGGAAGGGCAGGGGTGTAAGTGCGGTTGTGGGTGCTGACAAGGCCTCAGCTTCTCAGAAGCGATCCCCTGGTGTCCCGAGAAGCTAAGGAGGCGCTGGTCACGTTTGCATTTAACCGATCTGCTTTGACTTTTTCTTCTCAAGGGCTCTGCAGCCAGGTCTGCAGGGCTGAGCAAAGGGAAGATTGGGAGGCCCTTAGCAGTCTGCCAGTCATTATGCAGCACTGTGACCCGCCTCCCAGCCCATGAGAGGCCGTGTTGCAGGGGCCCCTAGCGGGAAGCCCACAGCCCAGCCTGCTTGCTCAGAGAGCCTGCGACCTGGGTCTGCAGCAGTTTGGGAAGAAGTCCAAGGAGGGGCCCGTGGGAGAAGAGGCCTGTGAGGAGAAAGGCCCGATGCGGTTCCCTAACAGGCCTCTCTGTGTGCCACCCACAGGTCAAAGCTCTCCCGCAGAGGCTCAAGCCAGCCGAAGTACTGAGCGCTGCGCCCCTGCCTTCCCAGAGATAAAGGAAGAAGTTACCTCTGTTTCTCTTTGTGATTCTTGACGGTTGCTCTTGTATGTAATCCTGTGGCTTAACTACTTTCCCTCTCGTCCAGCACTTCTCTAGCTCCTGTTCCCCATCTCCATTGCTCTGTACCCTTTTTCTTTTTTCCTGTGCTGAGAATCTTGTTGGTAGCATGTGGCCTAACAAACGGGGGAAAACACATACAACAAAACAAACAAAAACACAGAGCGGGAAATCCAGTGACTCTCAGATTATTTTGGTATATCTCGGCTTCCTTTTGTATGAGAGCTCCCCCTGTGACTACCTGATGTCTGTCCCGCTGTCTTTGGATATCTGTCTTTTTTGAAGACAACATACTACATTTTTCTTTTCTCTGTTTGTGCTCTCACTTTAATTTTTCTTTGGTGGCTTAGAGACAAAGCAAGGAGACATTGGCCTTTTGGGAAGCTGAGAGGGAAAAGCTTGCCTTTTTCCCTCTGTTGCTTTCTTCCCTCACTGGTCCCTGCGTTTCCATTCAGGGAGAAGGCTGTGGTGAGCTCAGCAACGGGGCAGGTATGTTCTCTGAAGCCGGGCTTGCTTAGAACATGGGTATGCAGTTTTCAGTTAGTGGAAGAGAAGAGAGGAGAGGGCCTCTAACCCCCGAGGCAGTGGCTGCTGCTGACTTGTCAGAAGGGAAGAGCGTAGAGTGGGGGTGGGCCATGGGTGGGTGGACGGTCAGTAGGGTTCCTGTGAACTTGCTTCTGGTCTGGGAGGGAGCCTCCTCTCTGTTCTGTTCTTGGCATTGGCGGTGATGGGTTTGGAGTCTGTGATGTCATACACAGATGTCCCACCAGGGGGAGTGCTTCGCTTTCTCATGAGGAACCTGATGGTCTTTGTAATGCTGAGTAAATGACCTTGTGATTGTAGCTCCCGTTTATCAAAGAAATGTAGCTTTCACGTATGAACCTGGAAGTCTCCTCTGAACCAGTGGTTGTTTTCAGTAACCTCTGTCGGACTGGAAAGACTGTCAATGATGCCTGTCCCTATCCTCATAAATAAGCAGGCCTGGCAGACTGCGTGCTGGACCCCAGGATCAAATTCAGCCGCTCCACTGCTAAGAACAAAGCGAAAGGACATCTGGGGGCAGGAAAGACCCGCCTGAGCCAGACCCCAGGGTGACCTCGCCTGGCTTCGCCATCGGGCATGGAGGCGGTGCCAGAGGAGGAAGGAGGAAGCTGATAGGCCCTGACGGGACAGGGCCAGCTCTTCTCAGAGGCCTGCAGGGTTTCAGAGTGACCTGGAGGGAGAAAGGCCCGCTTCCTTGAGCAGCTTCGCCATTGGTCGGCTTGGGTTGTTTATCCCATCCTTCACTCCCTTGCTCAGACTTCTCTGCTTGACCACCCCGTGGGCACTCGGGACAGTCTCTGCTGGTTCCCGCTTTGTGGAGATGTCGGGTCTCAGCCTGGGGGTTGCTCACTCTCAGTGCTGGGAACTGGGTGGCTTTGCCTCAGTGGCCAAGGGCAGGGGTCACGCACTCTGCTGGCAGGCTCAGCCCCTGCTTCCGCCCTCCCCGCTTGGGCTCATCTCACAACAGGGACTATTGCCTTGCCAAGGGGCGGTGGTGAGGCAGGGAGAGGTACTAAGAGAAAGGACAGAACCGCAGGCTGTGACCTCACCTGAAAAGTGGTCAGTAAAACTATCGATTTTTTAAACTTCTCCTTAAAACATAGGTCACTAACACTAATGTTACTAGTTTTTCTAAGCGACATTTTTAATGTAGTTAGAGGTTTCGGCATTATCTAATGGACACAACATGGCCTTCTGGCGTATACCCCGACCTAGGATCTGTCCGTGTGACTGCTTCCTGGGCCGGAATTAAACACAACTTCAGGGAAGTGACATTGGAAGGTTACTGTTAGAATCAAATCATGGATGCTGCTGCCGGGAGGAAGGTTGATGGAAGGCCCACGTCTGTGTGGCAGCAGGTGGGGAGGCTGAGGAATCGTGGGAGACACTGAAATGACGGGTTTCTCCTTCTAACAAACACAACTGGTGGGAAAGTCTCTGCTTTGGAGTGTCGGCTCTCAGAACAGGCGGCACCGGATTGTTCGTCACGTGCCCACGTGAGGGCGCGGCATCTCCTGTGCGCTCCCGTCCGCGGGGCCTCTGGCGTGGCTGACGGTTACAGCAGCCCCTTTTGGCACCCCCCCTTTCTCTGGGGCCCATCTTCAAACGAGTTGGACGTTTCAGGGTTGATGTTCCCTTTCCAGAAGGTTCTCCCCCACTTTGAAGTCCTGAGAGGCTTTCAGACCGGACCTCTTCTGAGGCCTTGGCTGAAGCCTGGGGCCAGGAAAGTTGAGGAATGGACTTGACCTTTTAAGGAAACCACCTTTTGAGGGTTTTTAATTTCTTTTTTTCCAAATCACTCCTTGAAACAAGCAAAAAAAAAAAAAAAGGCAAGAAAGAAAACTCTTACACAAATGAAGGAAGCATGAATGCTAGTTAAAAGTAACCCTCTGGTCCCCGCGTTCCCAATCCTCTCTCCTGCCAAAGCAAAATCCGGCCTCACAGCCCGCACCAAACCAGCCCTCACCAAGCCAGTGCTCCTGTGCCGGCCTGGGGGTCAGCCAGCCCTCAGACCGGCTGTGCGGGGCCAGCCAGCCCCTGCACACACACGGCCAGGACTGGCTCTGGCAGCTGGGCGGGTCCCAAATTCCTGCACACCGTTAACCAATGACCTTCCCAACCAGGAAACCCCTGCTTTATGTATCTCTTTCCCTTCAGCTCTGCAGAACTTACACAGACACTCATAGTTTTGCTGGATATTTTCTAGCTCTTTTAAGAGGAAAAGATAAATCATTGCGAAAGGCCTTTTGGGATCTAAAAGTAAAATGACTTCTCCTGGCACATATATCAAAGCAAAGACTTGGTTGCCTGCTGCTTGTTCTCTAATTATTTAATTAAATTAAATTCTGTAAGGTATTTGTATATTTATACAGCTGTAATTAATTGCACATTGGACTGGAAAAGAAAGGCTGACCTCGCGTGTGGCACGCCCCTCGGTTCCCCTGGGCAGTGTCAGGGCTTGTTGTTGGTTCGTTTGACGGGGGTCCTTCATCTTTCCTTTGGGTCCTTTTTTAAATGTGATTGTTAACCTGCTCCTTAAAGAGAGTTCTAATCCTGCTGCTGCTCTCAGAAGCCGTGCTGACTGTACTCGAAACGGGACTCTGACGCGTGGACTGCAGCGCCCACCCTGGGTGACTCAGCCACGTGCGTGGCCAAACCCTTACTGCGTGCGATAGGAATGCACTGAGTTGTCTGAGAGCTGATCTGCTTTTGTTGTTCAAAAGGCCATTTATGAAATTCCTATTCGAGCCCCATAAAATCTGAAAGCTGCTAAATCATTTAAAGGAAGCAATTAGAGTCGGTACAAATTTCATGTTAAAAACCCACAGCCAGATCGCTGTGCTCAGATGGAAGTCCGAGCTGAGGTTGGTCTCGCCGAACCTGGCTGTCGTGTGTCCTTTCATGTCTCCGAGTTATTTGACGCTGCGTGTTTGGCATCCGTTGGCCTGAGGGCTCCATCGGCCTTCTCACGTGGAAGGCACCGTCTTAGACTTCGTGGCTCCAAAGTGTCTGTCCATTGAGATTTCAATCCTCACGTCACCTTCCTTGTGCATTAAACAAACCCATGAACATAAGTGGCCTTTCTGAACCGGACTTTGCAAACTGATCTCTCCCCAGTGAAGGAGTTGAGCACATCAGCAACAATGTATGTACATTATTAATTTCCGATGTTCATGTTCATGTTTTATTATGTAAATACTATCTGATGTTTGGAGCGTGGGTATACAGAATGTAAATATAGTTCTTGTATTTGTACTAATTCTGGTTCTGTTGCTGTATAGCCTTAGGTGTGCAATGCAGACATTATCTAACTGTGTATGGTAACCTTGCATCACGGAACTATTAGTGATCATAATAAAGGTACACCCAGTGCACCAGAGGGCTCTCGTGTGCGTTCGTTGTTCACGCTCAGGGTGGTGTTTACAGAAACTTCTGACTCCCGAAGACACTGCTCTCCTAGGACAGGAGTCACGATGCTCTGACCTTGGTGTTCCTCTCTGGTCATTCAGAAGAGCGGCCCTCTTGTAACCAGGAAAGCCAGGGAGGTGCCGTTTCTCTGAAAATACCTCCCTCCCAGGTGGCTGATTTAGGTAAATGTGTCTCCCCCCTCCCTCAGCCCGAAGCCTCTCTATACACTGCCAGTGATTCTGTAGTGTTTGTGGTATTGGGGGAGGAAGAGGGCTGAAAACTTCAGCAGGTCACCTTAGTGTACTTACAGTTTCCTCTGTGGGCAGACCACGAGCAGGGGGCCGCTGTCCTAGGAGTTGGGGGAGAAACGAGAAGGGAGGAGCGGCAGCATCCAGGCAAAAGCCGCCATGCGCACAGCACACATCCGCGAGCCACCGGTCCCCGTGCTGCCCGGTGCAGACGTGCCCCCTCCTGTGCCAGCGGGAGGCCGTCCACGACACACGTTGGCAAGTGGTACATGTCACAGAGCAGAATAAAGCTGAGTAAGCGATGAGGGGGTGTGAGGAGGGTCCTTTCAGGTCGTGTGGTCAGGGAAGGCCTTTCTCCGGAGAAGACGTCGCACTGACCAGAGGGAAGGAACAGGTAAGCCATGCACAGTCCCGGCGGAGACGTTTCCAAGCAGAGACACTAAGCCCGTGGGCAGCAGTGCCCGCGGGTTCCTGGTGGCCAGGAGGCCAGCGTGGGGGGAGCGCGGGAGTCCTAGCGGCAGAAGGGCCAGGGCTCGGGTGGCGGAGGGCCCAGGTAGCTCATTTCCTTAGAGCAGTAGGAAGCCAGTGAAGGTTTTGAGAAAAGGAGCCACAAGATCTTACAGTCTCGGGTGGATTAACAATCTGGATGCAGACTGAGAAATGCGGCATCAGGCGATCCCATCGTGCGAACCTCGTAGTGTGCCTTCCACAAGCTCGATGGTGCGGCCCCTGCACACCCAGCTGCGTGGCCGACCACTGTCCTATGTGCCCGTCATTGGCCTGCATGTGCCGTGTATGACTGCATGCATGTTTCTGAAAGACCATGCTGACTGCAGAGTGGAAAACTTCTGGGGGGGTGGGGGGCTGGAGGAGGCTGGGGACAGGTGGGAGAAGGGAAACAAAGTAGGACATGGTTACTCCGACGTTCCACAGAGGATGCAGCGTGGACCCAGTGGGAGCAGGCCGCAGAGGCAGGGAGGAGTGGGCGGAGTCGGGATGCGTTTCATGTCAGAGCGAACAGTGGGCGGAGGGCTGCCTGTGAGCCGGAGAGAAAGACAGGTGACTCGGGGAGTGTGCTGAGCAGAGGGACCATGTGGCGTCTCCCGAGGTGGAGAAGCCGGGGAGGACTCCGAAGGGGTGGGACGGAATTAAGAATTGACTTGGGTCAGGTTCCCTTTGAGATCAACATCTCCAGCCACATTGTAGTCAGAGAGGCAAATGGATATATACTAGGATTCGGGGGGCTGCAGACATTGGGAGTTGTCAGCATGAAGGCAGCAGGTGCGTAGACCCGGCGAGGGAGGGTAGCTGGTGAGGACCAGGGGTTGTGTCTGGGAGCACTGCGACTGGGAGGGGTCAGGGAGAGAGGCCAGTCCAGCGAAGACGAGTGACCCGTGAAGAGAGAATGACACTTGGGCACCAGTTAAGTGTTTGGAGGTGGAGGAAGTGGTACTGCCCAGTGCACCGAGAGTTTAAATAAGAGCATTGACCACAGGTTTGGAGGACTGGGAGGTCTAGGAAGTTGGAGGGAGCCAGTGAATACCACTTTACCCAAATTCAGAGACAAGGCAGGTGGGAAATCAAAATACCACCTTTTTCACTGTTAATGATGTGAGTGGAGTCCTAGCCAGTTGGATAGAGCATTGGCCTGCAGACCCAAGGGTCCTGGGTTCCATTCCGGTCAAGGGCATATACCTGGGTTGCAGGCTCCTCCCTGGACCAGGCCCTGGTCTGGGCTCATGCAGGAAGCAACCAGTTGATGTGTTTCTCTCATGTTGATATTTCTGTATTTCCCTCTCTCTCCCACTCTTTCTAAAAATCAATGGGAAAATATTCTTAAAATCACAAAAATCAATGGGAAAATATTGCTTCTCTTAAAATCAAAAAAATGTGATTGGAGAATTGGCTCATATGTATGGATGAATGGATTTCCTAACACTGGACCTCAGAACTAGAGGGCTTTTCATTTAAACCGAATTGAAGTTCTGTTTCTTCTTTTTAAAAACATATATATATATTTCATTTATATATATATATATATATATTTTTTATTTTTATTTTTTTATTTTTTTATTTTTTTGAGAGGAAGGGAGAAGGATAGAGAGTTAGAAACATAGATGAGAGAGGTACATGCCCTTGACCGGAATTGATCCTGGGACCCTTCATTCTGCAGGCCGATGCTCTATTCACTGAGCCAAACCGGTTAGGGCAGTTCTGTTTCTTTTTAATTGATTTTTAGAGAGAGAGGAAAGGAGAGAGAAAGAGAGCCATCAATTTGTTGTTCCACTTACGTATTCATTCATTGGTTGATTCGCTAGTACCCTGACTGGGGATCGAACCTGCAACCTTGGCATATTGGGAAGATGCTCCAACCAACCTACCTGGCCAGCGCCTAAACTGAATTAGTTTCTAATGAAGCTGTTTGTCCTCTATAGCTAGACCCCATCCAGGGTCACAAAGGTTTGGTCCCTCACTTAGGGTCATTCTGTGTGAGTCACCATGTCCCAAAACTGATGCTGTAGAATGTTAGGAGGTTGAAGGGAACGGAGCCCAGTCCATGCATTGCTTTCCTGTCTGATTTCCTGGCCATGCCACTTCAGCTTGGGCAGAGTTTCCCCACTTTCCCTCAGGAACTCCTCCTTTGTGTCTGCACAATCCGAACTGTTCAGCTTTCCTGAGCACAACACATGCTTACCTGGCTTTGGAATCTATGGTCTCTGGGTTTTTACTAAGTTGCTCTTTCTACCTAGCATGGGAACAAGGCATTGGAGTTCAATCGTAGGATTTACACACCAAGTGAGTGGCGGAGTCGGGATTTTCAAATCTGCCCCAACTAGTATGTTCCACACCCTCTTACGTAAGTCAAACAAAGGCTCCAGCCCTGGGTGTTTGCAGAGGAGGGCTGTTTCTGTGGAATTCCTGCCTCTGCTTTGAGTTGGGACTTGGGGAGCGAAGGCGAGGCCAAAGGTGGTTATTGTGAACAGTCATGTGAGTTGACTTCTTAAGCATCCATCTCAGCCAAACATTTGAGGATTTTCTAAAAACTAAATGTCAGCCTGCAAGGTCAGCTCTCACTCCAGCCAGCCTTGGCTTCCCCGTGTCCATCTCTGGGCGGGGGCGGGGGGCTTGCTCCGTCCCGGCCCTGCTCCCCTGAGCCAGGCCAGGCTGCTGTAGTTTCCCAGCAACCCTGGGAAGCTGTATTTGCTGCCGGTTGTTAGCAAAGAAAGAAGAGACTGTGTGGCGTGTAACATCAGCAAAAAGAGAACAAAAACCCTGGGCTGTTTGATGAGAGACGTACACGTCCGCCGTAAGAGAAGCCTATTAGTAGGAACTCGGGTGTGTCCAGATGTTTAGTCACCTTGACTCAGCATAACTTCTCCCTTGACAAATCTCAGGCGAGAGCAATCAACTCGTTCTGCAACAAATGTGCTGGTCGGCTTCCCTGGTAACCCAGCCCACAGAGGGAGGAAGCCCTGGCCACAGAGTGGAGAGGCGTGGGAGGCCCGGGCCTCTGGAAGGGAGCTATTGTGTCAGGTTGAATCTGTCAGATTTCCACTACGGCTGCTCCTTCTCCGAAGCTGGTCATTGGGAGTTCATTCCAGTTCGCTTTCCACTTAAAGCCAACTAAACATCTAACGTACGCCGGCCCCAGCCTCACGGGGAACACGCCTGAGTATGCATGATCAGGGCCTGCTGACCCGATTGGGAGGTGCTGGGCTGGCCCTGGCAGACCTGGGTTCAAGTTCGGTGCTGCCGCTCACCGGCTGGGAGTGTCGACTTGCCCGAGCTGCGTTTCCTTGTCACCTTAGGTCATGTGAATAGTGACACCTCAGGATGATACAGCAATCTGAAGTTTACAGGCGGTAGCTCTTTTTGATGGGAGGAAGGAGGGAGGCGGAATCCCTGCATCACGGAGCCTGCAGGCTTACCTCTAGACTAGAGAATGGCGGGGCTTGGGTGGTTCCATCCACCTGTCCTTCCTGAACTTTCTCCTGCTCTGTCTGCTTCCGGGCCTCTCACTGGCTAATGGGCTGTGCCGGATCGGCTTGTGGAAGAGGAATCAGTGCCAGAGGAGGCAGCCCCCAGCTCAGAATCTGTGTCTGTGTGGCCCCTGGTCAGTGCCTTCCGAGAAGCCCCAGCCTCTGACCACTCACTCCCAGGTGCACTGACGGCCTCATTGCAGACAAAAGGACGGTGCCAGGGAGGGCGTGCTGGCTACGGCAGTAGGAAGGGGATAGGGAAGGCTCGCTGCAAAAAAGAAGCGTAGCCCTAACCGCTGTGGCTCAGTGGATAGAGCTTTGGCCTGCAGACTGAAGGGTCCCGGGTTCTATTCCAGTCAAGGGCACATGCCCGGGTTATGGGCTCGATTCCCAGTAGGGGGTGTGCAGGAGGCAACCGATCCATGATTCTCATCATTGATGTTTCTATCTCTCCCTCTCTCTTCCTCTCTGAAATCAATAAAAATATATTAAAAAAAAGAAAAAAGAAACCCCCCAGCTTGCTCACCTGGGGTCTCAGTTGGGCCAGCAGCAGACTAGTCAGAAATCTTACAGGGAGACTGGAAACGAGAGAGCACGGGAGGACTCGAGGAGCTCTCCTGGCCGACGGGAAACTACGTGTGCCTGGGATGTTCCAGAAAGCGCAGCCGGAAGACAGCCAGGGAACCAGACATGTGGGGGAGCTGAGAGTGCGGCTGCCAGCGCACACAGACACAGGCGGAGGCAGCTAAGTTAAGGAGACACCAGGCACCTCTCAGGAAGCCAAGCTAAAAACACACATGACAATAAAGTGTCTGAACTGAGTGCCAACATGTGAAGTGGGCGTTCAAGAGGAGAGAAAGGCCAGAAAAATTATTTGAAGAATTAATGGCTAAAAATTTCTAAATGGGTTGCAGGACATTACAGTTCTAACTCTATGAATCCCAATAGGGTAACTACAAAGAGATCCACACCTAGACACAGCCATCAGAAACTGCTGGAAACCAAAGGGAAAGTTTCCAAAACAGCAAGAGAAGAACAATGCATCTCGTATCAAAGAATGACAGTGTAATTGGTTGACTACTCAACAGAAACAGAAAGCCATCACCACTGACAGGAGATACACAAGGTGCTGAAAGAAAAAACTGTCAACCAAGGGGTTTTCTATCCAGCAAAACCATACTTCAGAAACAAGGGCAAGATAAAGGCATTCCCTGATTTACAACAATAACAAAAAACAAACAAACAAACAAACAAACAAAAACATTGAGAGAAATAGTGCTAGCAAACCTGCCTTACAAGAAATACTACAATTCACACCTGGGCAACCTCCATGGACTCAAGCTCCTACTGAAGCGAATGTTCGCAGACATTGTATTGAATGCACGGGGGCGAAGGGGGGGGGGGGGTAGTGTACAATTTTTAATAGGATGTGCTAGTGCCCCCATTTAGGGCACTCTGAAGGGGTGCAGCACAGAAGGTAATGGCCAGGGGGAAGAGGATAAGACATGGGATGATTGTGTTTGGATTAGAAAGACAGCAAAATTCATGGCTACGTCATTGTCAAATAGGAGTATTTTCTACAGCAAACAATCCAATTCATGGGCCGTTTTCCTCACCAGTCTTAGCGGGGATGATAGTAACCACTCAGGCTGGGCAGGAGGCTGCAGAGTCCTCGTCCCCCTCCAGGTTCCACAGGGAAGCCTAGGAGCCATTGGGTTCAATCCTAATTTCCACCACAGTTACGTCTCTCCTTTCTGATTCCTTTCCATGAAAAAGAGAGAAACTAGTCCTGCCAGTGTGGCTCAGCAGTTGAGCATTGACCCATGAACCACAAGGTCAGGGCACATGGCTGGGTTGCAGGCCCCATCCCGAGTGGGGACCGAGCAGGAAGCAGCCGATCCATAATTTTCTCTCATCACTGATATTTCTCTCTCTCCCTCTCCCTATCTCTGAAGTCAATAAAATATACATATATATATATATATATATATATATATATATATATATATATATATATATATTTAAAGACAGAAACTAGTATGTGGGTACTAAGTACCAAGCAAGTTTCTGTTTCCTTGAACCCCAGAGCTACCCTGTGAGGTTTGTCATTCCTGTTTTACAGACCAGGAAACTGAGATTCGATAACTTGCCCCAAACCGCACAGCTAGAAAGACATGAGGCTGGAGCCAGCTGTCAGAGCCACAGCAAAGCCCACTCCCTTCCCTGTCCACCAGGCAGCTTCCGGGAAAGGCATTCTGGATCGTTTGCGAAGCCATCTGATCCGACTCCGATAACCAGCTGCCCTAGCACCGAGGCGGGCTGGACCCCACGTTTTATTGAGAGGGACTTTGGCCAGCACCTAATCCGTCCCGGAGGGCGGTTCTGGTGTCTCAGCCTGTGACTCAGCAAGCCTCGGCCCACAGAGCCGTCTCCTCGGCTCTAACACCGAGCGCTGGCCTAGGTCAGCCGCTCTCACTGGGTGCGGCTCAGCACCCTGCACGCACTTAAAGATGGCTGCGGCCCAAAGGGCTTTTGCTTATGTAAGTTATACCTATCAACAGTTGCTTTGATTTAAAAAAATCAAAACTGATTTTTTAACAGAGAGGAAGGGAAAGGAGTAGAGAGAAACATCAATGAGAGAGGTACAGTGACCTTGACCAGAATTGAACCTAGGACCCTTCATTCTGCAGGTCGATACCCTTTTGAATAAGTTTTCCAAAACAAAGGGAAATTCAGTGAGATCAGTGGCATTTTTGACAATTTTGCAAATCTAATGAATGTCGGCTTCACGGAGCTTACGTAGGCTGGGCTCCCACACCTGCCTCCACATTTAACCTCTTCCCGATCACGGAGTCTCTGGGGAACCCTGTGCACTTGTGAGGGAACGGGAAGGAGAAAGGCAGAGAGGAATGAAAACTGGAAACAACATTGTCCCCTCTTCCCCCTAAAAGGGTCTCAGGGACCTTCAGAGGGGTTCCAGACCATCCTTGGAGAACTGTTTTAAAAGGTGGTACATCGACACCCAAATCAGAACCACCCTAGGGGCCTACTAACACCGGAGGGGCCTGCTAACATGTGCGTCTCCTGGCTTGTCCCAGACCTGAGTTCGCATTGGAGGCATTTCCTGGCACACTGGAGCTAGGGCCTGTTTGGGAGAGTTAGGTTCCTGCCGGCCTGGTTCACCTGAGCCTGGGCACTGGCACCTGTCGTGGCAGAGCTGGGCTTAAGACCAGGAACCAGGGCAGTGATGAAGCTGCCTCCTCCCGCCGGTTTGCCTGGCTGACCTGCTCTTACCTGTTCACCATCTTCTGTTCACTCCTCTCGCCGCTCTGAGAAGCACGCAGGGCAGCCAGGCGCCTTGTATATACCTTTAAAAATAATTTCTGGGTTTGCTCACAGCTCTCCATTTCTGTATCCAGTAAAAATCTTCATTCAAGCAGAATGAAGAAAAGGACCCAAACTAAAGGGACTGCTCCCCCCCGCCTCCCCCCCCAGGAGGAAGTTCTGCCCTCTCATTGGCCCCCTTGGCTGTCCCTTCAGTGAGTCAACCACAGTCCATGATCCCAAATCAGGACATGGGGGAGGGGTTATAAAAAAGAAACGAAGTGTGAGGCGTGGCTGGTACCAAACAGGCAAATGTGGAAGCAACACAAGGGAAAGAACAAGCTTATGTAAAGAATCTCTAGTGAAGAAGATCGAACGTAAAATATTTACAAGGTAGATTGTGGTATCATCGTAAAATCTCAGAATAACATTCCATTATTGTATTAAAAAATATTGTTACTGTGTTTCACCCCCTGACTTCCAACAGGACAAAACTGCTAAGTGGTGACATTTGCTAACGTGTACATGTTAAAACCTGTATTACACAGCAGCCTGTGCGTTGGTGTGATGGAAACAGTAGCAACTGCACGGGTTACTCGGTCAGTCACCACGGGGCCCTTCACCAGCCCTGAACTAACTGTGTGGCTTCTGCAATTAAACATCCGTTGAGCGCTCCTGTGCAAGCACCTGTCAGGCGATAGGAAGAAAAACAAAACCCTAAAAAGTACTGGTGGAGCCAAGCCTCCTTCCCAAGCCTGAAGTTGGGGGCCTTCGGTTCCGGGCTGGGGTCAAGGTGCCTGGCACCGGGGACTAGTGAGAGGGCCTGCGGGACGTGGTCTTCACAATGCCCTGGGCTGGCTGCTCGCCTCCCCTGGCCTCTGGTTCAAGGACCTGGCCCATCACCCCCACCGAGCACGTCCCCGCAGGCTCTGCGCACCTGCAAAAGGGGCTGCGGGCAGGACCAGCCTTTCCTGGCACCCATGTCACTGGCTCAAAAGCCCAGTGAGTGAGACCTCGGTCCCTGCCCGGAGGTGAGCGATAGGAAGCATAAGCGATGGGAGGAAGGAGCGATGGACATCCGGGCAACAGGCGTCCAAGTGCCTGGGACACTGGAAAGCGCGGCCCAACCTGACCCACCATCCTGCACGCAGGCTCTGCTGTTGTCTACCGCGGGCGGCTCCGCGCAGCCCCTCCACCTGCCCTGTCCCCGCACCCTCACCCCGGCCCGCGCCCAGCCCCCCACACCGCCTTCCGCCCCCCGCCTGCGGACACACCCAGCCCTCTGCCCGGCGGGGCGCACCCGGGGCGCCATCGATGCGCTCGGCGCTCTCCGGAGTCTGCCCGGGAGTGGGCGTGGCCGCCGCCTCAGGTGGTGTAACAGGCGCCTGCGAGGGCCAATGGCGTGTCTGTATAGCCCCGCCCCTTCCTTCCGATTGGCCAGTTCCGGAAGCCGCGCCCTGGCCTCGGGAGGCAGCCTCGGGATGCAGCCCCTGCGGAGCTCACTCGGTCGCCGGAGCCGCACGTCCCTGTGCTCTCCCCGCCTCTCCGCCGCGGGCCCGCGCCGCCATGGCTCAGTGAGTGGCGGGCCCGGGGGCCGGGGAGCGGGCCGGGAGCCGCTCGGCGGGCGGAGCCGCCCCGACGTCGCCTCGGCACCGGGGGTCGCCTGAGGCCGCCTCGTGGCGCCCGGAGCCCAGGCCGCCGGGGTCCCAGCCCTCCGGTGTGGGCCCCGAACTCCCGGGCCCGCCCCGCAGCTGCCTTTCCCTCGGACCCGGCGCTCCGCTCCTGGGCATGGCGCGGGCGCGGGAGGGTCCGCGATGCTGGAAGAGGGGGCGGAGGGCGGCAGGCATGGCCGAGGGGCCCGGGGCCCGGGGCCCGGCCGGAGGGGAGCGAGGGGGCTGGCGGCCCGCGGCTCTGCTCGCGGGGCTCTTCCCTCTGGGAGGCGGGGCCCTGGGCGGCCCTTACAGACTGACTGGGGCTCACGTGCTGGCACCCTCCTCCGTGCCCCGTTGGGCGATCTCCGCGGACCCGAGGCCCCTCGCTGAGCCGGGGTGGGCGTGGTGGCCTGGCTTCCTGGCCCATTGCGCGCCCGGGTTCTAAAGTGCAAAAGGGAGTTCCTTGGGGGACAGCGGAGCTGAGATCTCGGGGTCCCGGAGTCGGAGTGGGTTGAGTGGAGCTGACACATTTTTCTCGTTCCTTCCCCTGGCCTTTCAGAGCGGACATTGCACTGATCGGACTGGCCGTCATGGGCCAGAACCTCATTCTGAACATGAACGACCACGGCTTTGTGGTAAGCCACCAGGGACGCTCTCTCCTGTGGGTTCTGGGTGTGCATTAGCCTGAGCCCTGGGGACCTGCCGATGGCAAAGGCCCCCTGGCAGCCGGTGCCTGTCTCTCCTTCTGTCCGCTCTGTGGCTGCGGAGGCACCGCTTTACACGGGGGTGTGGGAGGGCCAGTTCCCCTAGTCCCTGAGGAAGAACCGTCCTGCGCAATGATTCCGTCAGTTCTGGAAGGTTTGCAACCCGGGTAATCCTGCCAGTGTCTCAGGGAGGAGAAACCTGCTGGCTGTGTAGAGCTCTAACTTTGGCACCTAAGGAGGTCGGGATAGTGAAAAGTTCAGGTGCAAATATTAAACGGACTTAATCACAAGGATTATCAGTGACCAAAGCTGTCAGTCTGGAACCAGCTGGTTCTTAGATTTGCATTCTAACCAGCTAGACCAGTGGTGGGCAAACTCAATAGTCAACAGAGCCAAATATCAACAGTACAATGATTGAAATTTCTTTTGAGAGCCAATTTTTAAAAATATATATATTTTGTTGATTTTTTACAGAGAGGAAGGGAGAGCAATAGAGAGCTAGAAATGTCGATGAGAGAGAAACATCGACCAGCTGCCTCTTGTACACCCCCCACCGGGGATGTGCCCACAACCAATGTACATGCCCTTGACCGGAATCGAACCTGGGACCCTTCAGTCCACAGACCGACGCTCTACCACTGAGCCAAACCGGTTTCGGCAAGAGAGCCCAATTTTTTAAACTTACGCTTCTTCTAACACCACTTCTTCAAAATAGCCTCACTCAGGCTGTTGGTATTTTGTGGAAGAGCCACACTCAAGGGGCCAAAGAGCTGCATATGGCTCAAGAGCCACAGTTTGCCGACCACGGAGCTAGACTCTAGCCTGAGATGCCATGAGTGGTTGACTTTTACTTGTACAGGGTGTGGCAAAAGTAGGTTTACAGCTGTGAGTGCACCACACTCTTGTGTTATTATTTTGTTAATTACTGTATTACTTTCCATAGGGAGAACTATAAACCTACTTCTGCCACACCCGTATTCAGGTCTCTGCCATTCCATCCACTGAGATGAACTTGGGCAAGGAAAAGCAAAGGCGGGGTCTCAGCTTCCCAGAACCTCGGGCTGAATAGAGATCTCGGGGTCACTTGGTCCCCGCTCTGAACGCAGGCCTTGCCCGCCCTCGGTCTCCTCATCAGCTTTTTGTGCCCCCAGGTGTGTGCGTTTAACAGGACGGTCTCCAAGGTGGATGACTTCCTGGCCAAAGAGGCGAAGGGAACCAAGGTGATCGGCGCGCACTCCCTGGAGGAGATGGTGTCCAAACTGAAGAAGCCGCGGCGGGTCCTGATGCTGGTGAAGGCCGGCCTGGCGGTGGACGACTTCATTGAGAAACTGGTGAGGCCGGCCTCTCCCTCTTTCCTTTAGCGGCTTCACGTTTTACTTAAGAGATCCCCACCCCCGTTCAGGTTCTGACTATGAGCTGCTCAGTTCTGACAAATGATTGCTTAAACGTCTCCGTGTTGGTTAGCTTGATTGGCACTAAGAATGTAAAATTCTGAGGACGAGAGACGGATAAAGCCCATGGACAAGAGAAGCCATGCATGCAGCCATGTGCCACTTCACGACGGGGCACGTTCTGAGAAATGCGTCGTTAGGCAGTCTCATCCTTGTGCAAACATGACAGTGCGCTTTCACAAACCGAGCTGGGCAGTCCACCACACGGCAGTGCTGTGAGCCGGCCTCGTGCTCCGAGCTCCAGGCCTGGGGTTAAGTCAAGCACAAGAGACCAGGCTGCCATCGGAGACAGGAGGGACTGAGGCTGCTGGTGTAACAGCATACTCTTTTTTTTACAGCAAACATTTTTAATAAGTAGAAAGAGTAAACTATAAAAATAATGATAGTGTGGTACAATAAGTATACACACCAGTAACATAGTCGCTCATTATCATTATCAAATATGTACTGTACCCATAATTGCATGTGCTGTACTTTTATACGGCCGCAGCCCACATCTGTTTACAGCAGCTTCAGCACAAACACGTGAGTAACGAGTTGTGTATGATGTCAGGACGGCTTCGACATCACCAGGCGTTTTCCACTCCGTCATCATCTTATGGGACCACCGTAATGTATGTGGAGTGGAAGCAGTCTGTCTGACCGAAGTGGCAGTGTGCAGTGCGGGCTGTGGTGATGGCGCTGGGTTCTGTCTTTGATATTCAAAAACACTTAGTTTTGATTGTGTATTATGAATGTTTAGTGCTATTCACCAAGAAGCCCTAGTGTCCACATTTAGAACTAGATTTTATGTTTCTCCGTGTTTCTAAGTTGTTGTATTAAGATTTAATGTAAGTGACAGGAGACCCCCTGGGGTCCTAGGAACTGCACCTTGGTTCTTATTTTTGTACAAACAGTTGGTTAGCTCTAGGAAGTGTATCCTTTTTGGAGAAAAACAGGTTGCATCTGCCTGATGGCCGTGCTAGGCAGGTGGGTGCTGCCTCTTGCTGAGGCCCCAGGGGCGGGAGGCAGGCCTCAGCTCTGGCTCTGGTCCCTGGGCATCTGCCGAGGAGGTGGGTGTCAGATACGCCTGGTACCTTAATCTGATGCCTCATGGGGGCTTTCCTCCACCCGCCCCCAGGGCTGGGAAGTGGGCATACCTGTGGCTGGTCATCACCGTCTGTGTCATGCTGGCTGGCTGTTCCCCCCGAAGGACTGACGGCCGCTGCCTCCCTGGAGCCGGTGGCAGAGGAGCTGACGGGGCACCAGCAGCTCTTGCTCGAAGCCCTGTCTCTGAGCTGTTTGTGGGATCCCCCAGGGCTCCTTCCTTCAGCCCCCCTCTGGGAAAAGAGCACCTTGTACTAAGGGGGGTTTTCCTCCCACAATAAACGGAGACAGCCTCACTGCCAGTGCCCTGCCAGAGCCTGCTTTTCCCTCAAAACTCCCGGATGAAGGGAAACTGGTGGAAGAATTTATTCAGATACTGAAAACCAGTTCTGCAGTTACAGCCCTGAGGAAGCCAAGGGAATTCTGGCAGGTTTGCTTGCCCTCTGCTTCTTTTTTTCTTCTCTCTTTTAATATATTTTTATTGATTTCAGAGAGGAAGGGAGAGGGAGAGTTAGAAACATCAGTGATGAGAGAGAATCATCAATCTGCTGTCTCCTGCTCGCCCCCTACTGGGGATTGAGGCCACAACCTGGGCATGTGCCCTTGACCTGAATCCAACCGGGGACCCTTCAGTCCACAGGCTCTATCCACTGAGCCAAATCGGCTAGGCTAGCCCTCAGCTTTTACCAGGCTCTAGCCAGAGGAGCGTTATTGAGAGTAAATAGTCATACTTTCAGGCGGGAATTGGGGTAAGTCCTGGCGGGTTTGAGTTGGCTAAGGTGCCCTGCTGCTTTTGTCTTCCTGTCTGTGGTTCCCCTAACGCTGGTGCCTGGTTACAGGTCCCGCTGTTGGACCCTGGTGACATCATCATCGACGGGGGGAACTCCGAATACAGGGACACCACGGTAAGTACCCTCAGTGCAGCCTCCCAGGCCCGGGGCCTTCTGGGAAAGGTGCCAGCACTGCCCCCGAGGGCAGCTGTCCTCCGGGTGCCGGCTCTGTGCGTCGTCAGCCTGTTTCTGCTCAGACGTGCTTGGTGGCAGAGGCTCTCCTCGGCCACACGTGTCACTCGATGCTGCTGCTTAGATGCAGCCGGTCAGGGTTCACAGTTAGCGTCCCCCTCCCCATCCTGCACGTGACCGCCATCATGGAGCGAGGGCGAGGACCAGCGCTGATGCCGTGCAGGCGCAGTCCGCCCAGCCCTGGTCCTGCTTGCCCTAAACCAGTGCTTGACTGGTCTGATCCTGTCAGGATTTCCCAGGACCATGAACGTGTGTCGGGCTTGGTTCCCCCTTTGGGGAGAGGGTAGCTGTCCCCTTCCATGGGTTTTCTTTTGATTCCCAAACGGAGTGGGTCGCCTTTCTCTGACGACCAGGTGATGCTCGGATCGGGGCGTCATTTCACGTCAGATGCTGGGTCTCCTTACCTGTCACCCTCCTCTCCCTCTTCGGGAGAATCTCGCTCTAAGGAAGCGTAAGAAGTTGTTTTTCATCTAGAGGCGATGCCAACAGCTCAAGGCCAAGGGGATCCTGTTTGTGGGGAGCGGCGTCAGTGGCGGAGAGGACGGCGCCCGGCACGGCCCCTCGCTCATGCCCGGAGGGAACAAAGACGCCTGGTGAGTGCCCAGCCGCCGGCCGCGTTCCATACAGGGGGCTGGACGTGGGGCCTGCGGAGCCCTGGCCCCTCTGGGGACCGCGCTCGGCGCTGGGAGATGCTGCCAATTCCTCGTGTACACATTCTGTTGCTTTGACAAAACATGTGTGCACATTCCTCCTTTGCCCTTTTCTCCCCGTTATTCCCGCTAAGACTGACCGTGAGGTTCTAAGTAGGCTTAAAGGGCCAGAGGCTTTAAGGAAGCCGCTAGGTGGAATTCCTGTGCACTGTATGGATTTAGGGTCTGATCTGCCTCCTTAACTGATGGACGCTCCTAAAATAACTTGATTTAATAATAGCGAGGGATGGAAAAATCTGCCGGGCCTCTCTTGTCCCCGGGAATGGAGTGGGAGTGTTTTCTCTGACTCGGAAAAAACAGGTTTTACGCTGTTCACTGAGCTGGGTAGGAGAGGTAGGGGCGGCCACGAAGGGGGGATCTCGGGACGGAAGAGAAGGGAGATTAAGACATGGGGTGGGGGCGGTGTGAAGCGGTGCGGTAACCAATTCTACGTGCCTTAGACCGGAATGTGCCTTCGTTTGTGTCCAGAGACCCCAGAGCTGTGCCAGGCACTAAGGGGAAGGCTTTCCGGGGACGATGGTCTGTAAGTTCCTCTCGGCTCAGGAACTCGCAGGTTCTCTGTGTGAGATCTAGACGCGGAGGCTTCCTGCTTCTCAGAAGCTTGAACGCCCTTCTCTGGGCTCAGCGGCCATCGGGGTGCAGACAGGACAGCACGCAGGGCACGTGACAGCAGAGGCCCCGGCGCAGGCCCACCTCACGCTGGCGGGGCAGAGAGGGCGCTTTCACCTCCAACGGGGAGCCATCAGTGAGGCCCACGCCTCTCACCCCGGGTGTTAATGTCCTCGCCTGTCCCTTTGTGTCTTTGCCAAACCCTTTGCCGGCCGCTGGTGAGCGGAACGGACTGGTGACGTGGGAGGCGTGAGGAGCCCCGCCTTTCCTGGACGAAGGGTGACAGGCTCCTGGGAACACCGCGGGGTCCCTGTGCCCCCTGACCCTCACAGGGTCTCCGGGCAGCCCCTGTGGCCGCAGCCTCCGGCCGGTTTACCTGGAGCGCTGGGCACTCGGTTCCTTTCTCGGGGGCTCCCACCGCCCGGTAGAGAGAGAGAGGGTGGGGATGGCGCACCTCGAGTGTTTAATGTGGGCCTCAGCCCCTCCCCAGCAGCTGACCCGCTCTCTCTCCACAGGCCCCACATCAAGACCATCTTCCAGGGCATCGCCGCCAAAGTGGGAACCGGAGAGCCCTGCTGTGACTGGGCAAGTGCGGGTCCCTCCACGCCGCCGGGCCTGGGCACCGGGGTCCCAGCGGCTGGCTTTGCGGGGAAGCCCGGTCCTGAGCCGCTGGCACAGCTGATGCCTGAAGGCATGTCTGCTGCACGTGACCTTGTATCTCACGGGCCATTCATAACCTGAGGTCATAATACAAGCAGCCCTCCCCGAGTCACCCAGAGACGGTTCCTTAGAAAGGGCAGGAAGAAAGGGGTGAAGTAGATTTCTTAGCCGTGTTTCGTCATGGCTGAGGAAAGGTGTCAAAATCAGAGCGAGGCGGGCTCGCCCTGTGGGTGTTCTGCATTGTGCAGCAGCCGGCCTTCCACCCCAAGGGTGCAGCGCTGGGCGCCCCCCTCCCCTCCGGCTGTGCTCTGTGTCCCTTCCTGCGTGTCATCCATGTGGATGAGGAAACAGGAGGCCTGAGACCCCAGCGAGAGAAACATCATCAATCGGCTGCCTCCTGCTCTCCCCACTGGGATCGAGCCCTCAACCTGGGCATGTGCCTTGATCAGGAATCGAACCGGTGACCACTTGGCTCCTAGGTCGACATGCAACCACTGAGCCCGCTGGCCCTGCATAGGTTATTGTATGTGCCTGAAGGTAGAGGCGGAACGAGGTCTGAGGCCGGTGAGGAAGGAGGGAAATCTGACCCCTGGGCCGGCCGTGCCGGTGACCTCAGCCAAGCACGGAACTGGTCCTCACAGACTAGCCAGTGCTCATTGGACGTAACCACGTTCTGAGTAGGAGCGGGAGAGCCAGGGCTGCGATTTGGAGTGTTGACTCGTTTTCTCCTTAGTGCGAAGGATTGGGAAGGAGCTTTCGTTCCTTGGCCACAGAGCGAGTGCTCACAATACAAGTGCAGTGACAGTAACTGCATTGGACACAGAAGATCAGGAACAAAAAGCAGCAGTTGCCCTCACGGATCTTCATTCCGTGGCTCAGCCTCAGGGTGTTGGCGGCGGGTGTGCACACCGGGCAGGGACTCCCCTTCACTTTTGAAGTTACAGGAAGGATGGGGTGAAGCAAGGTGTTATCAGCCATGTTGCTTCACGGCCACAAAGTGTCCAAATGAGAGGGGGAGGCCAGCAGTGGAACCAGACAGCGGAAGTCCTCCAAGCGGAGGCTGCTCGGTCACCCAGGCGCCTGGTCCCGGGGCAGGCCGCCTGGCGTGGCAATGGGTGCGTGCGGCGGCAGAGTAAGCCGTTCAGTGTTTGACCCTGACCCTCCCTCTGTCTGGTTCCTTGCCCACTAAGTAGTTCTGGTGATGGGGCTTCCCAGTAGCTTGTCTGCAGGGACAGAGTGTGGATGGGGCTGTCACTGGTGACCACGGGGACCATAGTTGAAGTTCTCATCGTAAATCCAGAGACTGGGTTGTGATGTTACACCTCTTCCCAGCTTTGTTATAAAACCTGTCTTGTCAGCTGTGAGACCCCGGCAGGAGCACACGCCTGTGCTTACAGGCCGAGGGCCAGACCTGGGATCTATGGTTGTTTTTATCTCTCAGCCGTTAGAAACAGCTACAGTGCATGCACGTGTTTTTTTAAAAGTACGTGATTCCATGGCCAAGTTGTAGCCTCCAGCTGTTAGGAGAGTGGTCACCTCAGGGGAAGGAGGACTGGGGGCCGGGGGTTGCTTTTCATAACGTTGAGAAAGAACAGAAAGGCAGGCTAAAGAGCTCGAGGTGCTTTCAGTGAATTTTGGGATTTTGAAAACTCTTTAGAGGAATGAATTTGGAGTCAGTCTACATTAGCATTGGACTGGATTGAAGCTTGCATTGAGTGGTTATATACTGATTCTTATTTTAAACTAGAGGCCCCGTGCACAAGATGCACACACTGTGGGGGAGGGGTCCCTCAGTCCGGCCTGCACCCTCACAGTCTGGGAGCCCTCAGGGGGTGTCCGACTGACAGCGGTGCTCCCCCTGGTGGTCAGTGTGTATCATAGCGGCCAGTCATTCCGCTGTTCGGTCTCTTTGCATATTAGCCTTTTATGATGTAGGCTGCCATAAATATTTGCTCCCACTTGTTCTCTGTGAGGGGAGGGAGGCTTGTGAAGAGCTGGATGTTGGCTTTTCTGGTCTGTCCTCTGTCTCTGACGGCCGGTGCTTGGCCCCGCAGGTGGGAGAGGAGGGAGCTGGCCACTTTGTGAAGATGGTGCACAACGGGATCGAGTACGGGGACATGCAGCTGATCTGCGAGGCCTACCACCTGATGAAGGACGTCCTGGGCATGGAGCACAGCGAGATGGCAGAGGTGCGTGCGCCGCTCCGCCGGCAGCCAGCGTGCTTGTGCTCCTCGCCGGTCCTGGCGGCCTGGCTGGACTGATTGAAGGGCAGCCCTGGGTTAAGGGCTATAAAACAAGGTGTTCTCCCTGAGCCGGAGCTCTGCTGTTTCATGCCCGTTTCCCTGCTCCTCCCGCTGTCCCAGGTGGGAGGTACATCTAATTTTTAAATTTGTGTCGCCCTCACAGACTTGGCCTTACTATTCTTTCCAAAACAATGTAACTTAGTTTCCATAGAAACAGTGCTCTTCTTTTCATGCTCATATTTAATTGGCTTACATATTAGAGTGTTCCTTCAGGATATGTGCTGAGTTCTCTCTGTACGCCAGGCGCTGTGCTGAGTGCTGGGGTGTGACAGTGAGAGAACCACATGGGTCCTGCCCTCTGCAGCTGGCAGGCAGGCAGCATGGTTAGCCTCGGACCGGTAGACTAGCTCCGAGCGTGTGATAAGGAGAGGCAGGCCTAGGCGCAGCCAGGGAAGGCTTCTGAGGAGGTGACAGTACAGACACCTGAGCGAGAGGAGGGAGCACTCGCTCCGAGGGGAGGACCAGGTGAGCAGAATGTGGCATCACAGGTCAGCTCCCGCCTCAGTGGGAGCGCAGGCGTGGGGCCGCACCAGCCATGCAGGAGCCTGTGAGCAGGTGGAGGGCCTCGGCCAGTACTGCCCTGGGGAAAGCATGACCTGCCAGGGAGCCTCCCGTCTGATCTTCTCTTCTCTCACGTCTTGCTCCAGGCGTTTGAGAAGTGGAATAAGACAGAGCTGGACTCGTTCCTGATTGAAATCACAGCCGACATCCTCAAGTTCCGAGACAGCGACGGCACCCACCTGCTGCCCAAGATCCGGGACAGCGCGGGGCAGAAGGGCACGGGGAAGTGGACCGCCATCTCGGCGCTGGAGTACGGCGTGCCCGTCACCCTCATCGGTACGTGCGCCTTCGCCCGGCCCCTGGTCTCACCTGGTAACGCGATGGCCCTGGGGGCCTCGGTGCCAGCATGCCGGCATGTCGGCGTGTGAATGAAGGCCAGTCTGGATGGGGCGATCAGGATGGCTTCTGAGGAGGGACGGGCGCAGACACCTGGTGGACCGGCTGTCTTTCCCTCCCTGCTCACCGCCTTCCTCTTGATTCCCCGGCTTTTCCCACTTGGTTACCACGCACCGTGTGGTGGTTAGACCCTCGGTTAAGGAGGAATGCAGGTTGCTCGGCTCCGCTCCGCACTGAAGGAAGAGGAGCCCTAACCGGTTTGGCCAGTGGGTAGAGCGTCGGCCCATGGACTGAAGGTCCCGGGGTTTGATTCTGGTCAAGGGCATGCACCTTGGTTGCGAGCTTGGTCCCCCGTAGGGGGTGTGCAGGAGGCAGCTGAATGTTTCTAACTCTGTCCCTCTCCCTTCCTCTGTAAAAACAATAAAATGTATTAAAAAAGGGAAGAGGAAGTTGGCTGCTTTTAGCTCCTCTGAGTGACACCAGAGGCGGGAACACTCAGAGGGCAGTAGCTGGGAGCCGTTTAGTGATGGCTGACTCAAACGTATGAGTGTTAGGTCTCAGAAGGAACCCTCCTCGCTGTAGGGACTGCACCTCCTGCAGTTGAAGGCAGGCTGGGGCCCATCCCTGAGGGGGCGCCGGTCCTCCGCCAGCCCTGGGCTCCCTGAGGGGTGTCGCCACACTCGCCTCCTTGTGCCAGTTCTTACAAAGCTTCCTTCCGCCCACAAGTGCCAGCTCATCGTGGCACTGCAGGGCAGCTGCGCGGACACCTTCCTCTCAGTGTGCATAAGTTGTCCGTTGAGCAAGTTGTTTTTTAGAAGGGCTGATGTTGGAAGCTTTTCAATGTCTTAATACTGAAATGCTATTTTGAAACGTTTCTCAGGCCAATGAAGTAGCATTGTGAAACGTTGGTGGTTACCATGGATACACCGAACTATAGGCACACCTCCTTTTACTGCGCTTCAGATGTTGTGTTTTTTTATTTTTATTTTAAATATATTTTATTGATTTTGTACAGAGAGGAAGGGAGAGAGATAGAGAGTTAGAAACATCAATGAGAGAGAGTCATCGATCAGCTGCCTCTTGCACACCCCCTACTGGGGATATGCCCGCAACCAAGATACATGCCCTTGACCGGAATCGAACCCAGGACCTTTCAGTCCCCAAGCCGATGCTCTATCCATTGAGCCAAACCGGTTTCGGCAGATGTTGTGTGTTTTTAATCCTCATCTGAGAATATGCTCATTGATCTTAGAGAGAAAGGAAGGGAGAGAGAGAAACATCCATTGGTTGCTTGCTATATGCGCCCTAACCACAACTCAAATATATGCCCTGACCGAGAATCGAACCTGCAACCTTTGGTGCACGGGACAACACTGCAAACAACCGCAGCACTGGCCCGGGCAGAGGTTGCATTTTCACAAATGGACGGCAGACCCTCCCCAGCAAAAAGATCCCGCCGCACTTGATTGCAGTGCTCGCCGCGTTGCGGCCGTCTGGGGTCTCTGAGGTCTGCCTGTGTAGGAATTAGAAAACGGAGTTTTTTAAAGGGTGAGTCTGAGAATTACTTCTTAAAGTCGTAGTTGTTTCAAACTGATGTTAGTTAGTACTTCAAAATAGAGTCTTTGGTGAGCATTTAAAAATTAAAGTCCTTGCCCGGACCGGCGTGGCTCAGTGGCAGAGCATTGACTATGAACCAGGAGGTCACAGTTCGATTCCTGGTCAGGATACAGGCCTGAGTTGTGGGCTCCGTCCCCAGTGTGGGGCGTGCAGGAGGCAGCCAATCAATGATTCTCTCTCATCACTGATATTTCTCTCTCTCCCCCTCCCTCTCTCTGAAATCAATAAGAATATATATAAGTCCAATATATATAAGTAAAATTGAAATTTTACTCATGGACCAATTCTCAGTAATTTTGAATAATAATGGTTTTACCTCTTTTTTCCTCCTGAAAGCACCCCTTTGAATTCCATGTTGGTCTTGGTGGTTGAAAACTGTATTTATGTTGGAAGATCCAGTTGGAGGTTTTGAAGAAATGGACTGTTGGGAGCTTTTAGTAAGAGTTCTTTCTGATCCAGCTGATACGTTGTGGCCTCAGGTTGAGGCTTCCGGCTCGTTACAGTTGAAACTCTTGCTCCCCCTCTGGGTCCTGTGTCCGCGGGTGGGGCGGGCGTGGTCAGACCCTGTGCCCTCCCCCCCGCAGGAGAAGCAGTCTTTGCCCGGTGCCTGTCCTCCCTGAAGGACGAGCGGGTTCAGGCCAGCAAAAAGCTGAAGGGCCCTCAGAAGACCCAGTTCAGCGGGGATAAGGAGTCGTTCCTGGAGGACATTCGGAAGGTGGGCCTGTCCCTGGCAGTGGCTGTTTGTCCCTCGGGAGGCGGGTGTGGGAGAGGAGACTCAGTGAGGCCACGGGGTGGGGGTGGGCTCAGTCCAGCTGGTCCTGGGACCTGCGCTGCTCTGGGGAAGGCCAGCAGGTGGCTGCTTTGCTAATCGCAACTCTGACCTCCGTGTCCTCTAGGCCCTCTATGCCTCCAAGATCATCTCTTACGCTCAAGGCTTCATGCTGCTGAGACAGGCGGCCACCGAATTCGGCTGGACCCTCAACTACGGCGGCATCGCCCTGATGTGGAGGGGCGGCTGCATCATCCGCAGGTCCGTGGGGGCGGGACACGGCTGCCGGCGGAGAAGGGAGGTCTGGCTGTGATCGGCGTCCGTGAAACCGGCACTTTGTCCCCTCGGGGGCACTGGCCACAGACCAGTGTAGATGGTCACGTCACTTTTTCCTGGACGGCAGTTCTAACTAGGTTGTCCACACGATGCCTTTTCTTATATATGTTATATGTTTTTATTGATTTCAGAGAGGAAGGGAGAGGGAGAGAGAGAGAAACATCGATGATGAGAGAGAATCATTGATTGGCTGCCTCCTGCAGGCCCCCTACTGGGAATCGAGCCCACAACTTAGGCATTTGCCCTTGACAGGAATCAAACCGTGACCTCCTGGTTCATAGGTTGATGCTCAACCGCTGAGCCACACCAGCCGGGCTACACTACGTTTTTTAAAATAGTTCTGTGAGCACCGTCCTGCCCTCTGGCCTTCCTCCTGGGACTTTGCTCTGTTTTCATGGAGCTGACAGCTAGTTCTCCGGCTGAGAAATGTCCCTTTGCACCCCTCCAGGGTGTGTGTCCGCCCCCAGCTTCCCTCCCCACTCTCTGCTGGGCACTCGGTCTGTGCGGTTCAGACTCAGACCTCGATGACCGTTCCTCCTCCTGCCTGCAGGCCTGGCACTGGGATTTCAGGTCATCGGAAATTAAAAGTGATTTTCTTCACTCAGAGAATATCAGGATAATGGGATTATCTGTTTGTTCTCTGAACTTTGCGGAATCAAACACTTAAGGGGAAAAAGAAGAAGGAAAAAAAGATTCATTGACTTCACCTCTCGATTATTTCAGCGTGTTCCTGGGAAAGATAAAAGAGGCGTTTGACCGGCACCCGGGACTCCAGAACCTGCTGCTGGACGACTTCTTCCAGTCAGCCGTGGAGCGCTGCCAGGTGGGCCGCGGGCGGGGGCTCGGGCGTTCCGTTCGGGGCCTTTGCTCTGGGCGTCAGTGACCTGTCCGTGGGCGCTGGGTCTCTCCCGTGCAGGACTCCTGGCGGCGGGCCATCAGCACCGGGGTCCAGGCTGGCATCCCCTTGCCCTGCTTCACCACCGCGCTCTCCTTCTACGACGGCTACAGACACGACACGCTGCCGGCCAACCTGATCCAGGTGAGGCTGGGGGAGGGCAGCACACGGCCGGGCCTGTGAGCCGGAGCCTGCGTGTCAGGGCCTGCGGGCCGGGCCTGGGGGTTGGGACCTGCGGGTTGGGGCCTGTGTGTCGGAGCCCGCGGGCTGGGGTTGCGGGCCGGGAACTGATGTCCGGGGCTGCGTGTGGTCCTAAACAGCCTCGCTTCTCGTTCCCAGGCTCAGCGGGATTACTTTGGGGCCCACACCTACGAACTCCGAGCCAGCCCGGGGAAGTTTATCCACACCAACTGGACCGGCCATGGCGGCAGCGTGTCCTCATCTTCGTACAACGCCTAACCAGTCCCTTGCCACCCGACTCCCCAGTCAGGCACATTCCATTCGCCTCAACACTGCTTCCGCTCCGATCTTCTAATAAAGTGTCGTACGAGGCTCCTGAAAGGGAACCACCCGCTCCCGGTGGGTAGTTCTGTGGGAACAGCCGCGCCCCTGCTCCTGCCCCTGCCCTCTGGGCTGACGGGTTGCCACGTGCTTGGCCGGAGGAGCCAGCCCCTTGATGCCGTCACTGTCCACGTGGTCCACACGAGGCCCGACTGTGCCCTGCCAGGTCACAGAAGGGAAGAGGCCTGTGGGGTCTGCTGGGACCTTTGTATCATGCAGCTGAGCTCCCTTCCCCCCTTAATAAAGCTCTTCTTTCTCTAACTCTGTGCTGTCCACACCGCACCACATACAGAAAGGTCTGGGGCCGCTGCCTGATGTTTGAATCCAGTTTGTTTTCTTCTAACTTTGTCTCCTCTTTGATTTGTTTTTTTGTTGTTGTTTGTTTTTGTTTTAAATGTATTTTATTGGTTTTTTACAGAGAGGGAGAGAGAGTTAGGAACGTTGATGAGAGAGAAACATCCACCAGCTGCCTTTTGCACACCCCCTACTGGAGATGTGCCCGCAACCAAGGTACATGCCCTTGACCGGAATCGAACCTGGGACCTTTCAGTCTGCAGACCGACGCTCTATCCACTGAGCCAAACTAGTGAGGGCTCATTGTAACATTTTTTATGCCATCATATCTCATGATGAACATTTTGGAGGATGACATTTAAGTGATGGGCTCAGCTTGGTCTGGTTCAGTCTCATTCCTAGGCCTGACTGTTCAATCCTTCATGGGCCCAGGGGTCTGAGGTGGGGTTTTTAGCAGCCCAAGCCAGCCCTACAATCAGGCCTAGTCCCTCATCTCACAGGAAGGTAGCATGCTGGCTGGCCTGGGCCCACTTGGTGGTTTTTCTCGCAGCTGCACTCCGGGCAGCTTCCCTGGGGCGCTGGAGCCACAGAGGCCGAGACGGCAGCAGCTTCTGCACTTCAGCCGCTGGTGTCCGTCTGACCCCGATCTCAGGGATGCAGGGCGGGGGCTGACCTGGGAGACAGTTCTTTTCAGGAAATGATCAGCTTTTTTTAAATACACTTTAAAAAAATGATTTTAGAGAGGAAGGGTGAGAGAAACATAATGCTAAGAGAATCACTGACTTCCTCCCACGTGCTGAACATGGGATCGAGCCCGCAGCCTGGGGGTGTGCCCGCACCCAGCCTGGGGGTGTGCCCGCACCGGGAACCACAGCTGATCTCAGCCAGTCAGGGCTCACATCCTTGGAGGCAGACGTGGAGCCGTTCTTTCAGGAGGGACAGAGACAGTCAGGACGTGTACACAGTCACGTGTAATGGCGACGTCTGGGTGGATGACAGACGGCCCGCATGTCCGTGGTACCCCACATGCCCTGTGGGGGCTGTGCCACCAAGTTTGTGGAAGGGCCTCTGTGATGTTCGCACAGCAGTGAGGTCGCCTGACAACACATTTCTCAGAATGTATCCCCATGGCTAAGTGGCGCACATGTGTGAATAGTATGTGATATGTTTACAATCTAGTAATCTTATTTGCACATAACCAAACTCAGTGGCATAATATAGCTGCCACTATATTCTAATTCTCTGGGTTAGGAATTTTTTTTTAAAATATATTTTATTGATTTTTTACAGAGAGGAAGGGAGAGAGAGAGCTAGAAACGTCGATGAGAGAGAAATATCGACCAGCTGCCTCTTGCACACCCCCTACTGGGGATGTGCCCGCAACCAATGTACATGCCCCTGACCGGAATCGAACCTGGGACCTTTCAGTCCGCAAACCGATGCTCTACCACTGAGCCAAACCGGTTTCGGCTGGGTTAGGAATTTTTTGTTGTTAATCCTCACCAGAGGATATTTTTCCATTGATTTTTTTTTTTAGAGTGTGAGAGGGGAAGACAGAAACATTGATGTGAGATAAACCAGGGCCCAGGCTGGGGAGGATCCTGCAACCAAGGTACATGCCCTTGACGGGAACTAAACCGGGACCCTTCAGTCTGCAGGCCCACGCTCTATCCACTGAGCCACACCGGCTAGACCTAGGTTAGGAATAGTGAGGGGCAGGGAGTAGGGTGAGGGCTCATCTCTGTCCCACAATGTCTGGGCCTTGGCTGTGAAAGCTGGGCCCGATTCCGCGGCTCGGATCACTTGGAAGTGTCTGTCTTCACCTGGTGGCACCTGCTGGCTGTTGGCCGGGAGCTCAGGACTGTCAGTCTCGCTGTGCGTGTGGCCTCAGGCTCAGCAGGCTTCTAGCTCGGAGGTTCAGGGCTCCGAAGGGGTGTGTTCCAGCGGACAAAGGGGACACACTGCCCTTTAAGACCCAGGCAGGGAGGTCACAGAGTTGCTTCAGCCGCATTACATCAGGGGACAGGCCCCAGGTTCAAGGCGAGGAGGTTAGACTTCCTCTCTGAGCTGGCAAGGTTCTAGAGGAGGAGAAGTGGATTGGAGACGCTGTTTTAGGTTGGTTTGTTTTTTAAACCTGCCACATCCGCTTCCCTTGGAAAGGATAATTGGCTGAATGGGGAGGTTGGGGACCTTGGCCCCATTGAGGATCTCAGACGGTATGAACAACATACATAAGACTACATTGGCTTTGACCGGTGTGGCTCAGTGGATAGAGTGTTGGCCTGCGGACTCAAGGGTTCCAGGTTCGATTCTGATCCGGTCAAGGGCATGTACCTTGGTTGCCAGCACAACACCCCTGACTGGGGATGAAGCCCACAACCTGGGTTGTGCAGGAGGCAGCTGATTGATGTTTCTCTCTCATTGATGTTTCTAACTCTCTCCCTCTCCCTTCATCTCTAAAAAATCAACAATAAAAAGACTATAGTGGCCCCTGGCCGTTGTGGTGCAGTTGGTTGCGTGTCATCCTGGGCACCAAAGCCCAGGTTGTGGGCTTCATCCCCAGTCAGGGGTGTGCAGTTGATCAATGTCCTCACATCGATTTTTCTCTCTAAAAAGATCAATTAAAAATATTTCTAAAAAGGAATGTAGTATCTATCAAAGTGTATGCCAGGCACTGTTCTAAATTCACTCATTTCATTCCACACCCTCGGACACAGGTACTGTCATTATTATCCCCAACGTACAGATGGAGACCTGGGTGTTCAGCAACTTGTCCCAGGTCACGCAGCTCCTGGAGAACTGGTGTTTGAACCCGGCAGTCTGGTGCCAGGGTCCCGTGCTCAATGTGTGCAAATTCATCGACATCTTTATTGTGCACCTACTACCTGTCCAGCAAAACACTGTGCTGGGTGCCATTGTCTGATGGTGAGAAAGAAGCGTCTGAAGTTCTGACTTCAGAGCTTACAAAGCACAGAGAACAGCTCGTGGAAATTGACCAGGGAAGCGGCGTCTTTGCAGAGCAGCGTCAGGGAAAATGAGTGGTGGTCCCTCTTTAATGAGCCAAAAGGATTCAGGAAGCCGCAATGCCTTTGTCTTATTCATGGTGAGAGCAGAGGCTCCAGCCAGACTGCTCATAATCAGATTTGGGCTCTGCCGCTTCCTGGCAGTTTTACCTCCGGCCAAGGCCTTTCGCCGGCTGCCCGGCTCCCTCATATATAAAAGGGGGTGAGGGTACCTTCTTCTGAAGGCAGCTGAGGTCCAGAGTGAGCGCCTTCCAAAGCCAGGTAGTTCACCAGAGCCCTGTTCATGGTGCGGTTCGGTGCTGACACCTGGTGGCCAGCATACAGAACTCTTCATCCAAGAAGAGGACGGACTTCCAACCGAATCCGGTCCTTCCCTCAATGTGATGGCTCAGCCCTGGGCATTCTTCAGTCTGAAGTGCCTGGACACTTCCTCTCCCAGAGCCGCTGGAATGCTGCTCTTTTGCCCTGGAGAGCAACTGCTTGACAACGAGATCACACGCAAGGCACAAAGCACAGACACGGCCGGTAGAGGTTGTTATATTTGCTGAGCACTTACGTGAGCAATTTCAACCTCACAGCCGCTCTGAGGTTGGCACTGTGACCCCCACTCTCAGGAGGAGGGGACGGAGGCCTGGAGAGGTCAGTGACTTGCTCAGGGTCACAAAGCTGGTGAAAGACGCTGGCTCTGACCCAAGGCCTGGCCCCAGGACAGGAGCTCCTCCCGCCTCCTCACTGCACCCCTCCCACCCCCTGCTGTCCTCCCACCCCTGCTGTCCTCCCAGCCCCCTGCTGTCCTCCCAGCTCAGGGTGAGGGAGCAGGGTGGCCACGGGAGGGCAGAGTGGGCCTGCTGAGGCAGGGGCACGGATGAGGGAACTCCTGCCAGAGGTGTGTGTGTGTCCCCCCCTCACCGTGGCACTGAGGACCCTGGAGAGGGGATTCCCCGGCGAGTGGTGGGGGGAGAGGCCACGGGCGGGGCGCCTCTCAGAGGGAGTGGAAATTAATCAGAAGGCTGATTCCTCCAGAAAGAGGTTCTTTCGTTTTCAGCCCTTTGCACACTTGGGGGGGGGGGGGAGGGTGGTTTACGAGGATGAAGAGGATGAGGAGCGGCTTATGTGTTTACCTTTAATTATAAAAGAAATCCGAGCTTGTTTTAAAATGCAGATTACAGAAATGTATAAAGTGAAAAATTTGAGAGCCCTTATCTGCCTTCTGGACCCACTGTTCAGAAGTTAACTGTGTTGGTCATCTATTCTTTCTGCTGTTTTTTTCTTCCTTTCAAATACCCCCCCCCCCCCCCCCCCCGAGATCTGTACGCTTTTTCCCTTAAACAGAAATAAGATTATTTGGTTACACCGGTCTGCAAGTTGTTTTCGCTCAGTGTCATGGAGGACGTCATCCTAAAGCTGGCAATTTACATGCATCAGTGCCTTGTGTTTCCAAGAACCCTCTACAGCACATGTGTCAAACACAAGGCCCGCGGGCCAAATCCGTCCCGCCAGGCCTTGCAATGTGGCCCGCACCGCACTGTCATCACTGCACTCCGCTGCGTTTCCATCACAATGACAGTTTATGACTGTTCAGTAAACCATTCGGCCCGCGATTTAGGCTGGATTTTAGATTTTGGCCCCTTCTCTGAGTTCGACACCCCTACTCTACAGAGTATTCCGCAGGAAACACCCGTAGGTTAGTGACCAATCAACCCTAATGTCTCCGTATGTTGCAGCTCTGCCTCCTCAGCCCCGCTGCTTACAATGCAGCCGGGATGGGGGTAACTGCCGGCATGGAAGCCCAGTGCGATTTCTGCTTTGTTTTTGTTTTTTTAAATCACCTGAGGATCTTTGTCCTCAAGGATTTCAGAGAAAGAGGGAGGGAGGGAGAGAGGGGGGGAGAAAGAGAGAAACATGGATTGTCTCCTGCACACACTCCCCAGGGGCCCTGTGTTGGATCTGCAGGCCATGCATGTGCCCTGACTGGGAACTGAGCCCAAGACCTTTTTGGTGACAGGACAATGCTCTAACTACTGAGCCATAGGAGTCTGGAATTGACAATGAGTTTTTACACCGTGGAAAACGGCAAGTGCTACAAATCAGAGTTGGATTTGTTGTTGACTGTTAAAGTGCACCTTGTCTGGAGCCTTTACACTGTGAATAGCACAAAACATTGAGAAAATAAATGTTTGGTGACCAAACATTTATCCGTGGTCTGATTTTGACACTATTGTTGGTGGCTGAATTATAAAAACAAATTGGATTTTGCAAGGCTCATGGAAGTTAGAGCTGCATGGTAGTTACCGAGTTACCGTAAAGAATGTTGCGGAACTCCCTAACTGGTGTGGCTCAGTGGATAGAGGGTCAGCCTGCAGACTGAAGGGTCTCGGGTTCAATTCTGGTCAAGGGCATGTACCTTGGTTGTGGGCACATCCCCAGTAGAAGGTGTGCAGGAGGCACCTGATCGATGTTTCTAACTCTCTATTCCTCTCCCTTCCTCTCTGTAAAAAATCAATAAAATATGTTTTATTTATTTTTTAAATATATTTTATTAATTTTTTACAGAGAGGAAGGGAGAGAGACAGGGAGCCAGAAATGTTGATGAGAGAGAAACTGACCAGCTGCCTCCTGCACACCCCCCACCGGGGATGTGCCCGCAACCAAGGTACATGCCCCTGACGGGAATCGAACCAGGGACCTTTCAGTCCGCAGATCGATGCTCTACCACTGAGCCAAACCGGTTTCGGCAATAAAATATATTTAAAAAAAAGAAAACCAGAAATTGATTCTCTCACAGTTCAGGAGACCAGAAGTTCAAAATAAAGATATCAGAAAGGCTGGTTCCTTTAAATAATAAAAAAAAAAGTTGTGGAACAGCCCTGGCCGGTGTTCCCAGTGGGTTTGGCATCATCCCTGAAAGTTTGCTGGTTTGATTCTGGGTCAGGGCACATGCCCAGGGAGTGGGCTCCATCCCTGGCCGATGGGTGTCTCAGTCTCACATGGGCGTTTCTCACTCTCTCTCTCCCTTTCTCTCTCTTATAAAAGGAATGTTGGGGAAACACTCACTTGCTTTCCCAGCGCTGGTGTTACCCACGGTGCCAGGCCCTGAGCTGGTGTGGGGTGCACAGGGAGCCTGGCCGGGCGGCCCAGGAGGGGCTGGGGATGAACTGCGAAGGGCCCTTCCCGGAGCGGCCGCCAGGGGGCGCGCGCGCGGCGCCGCGGAGCTTCGCGCTTTGTCCCTCCGCGCGGCCGGTCGCCGGGGCCGCGGCGGGAAAATCCGACTGCGCCGGCGTGGCGCCCCCTGCGCCGGCCCGGCCGCCGCCGTGATGGAGGAGGCGGGGGAGGGCGCCGAGGAGCAGCAGGGACTCTTCTACCGACAGGTACAGGGGAGCCGCGTCCCGGCTGGGCCGGGGGGGCCGGCGCGGGCTTTCTGGAGACGAGAAGCCCTCGGAGGCCTCGGCCCGGCCCGGCCTCGGGGTCCGCCTCCGGGGACCGGGCTCGCCCGGCCGGCGGCGGCGCGGGGGCCTGCGGGGCTGCCCGGGGAAAGGCGCGGGGAGACGGTCTCCGTGGGGACGCGGAGTGTGGGCGGCGCGCCCCCGGGGGAGGCGGCGGGCGCGGGCCTGGGCCGTGAGGCCTCGGGCTCCCTCCTCAGACGGCGGCGGGAGGGTGGGCTGTGCGCGCCGAAGGGACCGGGCAGAGGTCGAGCCCTGCGTGCTGGCCCCGTGAGCGGCGCCCGCGCCCTCCCGCCGCGGAGGAGCCGGCCGCGGGGCTGGACGCGAACCCGCGCCGTCGGGTTGCAGAGGCCGCCGCCCGGGTGCGCTCGCATCGCGGCCGGCTCCTCCAGGGCGGCGGTGGCTTGGCCAGGCCCCGGCTCCTGACGGGGAGACGGTGGTCAGGGCCCCGCCCGGCGGGGCGGCGGCGGGTGACCAGCCCGTCCGTCCACCGTCCATCCATCGCCGGGGAGTGAGGGTGAGGGGAGGCTGGGAGCGGAGCGGCGCGGGGAGAGGCGAGCAGCGAGGCCGAGGCCTCGGAGGGTCACCTGGGACCCGGGCCCGCGCATGCGCGGTTAGCGGCAGGGACAGCCTCGGAGGGTCACCTGCGGGCCGGGCCCGCGCATGCGCGGTTCCCTCCTGTGAAGTGGGGGTGGGGGGGGGGTTCAGAAACTGTTTCCCGGCCCCTTTCTTCTGAGGAGCCTTCAGAAAAGGCTGCAGAATTCATGTACCCAACACCCACATACCCATCCCCTCCATTCGCCCGTTAACTTTTTCCTCCTCTTTTTTTTTCTTCTGAATTATTTAAGAATTAATGGCAGCCCTGACCAGTTTGGCTCAGTGGATAGAACGTCGGTCTGCGGACTGGAGGGTCCCAGGTTCGATTCTCGTCAAGGGCATGTGTCTTGGTTTCAGGCACATCCCCTGAAACCATCCGGTGTGCAGGAGGCAGCTGATCGATGTTTCTCTCTCATCGATGTTTCTCTATCCCTCTCCCTGTAAAAAAATCAACAAAATAATTTTTTAAAAAAGAATTAATGGCAAATAGCTTGACACATTACCTTGGCATTTTAATACTTGAGCATGCCTCTCCCAACCACAGCATCTCAATTATTACGCTCAGGACGTTTAATATCGATAAGGTTCTGTTGTTGTTAGATGATGTTCAGTCCATAGTCACACCTCCCCAGTGTCCCAGAGCTGTGTCTGGCAGCGGCGTGTTCCTTCCTGCAGGCCCCCGGCGAGGATCATGCCTCAGTTCAGGAGTCCTGTCCCTCTGGTCTTCCCTGGAGCCCCTCTCCAGCCCCTTTCCTGACCCTGATGGTCAGGGAGAGTCCATTCCTGGCGGAGGGGTAGTGGGAGGTGAACGCTGGGACGGCAGGAGCTGCCTTTTCATTTGTGTTCTCAGCCCCTGGTTCCCAGCCTGGCCTCCAGTAAACAAGCACGTGCTGATGCAATGAGGAAGGCTGCCCAGATGGGCTGGGAACTAAATGGTTTTTATTTTATTAACATTGGTTAATAAAATTATGTAGGTTTCAGTGTAGAATTAGATGGTACTTTATCTGTACGTTGCGTTGTGTGCCCGCCACCCAAATTCAAATCTCCCGTCACCATAAGTGACCCCTTTCCCACCCCATCTCTCTGGGCCGAGAAGGCAGCCTCGTCCTCTGTGCAGGGTGAGTGAGCGTGTCGAGCACCCTTCGTTCCCGCAGCCGTCCTGGCTCGGAGAACGAGCTGCGGGGCCGCCCCCGGCGCTGGGAGTGCGGCGACTTAGCCCTCCAGCGTCTGTGGCATCGGAGGGCTCAGCCCAGCCCAGGAGGAGGGTCCAGAACATGCCTGGATCCGAGGACCCTGCCCGTTCTCTCACCCTGACCCACCCACGTGTTCTTTAAAAAGATGGCCTGAGAGGGCCTGTATTCCTTCTGGCTGTGGCCCCTTTGTCTCCTGGACCGGAGCCTCAGCGACCAGCCTTTAAAGTCTAACGCTAAGGAAGGCAGGCGCCTTGCCTACTGCCTGTCCCTTCTCCGGTCCGGCCTTGTGTTCTATTTATTTATTTATTTGATTGCAGAGAGGGAGGGAGAGAGAAATATCAATGATGAGAGAGTCATTGATCGGCTGCCTCCTGCACGCCCCACACCAGGGATTAAGCCCGTAACCCAGGCATGTGCCCTGACTGGGATGGAACCTGGGACCCTTCAGTCCGCAGGCCAGCATCCATCCACTGAGCCAAACCGGCTAGCTGGGCTTGCCTCTGCTGTGAGCACTTGCTGTCGGTGCAGCGGTCACCATGTCCTGTCACTGTCTCCAGCACAGAGATGGAGCGTAGTTTGTTGACAGGAGGATGCGCCGTGGCTCAGCTTGTTTGGTCCTCTCCTCCTCTGCCTGCGGAAGAGGGTCCTCCAGCATCCGAAAGGTTGCTCAGGAGCTGAGCATCCTGCCGGGGCGGGCTCGCAGACCAACACTCAAAGGAGGGTCACGTGCCCTCAGGAATCTTTCCGGTGTTTTCCTGATCATGCCTCCCTCATTACCTGCAGGCGTGGGGGGCGGAAACTTGCAGCAGAGGGAGGGGGTCCTTTTGCCTTACGTGATTCACCCCCATCCGGCCAGGAAACCCGCCTGGTGTCCTTTGTGTCCCCAAGCACCAGCATGGGCCTCGCTCAGCGGGGACCTGGCGTGTGTTTGTGGATGAGTCGTCACCCAGATCCGTTGAAGTGCCACCTGACTTCTCTCCGCGCTGACCTGCCATTGATTCCTTGTCTTTACTTGACCTAAATCAGAGCCATTAACCAGGAAGTAATGTTTCTACAAGTCACACCCCAGAGGCCCCCATTAATTTATTAGTCCGCTCGGAAAGCCACTGAGCCGTCATGGGACGTGCTGCAGGAATTGGCCGAGCAGGCCCCTCCTGGTCTTCATTTTTAAGGTGGAAAAGGTCTTGTTTGCAGCCGGCCATGAGGTGTTTGGTTTTTGCTTCAGAGGCTGAAGGCTGCGGTCCACTACACCGTGGGCTGTCTGTGCGAGGAGGTGGCCTCGGACAAGGAGGTGCAGCTCAGCAAGCAGACCATCGCGGCGATTTCGGAGGTGACCTTCCGACAGTGCGGTACGGAGCCCTCCCGCCTCCCTGCACGCGTACCGGGGCCCCCGGGGGGGTTTGCCGGGAGAACATGTGGGTGGGTGCCAGGGTGTCACCACCCGACGGCACCTTATCGCTGACACTGTACCTGGAGCTGTCAGATTAGATAGTTTATGGAGGAACTATTTTTTTCTATTACACTAACACTGGGGCATTAGCACCTTGATTTTACTGTGTTTTAAACTGCCTGGAACATTAAACATTAAATTTTTTTTAGACATTAAATCTTTTATTTCCTGGCTTTATAACATTTTTATATCGCCCATAGTTTATTTGACAGGTATTTGCTTGACTTCACAGGAAATTAATGTCCCCCAAGCCCTAACTTGTAGCGAAATGTAAGGTTAAGGGATGGTGTCTAGGGATGGAGGGTGTAGCCACAGTTACCAGGAAGCCGGTAATCAAGGTGCTCGAAGGACAGGTCATGAGCCAGTGGCTGACGGCGCCCGTGCAGTGGGGCTGCCGCAGTGTCCCTCTCGCCTTGGAGGGGTTTGTCGTCAGTGACTGTACTTCCTGCAGACGTGGGGAGATTTCACCTTTTCTCCCGAAATAAGATTGAGATAAGGGTAGCTGAAGCATCTCTTTTTCTTTTTCAGAAAGTTTTGCCAAAGACCTTGAAATGTTTGCAAGGTGGGTACAGAGCTTGATTATCTGCTACTGTGTTTGTTTACATACTGTTGAAACTCTCCAGCTGGTGGTATATTTCAGGAGAGCTTTTTTGTTGTTGCATTTTGTGGAGACTGGTCTCCAATCACGATTCCACAGGAATGTAACATCTGCTTTAATCACGTCCATTCAGGCTTGATTTTGCATTTTTTTTTGAAGTTTTCCAAGTACGTTTTGATCAGTTCTAGGTTAAAAAGGCATGAATGATGTCTCTAGGACTCTGAATGTGCGGGGCTTTTAAAATCATTTCCGCAGGAGGGTCCGGTCCCTGCGCCAGGCCAGGCGGTGATTGCTGGCAGCTGGCCGGATGGTGACGGCACGCGGCCACGCAGGCTGCATTTGCCACGTTTGTTCCGAGTGAGCTGTACGCTCCTTGAAAAGAGGGTGACTTGCTTTCAGCTGGTAAAGCTTTAGCTTTTACAGGTGATTTATGCTCATCTCTTCAATTAGCACCTCAAGTAATTGAAAACAATTGCAACGAATTGCTTTTATGAAGCAATTTGAATGACTAAGGCTTGAAAGGGCCAGAGCTTTCTAATTTGCTGCCACTTCTGATTTGGTGCCAGCCTCTCACACCCCATACTTTTCACCTTGCTCCAGTAGCTCTTTGCTTCTCGGGTGAGTATTTTGAATGAATTAAAGCATAGGTTCTCAGAGGGCAGGCTCTAAATCTTTCCTATTCCTGTATATATGAGTCCCTAAAAACTGCTTAGCATCTTCAACTTGGCCAAAAGGGACAAGATGATATGGGATACTGATAGCTCCTATGGTTTATTCATTGTTAATTCAGGCAGTGGCCCCATATGTGTGGCCCATTATCCCCAACCCTGTGTCTCCTGTGCAATACTCTGTGTGTGTGTGTGTGTGTGTGTGTGTGCGCGCGCGCGCGCGCGCAATACTCTTAACACCATTACTTGCTATTTCTTTTCTCTCCTTTAAAAAAATTTTTAAATAAAACTATTTATTTGAAAGGGAGACACGAAAGTCTAAACGAGTAGGCAGATTTGATTTGCACATGAAGCTTTCTCCACTGCAGCACGTGTCCTTGGACAGCACGCTGCCCTCGGACAGCACGAGTGCTGGGTGCGGGACAGCCGTGCACTGGAGGGTGTGCACTAGCGGCTCTGCCCGTTGCCCGCCACTCATGTGCCCACATTTTTAGATGCTTCTGCAAAAGTATTAGAAATGAAAATGAAGCTAGAAATATTTAGCGTTGTAATCACTGAGTGTTCTACAAGTATTCAGCAATCTTTGTAGGCTGGATGGGAACTAACCATTGTTTATATGAGAAATTCATTTAAATTCTAAATAGTCAATTCACCTATAACGTTGGAAAATCATCTCAATTTAAGTTATGAATTTCTCTTATCTAGCTTTGAAATCTCTGGTCACCTAGTATTGTTCATGTGTTTAAAGATGAAATGTTTTGAAGAAGATACTCTATAGTAAGTAAATTCTAGGAACATCTTATATACTAACGGCTGATATGCAAGTTGTCCCCTTGGGAGTTCCACCAACTGAGAGTTCAGCCACTTGCTATGATGTGCACTGACCACCAGAGGGTGGCGCTGAATGAAGGAAGGCCCTGGCCTGCTGGCAGCCAGAGGAAGGAAGGCCCCGGTTGGCCCTGATCTCCAGCCAGGGACCTACCTGTGCACGGATTTTGTGCACCAGGCCTCTAGTTTTGATAATCTTTAAAACCTAAAAAGTGTTATAGGAAAAATGGCTTTGTTCTTTTCCCTAGAAATTTTTTGGAGCCAGGGGTTTGAATTAGGAGACTCTGGTGTATAATGGCCGGCATAGAGGAAAAGTATCAAACCACCACACGTGGCAGACACATTCGGTGAGCTGAGTGGTAGAGAGGCCTTCGTGGTCCCCTAAACAATTCTTTGTGAAGAGATAAACTAACCTAACTGTAACTAGTTCAGGGTGCTGCTTCCTTTCACTGCACTTCACCCAGAATAAAATACTGACAGAGCAGCCTGATGGGTGATTGAGGTGAGGCCACACTGTGTCCGTGGCACATGACATCCTCACCCAGGACATCAGTGGATGGCCTCACACGGAGTGGCTGTGTGTGTCACCTGGCTGACTTTCCCCTCTGTCGTGGCCCTTGCAGGTGGCTCATTGGCAGTCACCTCCCGAAATGGACATTACCTCAGGACAGGCAGATAGTGTCCGTCATGAGAAGATGACACGAAATGCTTTCACATTTAGCAGGGTGGGAAGGAATAATTTGGCCAAGTTATGGAGTATAATTTCTGTGTGGGTTTATCTTAATTCAACAGATATTTAGTATTGATTATTGGTTGCTGGCCACTTAGGAGTACAAAGATTCCAGTCTTTTCCTATGTACAAAGTTCCTATTTGCTCTTGAAGGAAGTTAGAAATGGCAAGAAAGGGTGTAGAGTTATAAATTATTGCATAGAGCTTATCTAATTACTTAAACTTTTTTTAATTTATTGATTTTAGACAGAGAGAGAGAGAGAGAGAGGGAGGGAGGGAGGGAGGGAGGGGGGGAGGGAGAAACGGGCGTGAGGGAAGGAGACATCTGTTTGCTCCATTGTGCACTCACTGGTTGCTTGTCTGTGCCCTCACCCAGTGTGAACCCTGCACCTTGGCGCATCAGGACGATGTTCTAACCTACTGCGTTACCTGGCCAGGCTCACGTTACCTTTCAAAGCAAAGATAAGGGGCCTGGGTTGAGAATTTGAATCCAAGTTATAAGCAAGACACAGACCCCCATTTAAAGGATGATCTTTTTTCTGACCAGCTCTTGTCAAGGGAGCGAGCACTTTACCTCCTTGAGGGGGCATGGTTGTTAGGAGGCAACTGCCCGGGCTTCTTGCTGTCAGTCAGTCCTCGGAGAAGAGCTTCCAGATCTTGATTCTCACGGAAATTTCCTCTCTCTCTCTCTCTCCCTCTCTCTCTCTCTCTCTCTCCAATTTTTTTTATTACGGAAATTCTCTTGATGCTCCTGTTCACTAGTAATGTCTCCTGAGCAGAGGCGACCTTTGTGTTGTGAGACTGCCGTTCCCTCTGTTCACTGGGGGTGCGCAGCGACCTTGCTTTTCCTGTGCTGTTTTCTGTGACCATGGTGACCCAGCTCCCCTCGGAAGGGGGATGCCTGGGGCTCCTTGCCATGCTGTGTTCCTCAGGCACCGTGGCTGCAGGGGAGGTGGGCAGATGGGCTGTGCTTCCTCTTGGTCTCTATTGAATTGGCATCTTGGCTGGTCACCTCACTCATTTTGTGTCTCTGTTGCTTAATGACCTTAATCTGAAAAGATGGGCTACTTAGAGATCCTTGCTAGCCTGAAGTCTGACCATGAACTTTGGTGTTTCATCAAAACTTTAGATAATACCAAACATTTTGGTGAATTGTTTCTGCCCTTTCTACAGACATGCGAAAAGAAGCACAATTAACACGGAAGATGTGAAGCTCTTAGCCAGGAGGAGTAATTCACTGGTGAGAGATGAATTTCTTCCCTCACTCCCCTTTCCCATCAGAATACATTATTCCCAATTAATCACTTGCAGCCATGAAGTGATTCCCCAGGGCACCTTGCATTAAAAACGAGAGACGGTTGAACCGTTCAGACCTGCCTGTAATTTATAGTCTTTTTTTCATTAAGATGGATCTTGCCAAGCCAATTTGAAATTTTCTAATCAGCACTCTCTGGATTTCATAGTTTGCCTTTTAGTAATATCTCAAAACTTTGGTCCCATGTTTCATTCACAGCATGATGTCAGAGATGGGTCACAGGCTGGAGTGAATGGGGATAGTTTATGGTGCCCACAGTTTTCCGAGCGGCCAGGTATGGAAGGAGGATCTGTTTAGCCAGGATGGGCAGGAGAGTCTGTCTTTTCAGAGAAGTCCTAAGTCTCTTGACCATGTCCGTGTTTTCCAGGGGAGACTGTGATCATCCCAGCCCAGGGGCTGTGCTGACGCAGGTCCAGGACACCCTCTGAGGGTCCCTGACTGCAGTCTGATCTTCGCAGTTAAAATGCTTTCTGTTCCTCCCATAATGTGAGCTCCACGAGACAGGGATTTCTGCCTCTTTCTTCTCTGCTCCATCTGCTGTGCCAAAAACAAAGACGGGCACACAGTAGGTGCTCAATAAGTAGTTGTTGAATGAATTTCTGCAGCAGTTGACTGTTTATAGGTTTTTAAGAAATAAATATTTAACATACCCTCTAAGCTTCACAACCACCCTATGAGGGTTAACACAAGTCATTAGCCCATTTTACAAGCCAGCCAACGAGTTGGTAATTTTCCGCAGTTCAATAGGAAACTCTCTGGTGACAGCTGAACCTTGACTTTCTAACCTGAATAGTGCTGTTTCTGCTGGGCTCTTTTTGGCTTTGCCCTTCTAACATTCTTTCTCCAGAGTTTAAGTCAAGGTTGAGGATGATATGATTTCCAGGTAAAGTAGGTGAAGTGAACCAGTGGAAATGAATTCTGAGTCCTAACTAACTTGGTCAACTGCAGGGAGCAGTTTCTGTCTTTTGCAAAGGAACGGTCAGTGTAAGCCCTCTTAGAGTATAACTCGCTATTGCTTGCTTATTTATGTCAGAATACGGTTTTGATTTTGGACTCTTAATTTTTTCCATCTGACAGAGCTTATTAATGAAGACATGCAGCTAAGTTTGTGCATTTGATTAAATTCTCCTTAAAGGCACTTACCTACCCTGTTTCCCCGAAAATAAGACAGTGTCTTATATTAATTTTTTCTCCCATAGTTGCGCTAGGTCTTATTTTCAGGGATGTCTTATTTTCGGGGAAACACCGTAGAATCCCTGGTGTGTGGTACTTAGTAGTTGCTGAACAATTTTAGTTGGATAAATTTGGCAGGGGGGTTGACCAAATTTGTGTTTTGTAAAGTATATTTGTGATTGGCATGCCTTCTGCAAGCTTCAAGTTTTAATTCATTGATTACTCAGGGAGCTCCTTCCTGTTTGGTAGCATAAAGAGCAGCAGTGAGTTGACTTGTAGTTGATTCCGGCTACAGGAAAAATGTGAAGCTCTGTCTGACTCTGAGGAATGTGACCCCGGCTCTTCCACCCGAATTCTTTCCGTGGGAGTGGTGGGGAGACGGTGTAGATTTATCCCCTTAGACTTACAAAATGGCTTTGCAACCAGATAAAAATATAACTAAAAAAATTTTTTTGTAGCTAAAATACATCACAGAGAAAAGTGAAGAGATCACTCGGACCAATGCAGAACGAAAAACAAAGAAGAAAAAGAAATCAGAGGATGAAAACAAAGATTCGTTGGAGCCAGCAGAGGCTGGCGGAGGGGGAAATGAGAATTAAACTCTGTCACCACTTGGACAAAGCAGCCCTGAGCAGGGAGAGCCACCGAAAACGTATATTGCCACAAAGGGAACTTAAAGGGAGGAGAGATTAAAACACACACACAAAAAAGAGGCGAGGGAGCCTTTTGTGCCGTGTTCTCCAAGTCAGTGACGCAACAGCACTTTAAAGAGGATGGGGGAGCGGGGGAGTAGAATAGAAACTCCAGCAGAATGCTCCCTCCGTGTCTCCCTGAAGCACACGACAAGGCTCGTCTTTCCGTGGTGGATATGGGAAGTGGTGTCTATTGCAATTAATAAAATTGTGTTGGCAGTTCAATATGGTTGATTTTTCTCAAGCAAAAATCATAGTTACTGCTTAATTCTTTTACATAATTTTTTAGGCTGGCAATTCCTGAAAATGAATAAGCTATATTTACGTAGTTCTTTTGCTTACCCATGTTTTAAACCCATGTCGCTTGTGATCACAAGGTAAAAAGGTTTGGGAAATGTTCCTTTTTATCTTTTAAATGTCATTTTCTCCAGAAACACAGTTTTTGTGATTTTCCTCGGGCTATTTTGTAATTAAACTGGTTCTGCTGGGGAGAAGTTTTGCTTGAGAGGAAAACCTGGCCTCTGATTCCAAACACAGTGTGTTGTCCTCTGTCTTTTTGGTGAGGTGATGCTTCCAGGAGCCCCCGTTCTGTCTTCTTTTGGGGGTGCTTAGAGGTCCAGGCTGTGCCTTTCCCCTACAGGGCCAGGAGGGTCAAGAGAAGGGACTGGCATTTACCGAGCCTGTCCGTGTGCCAGGCCCGCCCTGGGCGCTCCCGGTGTGCCTCACTGGATCCTCACAGCTTGTTCGGGTGTATCTGGTTATTCCCGTTTTACTGATGGGCAAGCTGAAGCGTGGAGAGGTTAACCAGCTACTGACCAGTAGAGACTACGTACATTTGGGGTTAGATTTGAGGGGGCAAGAGAAAAAAGGGCATGCATTTTGGAAAGGATTTTTACCATCCGTGCCCAGATGTGATTAGCAAAAGACATCCCAAAGCCCAGCAATCAAAGAGAGATGCTAAGCTGTGATCATAGTAAAGCATTGAATTCAAACTTTAGTTTTGGCTCCTCAAATAACTAATCTCAGATGTTAATTGGAACACATGTGTGTCACATCAGTGAAGGAAAAGGAAATCAAGGAGCCTTCCATCTTTACAGGACACTCCCACCAGAGATCTGTGTATTAGTTTCATTTTCAGATAAACTCTCTTAAAACTCCTCACCAGCGAGAATCTAGAGACTAAGTACGATGGACTTTCCAAAGGGTGACAAGCCTAGATTTGCACCCTGCTTTTGCCACGCCAGTAGCTGTATGACTTTCTGAAACTGTTCTTAACAGTGACCAGGGCTAGAAGCACCTCGCAGGGAGGTGTGTGTGACGGAAGAGGAAACGGGGAGGGCCGCTCCGCCTCGTACGCAGTGATGTCCAGGAAGAGTTAACCGGACACGCCTGCTCCCTCTACTGAACTGGAGTCCAGAAAGAACCCCTAGGGTCACTTAGTCCCTCTTCCCACCAGCTGGGAACCCTTCTACAGCATTCCTGGGGTGTGGCTCCCCGGGCTCTGCTGAGCTCCAGCAACGAGAGCCCTCTCTTACTGGACACTAATTCCGAGGTTCTTCTGTTGATGAGAAAACTCTCCCACCTCTTCCTCCTCCTCTCTGGGTCTGTTCTACCCTTTAGAATGAGCAGCCTTTGTTTTTCCTGTTCATCAAGGTTCTCGTCGTTCCTCTTTTCAGAAACACCTTCTTGCATCAAACATTGGATGATCAGCCGCCCGGAGGCAGACTTTGGGTGGTGAACCGTGACCGCTTGGTGCTTGTGTGGTGCCTGGCACGGTAGGCACGCTGTGGAGGCTGATTCCGTGGGGCCCAGGATGTGCCATGGGATAAGTTGGAGCCCTGGCTTAGGTTACTTGGCTCTACCCAGGGTTTCCTGCCTTCACAGTGAGGAAAGCCGGGGGTGGCACAGAGGACCTCCCAGCCTGCGCTTCTCCGTGGTGGCTCCGTCCTCAGGCGGAGAGTGAGCCCAGGAGCCCAAGTGCAGGTCATTCAGTAGAAGATGTTTTACACCTGACACACGAAACAATTTACCCTTACTCTCTGTGATACGCTCTCATTTCTGTTCATTCAAAAAAATGCTATTTTATGACCCGCTAATGGGTGGTCAGCAGCAGTTTGAAAAACACTGCACTTGCATCTGTCAGCATCACCCGGGTGCTCCTTAGAATTGTGGGACTTTTGCTTCTCCTTGCAAAACATCAGAATCTGCATTCTAATTTTCATTTAGGCGGTTTGGGTTCACATCACAGTGAGAAGGCCTGGGCAGGAGGACAGCGTCTGGCCTGCTGGCCGGGGAGCAGATGCTCCAAGCAGCTCCCTGGGCCCTCATTGCTCCTTGTTTCTTCTGCCCGCAGCAGTCAGCCCTTCTCTCTGGGCAGAATCGCAGGCTGTGGGCTCCTCGCCCAAGGCGAATGCATACTGTGTCGAATGACTTGGTTTTGTCCTCGCCGCCTCCTGCTTGCTGTGGGCATGATTAGGGGACTTCTTTAGAAGAAGTGTGCATGAATTGCAAAGCGAGAGCAAATCCGCTCTGAACACGGCAGACCCGCGTCTTTAATGAAGGGTTCAGTCCCATCCGGAAGCGCCTTCGTGGCACTGATTGCTCTGGCATATGCGTCACTGCCTGAGTGCGGGAGGAAGGGTGCAGGCTGTGCACAGGTATGTACACAAAAAACCAGCTGCAGGTTGAGCTAAAAATACCCCCCGTCTCAGAGAGACCCACGTCCACAAAACACCGGTTTCAGGGCTGCCCAGAGAGACGGGCAGCCACAGAGCTGGAAGGATCGCCTGTCAGCCTGCAGGATGCCGCCACCCCTCTGCCTGCTGCTGCTGCTGCTGCTGCTGCTCCCCACGGCCGCCGCGGCCCTGCCTCTGGAGGGCGGCCTTGCCGGCCACCACAGCGACAGTGGGGTGAGTAGTCCCTGACTTGGCCACATGCTAGCCCCCGTTCTGGCTGTCTCGCTACCTGGCCCGTTTGGCCATGCCTGTGACTCCCCAGCATCCTCATGGCCGAGAGCGTAGGACAGGCCGAGGGGCTGAGCTTCATGGTGCTCCCTCTGCCCTGGGGTCCTGTGATGTCACACAGACCACGGAGTCTCGCTGACCAGGGAGCCGAGGCAGGTGGGAAGTTCTGAAGCCCGCGGGCTTCCTCATGCTTCATGCTAGCGGCCTCCCGCTGCGGTGTCTGCAGGCTCAGCGATTGGACCAGTCTGCTGTACGGCGAGCAGGTGCTCACCGCACTGTTAGTCTCTCTCTCTCTCTCTCACACACACTCTCTCTCTCTAGAGTCTTAATTCATACACCGGCACATGTTCTCACTGGCTCAGATGAATTGACATCGTTACATTCTTCCTTGTGAGAACTTGCAACTTCATGGGGTGATTTATTTTTCTCTCTTTTCCATTTTGAAAAAGTTCCAAGGAGAGTACATAAAGTTGACCATTAAAAATGGATTTTTCTCTGAAATTACCAGATGAGACTCGGACAAGTCATTTATCATCGGATTACTCCTGGAAGCTTTCTAGGGAGTTTGAAGGACCAGGATACAGCATCTCAGTCTGGTCTGTCTTGCAGAGCAATTTGTGGACAGCCAGGAGGGAGGCCAGAGAGGGAAAACCTGCTCCTCTAATGACCTGACCCCCCTCGGGCTTCTTAGCTGCCAGTCACTTATCGGAAAATGGCACATCTCCTGACCTCTTCGAATTAAGGACCTCAGCAAAGATTATGGGCGAAACTAGCAGTCTTTTTTCTTTGCATGATTGGGAATTCTCAACTTTACCTTTTCTTTAATGAGAGCAATGCTGCTAAGGTGGTCTCAACTTCCTCACCCTTTAAATGGATATGTGATTTATTCTGGAGCAATTTTATTTTTTTGAAGGAAGAATGGCAGTATTTACCTTCAGTTGCTGGCTGAGCCAGATGGTTGATTTTCCTTTGTCCTCTGCTTTCTTTTAAAGCACCTGCAGGAGGTGGCAGACATGAAGAAGAGCAGCCTGCTGACTTTCCTCGCGTGGTGGTCCGCGGGGACCTCCCAGGCCAGAGCCGCGCCCTTCCTGGGCGGGGCTCCCGGGGAGGTGGCCCTGCGGCAGGAGGGCCCGCCCCCGCGGCAGGCCCCGCGCCCGGAGCCAGTGCCCTGCAAGAACTTCTTCTGGAAGACCTTCTCCTCCTGCAAGTAAAGCTCCTCCCGTTACTCTGCAAGGAAGTGCAGCCGTGGACCCAATAAAATGTTTTAAGTAGCTAAGACCTTTCTTCTTTATGCAGTTGTCATCTTGTTTCTGGGTAATTTGAAAAGTATTTTTACTTTAAACTCTAGGGATGCCCAGTTCTGAGTGTCTTGAGTAACCTGGAACCCAAAGTGAATACTTCTGGTAGATTTTTGTGGGTTTGCTGCATTGTGCTCAGTGCAGCCACGGGCCTTTCCCTCCACCTTCATTATCTCTTTGATTTAAAATAGCTAAGGGCAGCCGAAGCCGGTTTGGCACAGTGGTAGAGCGTCGATCTGCGGACTGAAGGGTCCCAGGTTCGATTCCTGTCAAGGGCATGTACATTGGTTGCGGGCACATCCCCGGTGGGGGGTATGCAGGAGGCAGCTCATCGACGTTTCTGGCTCTCTGTCTCTTTCCCTTCCTCTCTGTAAAAAATCAATAAAATATATATTTTAAAAAATAAAATAGCTAAGGGCAAAAAATTAAGGGTTCAGAATAATACCTTATTTCAGTTTCTATTGAAATAAATTGTCTAATTAAAAACAATATTGCCCTCATGTTAAAAGCAAATTTTTAACACTGCTCAAAGAGCAAAATGGTTATTATTCATGATTTAGGAAAAATTTACTTAGAAACAAATGTCATGATATTAAACAGACATTATGCTGACATGTTCATAAAAGTTACATTGGAACCTGCCGTTGCACACTTACTCGTTTTAATGAGTAAGTAAATCATTTGTTAGAATATTCTTTTCATGGATGAGTGCTTTGGCTTTTTTCAAACCCTAAACAGTGAGCCGTGCTGCTGCCCGTCGGTGCAGCCTGCTCGTCTTCACTCCTAATGCAGGGCCGGCAGTCCCAGGGCCCAGACCTGGTTTGGAGACAGTGCTGTGTTGGGATGTATTATAATTGTTACATTGCCCCATTCCTTGGCGGTTCCCGCAGAAGCGACATGAATGGTTGCTCAGGGAGGGCGACTCCTTTTCTGGGATGTAACGCAGAGCAGCGTTGAGCCCGTGAGGACTGGGATTGTGGTCGGCTCAAGAGAAGTGAGGTGTAAACAAACAAGTTGCTCAGTTTCAAAACCCTCATCAGATTTTTAATTTTCCCACAGCTCTGAAATCCTCGCTTGATTATACATATTTATAACTCTTGAGTCACAGATTCTAAAGAAAGCTTCCAGGGTGAGGTTTTTAGATGTTAAACTTGACCGCTAGCCTTAGAGATTCATCCCTGGAGGGAGGGCGTTTCGGAGGGTCGGGCCTACAGGCTGAATGGAGAACACCAGCTCCTCTGACACCCGGAGGGGGGGTAGGTGCGCGGGGGTCTGACTGCTGACCGTTCTGTTCTGTTTTGCGCAGAGCTGAGCTCATATTCATAATTACTCGCCGATAGAAGTATAATGTGATCGAAGAGCCTTAGTGGCATCCGCATTTCCAAACACAGCAGCTTTAGGAGACAGGAACTGGGTCAGCGCTGGTGACGGCGTGTGCCCGAAAGACCGGCTAACCTTCAGAGCTTTGTCTGGGAAGGTTTTTCCAGGAGGAAAGCATGGCCATTGTTTTTCAGTTTCAATTGAGGTCATACACACACAGTCCTTAAGATTGGGATTTTAACTTTGAACTAAGTGATACCTGAAGGATAATGAGGCTCAACTAATGAGACTGCCAGGCAATCCATCAAGCCCAGGCCTACCTGACTTCAGGGGGATTAATAAAATGTGCGCTGGCACCCACTGCGTGTTAGACTCGATTAATATGCTCTTGATTAATAAAGTCGGGTAAAATGGGTAATTAGGGTGATTTCCTGCCTTCAGGTTTCTGGTAGACTTTTCCTACAGTCCACCTTTCCGTAGTTGGATCATCAGCGCCTGCACAACTTCTCATTCATCCTCTTCCGTTCTGTCCAGCATTCATCACAGAGTAGATCCCTAACGGCGGAGTGGGAATTGTGACATAAGCACTTGACAGCAATCCCTTCCCACTACTCACATTTCAGGGCTGACAGCAAACCTTCCAGGCTTTCGGGAGCTCAAGCCAGTAAGCTCATGGGAGACACTTAGCTTGACTTAACAGCACCTGCTGCCGGGGTCACCGAAGTGTTAACCGTAGTAGCTGCTTCAGTGAGATACGGATTCCTTGTTGAACAAACCAGGAGAGGAGAAGTCATGTAGGCAGGAAAAGAAACAAGTTTTCTGTTTCTAAACTAGTAAGAGGCAAAGGACAGCTGAGCAATCCACTATTTTGTTTCTCAGAACCCTAATGAAAACCCCGATTTACCCTTTTCCTTTATAATTAAGTAGTTAAGTGGTCAAGAATACATATGCTTGTCTTATTAAAATAATTACAAGCTGGAAAAAAGCTAGAATTTTTTTGGTTGAAGTTCTTGTAACATGGTATTAGAAAATATTGAGGGAAAACCCAGTCAATATCTGCCTTAACCTGTTGGTTTACTTCCTTGTAATTGCATAAGTTGCAATTTTATTCAAGCAAATACCCAACATTCTGCAGTCTGAAAACCCAGTGGCCTCCTGGGGAGTGAGTCCAGGCCCTCCATGGTGTCTTCCACGCAGGACAAGCCCCACCATCAGCCGTGTAGGGGGCTGGGGCAGTGGCTGGTGTTCAGACTAGATCATTTCAAGGTCCTTAAAAGCCCTCAGGTAATAGAAGGACATAAACTAATGGAACTAAAATAGACCCAGCGACATAGAAACATCGAACAGACCAACCTCAGCTTGCATATAAGCAGAACCCATGGACCAGATAGTAGGGGCAGGTGAGGGCATGTGTTGTGGGTGTGGGAACAGCCGGGGAGAGGTCTATGGGGTGGGGGGAAGGAGACATGTAATACTTTAAACAATACAGAATTAAACCTCAAACCCTCACATAGTAAAAGACACAACCAGAATAAGGCAAAACCCTACAAATGTTGAAAAACCCTGAAGGCAAAAAAAGAAAAAATTGAACAGCTAAATAATCTGGTTAGCAAAGGCACATTAATAGTTCTTGTATGAACTGTGTGTGTGTGTGTGTGTGTGTGTGTTTTGTTCAGACAACTATTTTATTCCTTTCTGGAAAATGAAAAATCCATTAGTTTTTTTCTTTTTGCTTTTACCCAGAAATGAAAGGTTCGTAAGGGTAATTAGCACAGCTCTTGTCAAAGCCGGTTGCCTAATGGGGACCGACACTTGCCTGGGGTGGAAAGAACGGAACATGGCTGATGAGTTCTTAGCCCCAGCTGCTTTCGCTGACATTCTTTCCCCTCCGCCCTCCTCCCATGTCTTTCCTCCTATTTTTAGAGAGACGGATGTGCCACTGTGTTTCTGATTGAGAAGGCCTGGGGGCACAGAGGTGCACGAAGGTAAATGGTGACCAGGGCAGTACAAGTTGGCAACCGCTCTCACTACACCTGGGCTCTCCCTACACATGGCCCGAGCTTGCAGCCTGAGGCCCTTTCCCTAGAGAACCATAGATGGGCGCCTCCTGAGGTCAGACAAGCCCTGTCTGCTCCACCCGCCATCTCTGCGCTGGGAAATGAGAGGGAGCCGCTCTAGTCCACTGCTAGACACTGCACGTCCTCACACATCTTTGAACTCTTTCAGTCTCGGGGCCTTATACCAACCTTACATTTTTGGCAACTAAGGTCCCAGAAGGTTAGACTCAACATGGGCTTGTCTCACTCCAAACCCCAGTACTTTTTCCTTCATCCTGTGCAGCTGAGATGCTTGGTGACTTTGTTTGAAGTACAGAATTGCAGACAAAGCTCCTCTGAATGTGACAACAATGAGATGCTGGTAGAGCTGGTGAGGAGATGGCATCTTCAGCTTTCGCTACTCATCCCACCCTCCCCAGGCCACAGCTAGACACCTTTTGGCAATTATGTTGCAGACATTTTGGGCCTTGCTACGTTAGGAGAGCCAAACCAGTGACCTGGATGTGGAACTGAAGAGTGGACCTAAAAGAAAATGCAAGTGGGAAGAGCAAGGGAATTAGAACCACAGGACCTGCCTCTGAATCCCGGCCCCCCCGACTGTGACATGAGGCCAGTCAGCCTCTCTGAGCACAGCTCTGCTCACGCATGAAATGAGAGGCGCCCAGCCACACCTTGCTCAGCTCAGCAGTTTGGTGAGGCACCAATGGGGTAGGTGCAGCTGTCATTACTGCCCCATTGGGGGCATTTGGAAAACGTGTGGGGAAGCTTTTGGTTATCTCAGTAACTGAAGATTGCTACTGGCATCGAGTGGGTGGGGGTGGGAGGTGGGATGTGGGTCTTCCAGCAGGTTATAGGACAATTCCACGCAATGGAGAATTGTCCCACGTCCATGTGACCTGATCGCCATGCTGGGCAGTCAATGGATGAAAACCTGTTCTAAATTATCCTAGCCTGAAATGGAATTCTGTTTTACATGGAAAGTAAAAGTATTTCCCCCAGTTTTGATGTTCCCTGGATCTTTCAAGCATGCAACTACCCTGTAAAAGAAAAGAACAGATGTTGTTTGTTCAGAAGGTCACTGACAGGGGAAGTCCCAATACAAAGGGCAATGCTGCTCGTGGTATTAGAGCTGACAATCACTCCACACCCAGGCCGGGCTGCCTGTCAAGTTCACGGTGAGCCAGTGTCGAAGGACAAGCATCTCACAGTGTCAGTGTGCCGTCGGTATAGTCACATCCAGACAGAGACCAGAATCCCGAGACACATGTCTTTTTATTGGAAACGCTGCTTTTGTTTCTTACGAAATATCACATTTGGGGTATGCTGTCAGTGCGGTAGCAAGCACACAGGTAGGCGGGCCATCAGCCCTGGCTGTCATTTAAGGACAATGAAGGAAGCAAAACAAATGTGCTACCGAGAAGGCGACGGGGCTGAGAAGCAGGCTGTGAGGCCTCAGGGAAGGTGCTGAGAGCAGCGGAGCCCTCCTCAGAGGTCAGAGGGAGAGGCTCTCTGTTCTGCGTGTGCCGCACCACCCAGGCCCCGGACTCGTTGTTGTATTTTGTCACTGAATAATTAGCCTAAAATAATAACTAGCCACTGTATCTCCTAACAGCATTCTACTTCCTCTAAGCATGCTTAAAAAAATGAAATCCCTGATAACCTTTCCCCGCAAGGAGAGGCACAAAACCTGAAGAGTGAAAGTCTGCTTTGCACCCAGACAGCCTCAGTCATGTCGCGTGGAAATCGACTCAATGACCTCTCACCCCCGCTGATAAAACATATTGGAAAACTGAGGTTGCAGATACGGCTAGACAATACTGAACTGGACATTAGAAATCACGAGACTCTCCGTGTCCCAAGGTCTGCGGACTTAATATGTGCCTTTGAACAAACAAGGAAGTTCATTAATTTGAGAAACAAGTTTGTGGCCATCATCAACACTATTGTGCCACCTTCTTTACCGTTATTCGTTTAAATTCTGCATTTCTAGCTTTAGAACAGGATGATGAGTCTGAAGTATGACAATTAAAAAAAACAACCAAGTATGACCGTTTCTTTTCACTGTCCTTCGCCACTTAAAACAGGACATAGGAACGTGTTGAGGAGGTGGGCATACTGGTGCAGCTACATCAAAGCGGGCAGGAGGGCAGACGCTGAGATCTGGAACAGTCTTCCAGCTTCTCCCAGGAGATGGTGTGCCACGGCGGGGGGAGCGGGACACAGGTCGCTGTTAAGGCTGAAGGGATTTACCGGTAACAAAACCGAGGTCCGCGGCTCTCTTGGGCGTGTGTGCGGCACACTATGCGGGGTCCTGCCTGGCTCGTTTGGAATTCTGCGGGTTCCCGGGCAGCGAGTCCCTCCGCACTGCAAGGCTCCTGAGGGAGTGCAGGCTCTGTACCTGCTGGAGGCGCAGGCTCAGCTCCTGCTCGCAGGCCTGCTGCACAGCTTCCGTCTTCTTCACGTCCCAGTGCAGAGCCACAGCCAGGGCCTGGGGGTCCTCCTTGGTGACCAGCTGCGGCAAGAACAAGAGCCACTGAGAGCCACGCCCTCTGCCCCGTCCTGCTGCTCCCACGGCTGCTTTAGGGGTCAGGTGGGCGATTCGGGTTGGTCATGTCCCTGCGGGAATGCCAGGTCTCCTCTCAGTCAGCTGTCCCGGGCCTTCTCTTCCCACAACACCAACAGGAAGGCTCTTTGGAAAGCGTACTTGGAGCAACTACAAAAATCCCCCACTCACAGGAAATGTAGCCACGTTCAAGCCAATCCCGCTTCCTCCCCTCCGGCTCCAAGGCGGAGGTAGCGGGACAGGGACAAAGGTGAGAGTGAGCAGCAGCCCCCGTGATGGTTCTCCTCGTCCAGCTTCCAGTTCCCTGCTGTCCCCCATCCGGCTTCCTCACCTCACTGCCCACCTTGGGTCAGAAAGTCATGTTTGATGACCTGTGGGAGGGCGTCCATTTTGTGCAAGCCATTCTGATTTGGATTACATGCGATGTTTGCAAAAGCCCTGGCATATAATAGGCAAACAGGCAGCTAAGACTGTCTGCAGAGGTGAAAAACATCCCCACAAGCCTCTGCAGGGCTACACTACACCTCCAGGGGGAGCCGTGCCCTGCGGTTCAGGCTCCCAGCTTCTCGCCCACCTCCAAATCCTGGCTAGACAAGCTCAGCTCGGGAGCAGGCTTCTCCTTCAGCGTGGTGAGGACCTGGCTCGAAAGGGCAGTTTCAGAGGAGCACTCTCTGCTCAGACCCGTGTCCACGGCATCCCCCTCGTCACCGAAGCCAGTGTGGGACCCTGCAAAGCAGATGTGAGATGGAGATCAGCACTGTGCGTGAGCGCAGCCCACGAACCCCAGCCAGAGGAATCAGGGCAGGAAGGAAACGTTTCACGATGCCAGCTCCCACGGGCTCCCTGCGGGGGCTGCCACAATCGGTTCTCTCTCCAGGAAAGGCCCCGGCACCCAGCTCCCGGCGTAACTCCCCCGCGGTGATCCCACCTGGCTGCCTGGACAGGATGATGCCCTCCTTCTCCAGAGCCTGGAGGTAGAGCTCCAGGAGCTGCTTGGACTGGCGGGCCTCCTCCCGCTGGTCCAGCACCTGCTGGAGGGTGTTCTGCAGCCCCTGGACCGTGACGCAGCTTTGGCCCAGCTCCTGAGCCAGGTCTGCACAGGGAACGTCGATGAGCACCTAACAGACAAACACAGACTCTAAGAAACCTACAAGCACTTCCTTTCTTTTTAAAAAGAATAGTTGATTGCTTTTTTAGAGAGAGAGGGAGGGAGGGGAGAGGGAGAGAGAAACATTGATGTGAGAATGCAACATTGATCAGCTGCCTCCTGCATGCCCTCCCCCAGGGATCCAGCCTGCCACCGAGGCATGCACCCTGGCTGGGAATCGAACTGGCAAGCCTTTGGTGCAAAAGACGATGCCAACTGAATCACACCGGACGGGGCTACAAGTGCTTCCTAAGCATGCTCTTAGCTCTCTCAAATTCATCAGTTTCACAGACTCTTTTAATCTGTTTTCCAAAGTTACCTAATGGCTGCTTAGGGGTCAAGAGAGAAGCATGCAATGTTTGCAGTTTTCCTCTGGTGAAAAAACTCAGAAAATGACACCCTAATGCCTCATGAAAAAAGAAATAAAATCCTGATATTAAAAAACCCAATTGTACAGAATATAAAGGAGGTATATGATTATTTACATAATGAATCGATCTCGGGTTGTTTTAAGCAAAACTTTTTCTAATCATTTAAACCTTAAACATGTTCATGGCTTTAAAAGACTATTTTAGCCCTAGCTGGTTTGGCTCAGTGGATAGAGCGTAGGACTGGGGACTGAAAGGTCCCAGGTTCGATTCTGGTCAAGGGCAAATGCCCGAGTTATGGGCTGGACCCCCAGTAGGGGGCGTGCAGGAGGCAGCTGATCAATGGTTTTTTTTCTTTTTTAATATATTTTATTGATATTTTACAGAGAGGAGCAAGGGAGAGAGATAGAGAGCTAGAAACATCGATGAGAGAGAAACATCGACCAGCTGCCTCTTGCACATCCCCAGTAGGGGATGTGCCCGCAACCAAGGTACATGCCCTTGACCGGAATTGAACCTGGGACCTTTCAGTCCGCAGACTGACGCTCTATCCACTGAGCCAAACCGGTTTCGGCGATCAGTGGTTCTTTTTCATCATTGATTTTTCCATCTATCTTTTCCTCTTCCTTCCTCTTTGAAATCAATAAAAATATTAAAAAACAACAACAACCACAAAAAAACCAAACTCAAGCTTGCTCCTGCCTTCCACCTGCCCGGAACACTCTGGCCCCAGCTTTCCCGGCGGCTCCACCCTGTCCTTCAGCTCTCATTTAGTCCTCAGTTCCTGGAAACCTGCCAGCGTTTACCAACTATGCTTCTACGTTCGTGCGTGGGAACGTGCAAAATGTGGCTGGTGTGAGTTTTTGGCAGCATTGTCTGATAACGACCGGAACGTCCAACAGTGGGAGACTCGTTAAACAAATCACGGTACATGCGTGACACACAATACTGCAGTGGTAAAAAGAACATGGTGCCTTTTATATGCTGATCTGGATACTCTCCAAATAGTCTTTAAAAACAGTAGATATGCTTCTGTTTGTGTAACATAGGGGAGGAGGAGAAAATGCATCTATTTGTTGTGGGGAGCGGCTCAGGGTCAGGTCTCGGATACAGCCGCTCCCTACAATCTGTATGTGAAACGCCTCTGGGATCGGAGGAAGCTGACAGGCTGGCTGTCTCCAGGAAGCGAAGTCTGGGTCACAGAGGCAGAAGCCACACTGTCTGGTGTACACCCCTCTCCCCACAGCAGTTTTACCGAGAGATCATTGCACACCATACAATTCACCCTCTATTGTATAATTCAGTGGGGTTTGGAATAGTCACAGGATTCTGCAATCATCAGCACAGTCATTTTAGAACATTTTCATTCCCCCCAAAAAGGAACCCCATACCTGTTAGGGGTCACTCCCTATTTCTCCTCAAAGATCCCTACCAACCCCAGCCCTAGGCAACCACTAACCTACTTTCTGTCGCTACAGGTTTGTGTATCCTTTTTCTTTATAATTGCTATCATAAAATACGTGGCCTCTCATGGCTGGCTTCTTTCCCTTAGCAGAGTTTCCAGGATTTATCTGCGTTGCGGTGTGTATTGACAACACTCCTTCTCATGGCTGAAGAACGCTCCATCCGGTGGGAATGTCACGTAATTACTTGTTCATCAGCTGGAGGACATGGGCTCTTGTCCCTTTTTAGCCACCTGGATATCCATCTATACCTCGGGTCTTTAAACATGTGAACGTATTATTTATTCAAAATAAACATATACGTTTACAAATTAACCAAGGGTCACCTCCTGGAAGGCAGCCTTCCTTGACCTCCCAATCTAGAGTCACCCCCTCATTCTCAGCACGTCACCCCGTACCATTCATTTCTTGTTTTGTCTGCCTCCCTTCCCCAGAATTCAAGTTCCGTTAGAACAGCGACCGTGGCTGCCTTGCTCACTACTGGACGCCAGCATACAGAGGCATGCCAGACCCTGGGCAGGGGCTCAATCAACAGTTTTCTGAATTCACACACACAATTTTATCTCAACTTTCCTGGAGGTAATGCCGGCAGAGAAGCTAAGTTACTGGCTCCAAGTCAGTGACGGAGTTGTTTTAACCGAGCTTTTGCACCTCTACATTCTGTAGCAGAACATCCTAGGCCCCAGAGTGGGCCTAATAGGTCTGGGTGGGGCCTGAGCATCGGTATTTTTAAAAAGTTCCACAGGCAATTCTGATGCAGGGTGAGGGTTGAAAAATTCCTATTCTAGGTGAGCAAGTTAGAAAATGAAGAATCTTGGTTGTCATTTAAGAAATATTTAAAAATTAATAAATAAGCCCAGCCCTAGCTGGTTTGGCTCAGTGGATAGAGTATCGGCCTGCAGACTGAAAAATCTCAGGTTCGATTCCAGTCAAGGGCACAGGCCTGAGTTTTGGGCTTGATCTCCAATACAGGGCGTGCAGGAGGCAGCCTATCAATAATTCTTTCTCATCACTGATATTTCTCTCTCTCTCTCCCTCTCTCTCTCCCTTCTTCTCTGAAATCTATAAAAATATATTTAAATAGCCGAAACCGGTTTGGCTCAGTGGATAGAGCCTCGGCCTGCGGACTGAAAGGTCCTGGGTTCGATTCCGGTCAAGGGCACGTACCTCGGTTGCGGGCACATCCCCAGTGGGAGGGTGTACATGAGGCAGCGGTCGATGTTTCTCTCTCATCGACGTTTCTAATTCTCTATCCCTCTCAATTCCTCTCTGTGTAAAATCAATAAAATATATTTAATAAATAAATAAATAAATGTTGTTTTTATACATACATATATATATATTTAAATAAATAAATAAGCCCAGCTGGTGTGGCTCAGTGGCTGAGCATCGACCCATGAACCAAGAGGTCACCAGTTCAATTCCCGGCCAGGGCACATGCCTGGGATGCAGCTCAATCCCCAGCAGGGGGCGTGCAGGAGGCAGCCGATCAGTGATGTTTCTAATCGATGTTTCTGAATCTCTTCCCCTCTTCCTTTCTCCCTCATTAATAAATAATAAAAGTATTATGGCAAGACCCATGGAAACTAAGAGATTGCTGTGGGCAGCAGAGGCCAGACGCATGGCAGTGAGCTTGGAGGAGGCTTACCTGGAGGTCCTCCTCTGACAGGAGGACGATGCTGGCCAGGTCTTCTTTCAGCCGCCTGGCCACATTCTTCCACTTCAGCTCTGCCCCGCTGTCCGTCTCATCTACCTCCACGGACTCCTGGGAAATCCAAGCGGTACCTCCGTCTGCCATGTGGGGGGAAAGGCCAGTCAGTCAGATGACAGAGTGATGTTTCACCCTGCCCCCCAGCATGCCCTCCAGCACGTCTGCCCGTCCTTCTGACTGACCATCTGCAATAATAACATTGTAATATGCTAATTAGACCTGAAGACCTTCTGGGTGAAGCGGAAGCTGTGAGGGCCGAGGCAGAGGTAGCAGTGGTGGTGGGATGGGGATGGGGATGGGGATGGGGTGGTGGTGGGGCCAAGTCCCTTGCACAAATTTTGTGCATTGGATCTCTAGTTTAGAATAATTTCAATGCAGAAGAAAGCACCTTTCCTCAAGGTTATGGGAAAGCCAATCTCCAACTAATTTTCCCTTTTCTTCCATATTTAAAAATTTTTTAAATTGATTTCAGAGAGGAAGGGAGAGGGTGAGAGAGAGAGAAACATCAATGATGAGAGAAAGTCATTGACTGACTACCTCCTGCATGCCCCCTTCTGAGGATCGAGCCTGAAACCCAGGCATGAGCTCTGACTGGGAACTGAACTAGTGACCTCTTGGTCAAGGGTAGATGCTCAACCACAGAGCCGTACGGGCCAGGCTTCACTTTATTTCTGCCCTTTATTTTTTTATGGAAAGTAGCTACTTACATTCCCAAATGTGCTCACGCACACTCAGGATCCTACCACACTTCCCGTTAGGTTCGTTTAGTGTCTCTGAGTACACGAGACATTCATTCTCCCTGTGCTTGTGGACTGGTCTTGCCCTGATCGGAGGAGCTGTGGGTACTGCTGTCCCTGGGGGACAAAGTTGGCTGGTAGAGCCATTGCGGAAGGTTAGTTCCTCAATGCAGTTGCCTGAGGACTTTCCTTAAGGCGCTTCTCTAGCTCTTTGATCCTTGCTCATCCATGTTATCGGGTCTAGTCATAATTAATGTCGTTTTTAACATTCGTTTAAAATCTTGCTTGGCGTTGACTTGTATTGACATAACCTTCAAACACGTGGTATCTACAGAACGTGTGAAGTGCAATTAACAAGTTTTGCTTGAAAAAGTTTGTGTTTGGTTTGGTTTTTGTTGCAAAACTAGGGCTAAGAAGATGGCGGATGAAGAGCATATTCGGCACTGCATGCTTTACGAGTTCCAATTAGGAAGAAAAGCAAGTGAGGCTGCAAAAAACATCTGTAGTGCTCTTGGTCAAGATGCAGTTAGTGCCAGAAAATGCCAGCGTTGGTTTGAGAAATTTCGCGAGGGAAATTTTTCGTTAGATGACAAGAGTGGTCGAGGCCGTGTGTCCAATTTTGATCAAGAAGCTCTTCAAGCTCTTTTGGTGCAAAATCCTCAAATTACCCAACAAGAGCTTGCGACAACTTTAAATTGTTCACAGAAAACAATTTCCAATCAATTGCGTGCACTTGGCAAAGTCCAAAAGTTTGGAAAATGGGTTCCTCATGAGTTGACCGACAACGACAACAACCGTAATCAAAGAGTCACAATTTGCAGTTCGCTCCTCTCTCGTCAAAACCGTTTGCCGTTTTTAGAGCAAATTGTTACCGGAGATGAAAAATGTGTGCTGTATGTTAATTTGAAAAGGCGGCCTCAATGGTTGGACAAAAATGAGGCTCCGCAGCCCACGCCAAAACCTGACTTGCATGCGAAAAAAGTGATGTTGTGTGTTTGGTGGAATTTTAAAGGAATTCTTCATTATGAACTTTTACCATCTAACCAAACCATTACAAGTGCAGTGTATAGTGCCCAATTGGAAAGGTTAGCCCAAGCTTTAAGAGAAAAGAACCCGCACTGATTAATCGGAAGGGCGTAATTCTTCACCACGATAACGCACGACCGCATACTGCAAGAATCACTGCTGAAAAACTGCGCCAGTTGGAATGGGAAGTTCTCCCTCAACCTGCATATTCTCCTGATATCGCCCCTTCCGATTACCATTTGTTTCGTTCTTTGCAAAACTTTCTTCTTGGAAAAAAATTTAATAATGAAGAATGCCTCAAAAATGCATTGACCTAATTTTTTGCATCAAAATCACAAGAATTTTACAACAGAGGGATTAAAATGCTTCCTGAGCGTTGGGCACAAGTAGTAGAAAACAACGGCAACTATATTGTTGATTAAATTTTGTTGTATTGTTTAAATAAATTCCATTTAAAAAGTATTAGAAAACAATATTAATTATTACTAGACCTAATAGTTCCCTTTGCGTCACCACAGGTAACGTTTATGGAGCCCTTCCTGTGTGACAGGTAAGATCTAACAGCTTGCCGAAACCGGTTTGGCTCAGTGGATAGAGCGTCGGCCTGCGGACTGAAAGGTCCCAGGTTGGATTCCGGTCAAGGGCATGTACCTTGGTTGCGGGCACATCCCCGCAGGAGGCAGCTGATCCATGTTTTTTCTCTCATCGATGTTTCTAACTCTGTATCCCTCTCTTTTTCTCTCTGAAAAAAAAAAAAAAAAGATCTAACAGGTTTCTGTCAGAGGGTATCAACTGGTAGTGATTTTGCTCCCCAGGAGACATTTTTGATGGTCATGACCGGGGTGAGGAGGTGCTGCTGGCATATAGAGGGCAGACTTTCTACAACGCACAGGACAGCCCCACAACAAAGAATTCTCCAGCCCAAAGGTCAGTAGTAGGATTGAGAAACCCTGGTTTGACATGTCCTGTGTCCTATTCTCCTTAAAACAATTCTAGGAGACAGGCACCATAATTATCACCTCAATTAGGTGCGGGGGAGTTAGGTAATTTGGCCAAGGTCACACGGCTAATGAAGGGCAGAGCCTGGATTCAGATGGGGCGGCCTGACTTCCTTTGGCGCCGGCCGCTCTGCCACACTGCATTTCAGTGGCTGCTGGTCTGTGAGTCACTTGAGAATGGGCCCATCTTCACCCCCAGACTCAGCACCATATGCGGCATTCCTAGACCGCCAGACAAGCAGTAGCCAGGAGCCTGGGCATGAACATGAATCAGGATGGGAACTGAGCTGCACAGATCACCTGCACACGGCCAGCATTTCTCACCTGAGTTGTTGTACGCCCACTTCTCATTACCAGCCAAGGCCACAAACTTCGTATTGGAAGGCAGACACAGGAAGTAATCGCCGTCATCCACGATGGTGCCGTCCTCTGCCAGGACCAAGGTGACGGGTGCCAGGGACTTATCAATGGCCAGGACGTCATAGGCTGAAAGGAAACATTTGGTGATTAACATAAGGAAATGACATGTATCCTTTCATTCTCCAATTGTATGCCCCTAGGGCCTAGCAGCATTCCTGGTAGGTAATGATAATTACGATAACTACAGCTTCAGTAGCACGGATACAGCATTTCGTGTGCCGGGGACGGTTCTAAGTGCTTGGCATCTCATGACAATCCTAGAAGGTAGATACTATTGTCACTGCCATTCTACAGACATCAAACCCAAGGCTCGGAGCCCTTGCCGGTTTGGCTCAGTGGATAGAGTGTCAGTCTGTGGACTCAAGGGTCCCAGGTTCGATTCCAGTCAAGGGCATGTACCTTGGTTCAGGCGCATCCCCAGTGGGGGGTGTGCAGGAGGCAGCTGATGGATGTTTCTAATGTTCTATCCCTCTCCCTTCCTCTCTGTAAAAAATCAATAAAATATATTTAAAAAACAAAAACAAGAAACAAAAACCCAAGGCTCGGAGAAGTTAAGCAACTTGTCCAAGACCACACATTAAATGTCAGAACTGGCATTTACACCGGCAGAACCTGGCTCAACTCCTTGTAAACAAGCAGTCTTTCATTCATTTACACAGTGATCATCTTAAATTCTTGCGTGTCAAATGTAAAAAAGTAAAAGTTATGCTTTTTGTTCTCTGTAGAATCTTCCTTTGCAGCGTTTTTAACCTGTGGAAGAGTATAAAGCAGCAGGAACTTGTATCAGTAGCCTAAGATGCTAATGAACTCGAGTAAGACAAAAAGTAGCCAAGACTATAAATATCCTCAAGGCAATGCTGTCTCCCTCCCCAGTGGAGGGGACGCTCCCGAGAACACAGCACTTACTGGGCCTCTGTGCCAACTGCCACCAGGCAGTGAAAGGCCCCGAGCTTTACCCTAACGCCAAAAGTAAATACATACATGTGAAGACATATGGCAAAAGCCACGCCACTAAAGCATGTATACTACCGTGGCCGCTCCTGGGGCCTGCCTTCTCTGGGGCTGGATGACCACCGGGTGGGATGGGGGTGAGGAAGCACTGAACCCCGCACACACGGGGACTACATGCCTGGGACCACTCAGACATTTAGCTGCTAGAATTTCTTTAAACCATTTATTCCTACGGACTAATAAGGCTTGTACGTTATTTGCATGTATCCTCTGAGAGTCCTGACAATGCCGGGAAGCAGGGCTGGAATATTATATCCACTGCCAACGAGAAAGCCGAGGGTACAGAGATGGTGGGTTCGTGCAAGATCAAACAGCTAGTAACACCATGGGGCCGGGCTCAGGGCTTCTGTCAACTCATCACAACCTGCGGCTTCTGTCTGGGGCCCAGAACGATGGTAGCGAGCAGCTCCCTCTTATCGCACAGGTGCCAGCCAGAGCCAGGGCGGAACCCGCAGCCCCGCCCTGGGCTCACCTTGGAGAGCCCAGTGAACGAGGCTGGGATCGGTCCAAAATCCAAGTGATTTTAGGCACGGTACCTAAATCGGGTCTGTTTTAACTTGCACAAAGCTTCCCGTCCACCTTTCCACCACCATGAGTTTCGCCCGGGGTAAGTTCAAGCGCTTGTAAACGCTTCAAAACTTTTTTTTTTTTTAATATACTTTATTGATTTTGTACAGAGAGGAAGGGAGAGAGATAGAGTTAGAAACATCGATAGAGTGAGTCATCGATCAGCTGCCTCTTGCACACCCTCCACTGGGGATGTGCCCGCAACCAATGTACATGCCCTTGACCGGAATCGAACCCGGGACTTTCCGTCCCCAAGCCGACGCTCTATCCATTGAGCCAAACCGGTTTCGGCAAACGCTTCGAAACTTGTAAATCGTTGTTTCCACGGGAGTCACTGCGGTCTCCAGGCTCCTCCGAGAGCTTCAAGAACCCCAAGTCGCCTCTCCACCCCGCCTGGCCCCCGCCGCCATCCTCCCCGACCCCGGGTTCCCTCAGCCCGGCCCCCCAGGCCTCGCCCCCCGGTCCCCGGTCCCCGGCCCCCGGTCCCCCGGCCCCCGGTCCCCGGTCCCCCGGCCCCCGGTCCCCCGGCCCCCGGTCCCCCGGTCCCCGGTCCCCGCCCACCTTTGCTCCGCAGATCCTCGAGGCAGGAGGCCGCCACGCCGTACTGCTCGCGGCTGTGGTTGCGGCGCAGCAGACACGGCTTCAGAGCCTGATTATCGCCGGGCTCCGGGCCACCGGCGCCCCAAGACTCCTCCATCCTCGGCCGGAGCGGGACCTGATAGACTCCGGGAAGTCGCTGAGGCTCGTTACCGGCGTCCTCCACCTACTCCCCTGGCATGCCGGGAGTTGTAGTTCTTTCTGTAGCAAACCACGCACGGGCCCAAAGGGACGCCGGGAGATGTAGTTCTCATGGATGCTAATCGCGTGCGGCGCCCGGGCCATGCCGGGAGCTGTAGTACCTGGGTGCAAAGCCCACTCGGTTACGTCTCCCAATTCGACCTGGGAAGAGTGTTTTCCTGCCTTATAGTATTTAGTAGTAGCAATCGCGCGATCCAGAAGAGGTCAGCAGGGGTTTGTTTTGCATTATGGACGATACGCACGCATACTCCCTTGAATTGTTAGAGCACGTCTATTTGCATGTATACATGTATAATATGAATTCTTTGAGTCTGTCATTGCCCTGTGTTAATTTGTTCTCCCTTTCTAACCCGAAGAGTTCTAGAAGATGCCCCATCTTTCAGGCTGATCTGAAGGAAGTAAAATTTAAAAGTTGATGAGGCAAAAAAATAAAATTGATGAGGCAGTTTCAGTTTTGCTGAAAAACATAACAGAGAAGCATAAGATAATCACATATTTCTGTTCAGCTCACTACTTCAGCTGTGCAAGTTGGGTTGGACTCATAACAAAAAGTAAACAGGTAAATATTAAGGTCTAAATGAAATCAGACAGGAAAGTGGAAATACCAGCCACAGCACTGAGATTGTCCAGATGCTGCTTGACAATATATTTGTCCTGGTTCTAATCCTGCTATTTACGGAAGTCTGTGTGTTTCCCCCACGAAAACATAATCTTTAAGATGGAAATAATAAAGATTTATCAAAAACTGTTCCTTGCTTAAAAGGGGTCCTTTTAGCCTGGGCTGGTGTTTCTCAGTGGTTAGAACGTTGGCCTGTGCACCAAAGGGTCATGGATTCCATTCCCGAAACAGGGCATGTACCTAGGTTGCATTCAATTTCTGGCACCAGTGGGCAAGCTGGAGGTAACCAATGATGTGTCTCTCTCACAGTGATGTTTTTCTCCCCCCCCCCTCTCGTTCCCCCTCTCCCTCCCTTCCACTCTCTAGAAAAGATCAATAGAAAAAAAAGTGAGGATTAACAACTATTATACAACAACAAAGGGGTCCTTTTATGTAAACAAGAAGTACTTATTAGCTCATTTATTCAGGGTCAGTCTCATATTTTGTTTACGAAAGGAAAATGAAATATTATCTAATAAGGTTAGCTATTTAAAAGTGTTTGTTAGAAGGAACTGTTGATTGAGACTACACTTTAAAAAAAACCCTCACCTGAGGATGTTTTCATTGATTTTTTCAGAGAGGAAAAGAGAAGAGAGAAGAGAGAAGAGAGAAGAGAGAAGAGAGGAGAGGGGGGAGAGAGAGAGAGAGAGAGGCTCATATCTATCGGTTGCCTCCCATAGGCACCTGGACCGGGATCAAACCTGAAAACCAGGAATGTGCCCTGACTGAATCAAAAACTCAACCTTTTAGTGTACGGGATGACGAGGCAACGCATTGGAGTATGTCACGACACATAAAGCACAGCTACATGAACTGATAATTCCAATGTCTGCCACCATTTCAGGTAAATTTTACATTTACACTCTCCTCTCCAAGAAGCCTAATAGATGTCCTAATAGATCTGCACAATGTCATCAGACTCGCACCTCCAAGATGCTGTAATGTGTGTGTGTGTGTGTGTGTGTGTGTGTGCGCGCGCGCGCGCATGCTTGGCCTGTACTTTGGAGTAGGGGTTGAGTCTTGGATCTTTTTATTTCTAGTGCCTACCAAAGTGCCTGGCAAAAGCAGGCACTCAACAAATGGCACTGAACTGACCCATTAATTTCCAAGTTTCTTCTCATTCATTCATTTATTAAATACTTAGCGAGACCCTACATGAGTCCAATGCCCTTGTGGGGATGGGCAGAGGTTTAGTTCAATAAGAATAATACTTACATACACCCATATATATGCAGATATATGAATATGTATACGTGAATGCAAAAAGGACAGACGTCGGCCGGAACCAGTTTGGGTCAGTGGATGGAGCGTCGGTCTGCGGACTGGAAGGTCCTGGGTTCGATTCCGGTCAGGGGCATGTACGTTGGTTGCAGGCACATCCCCAGTAGGGGCTGTGCAGGAGGCAGCTGATCGATGTTCCTCTCCCATCGATGTTTCTAGCTCTCTATCCCTCTCCCTTCCTCTCTGTAATAAATCAATAAAATATATTTAAAAAAAATCTTAAAAAAAAAAAAAAAAAGGACAGACGTCGGCTCTTTCTGGAAAGCAGAAACCTGACGAAAATTGTGCGAGGTGATTCGACGTGGGAGCTTCCCCCTCCTCCCCGGGTGGCCACCATCGATAAGCTCGGTTCGGCTGCTTTGGTCTGGGCGGGAGAGCGAGAGCGAGGGCGCCTGGGAGAAGCCTCGCCCCGCGGCGATCGATTAGTCAGGCCTCAGCAAGATGGCGTCCTCGGAGCAGGCAGAGCAGCCGAGCCAGGTGAGGGGAGTGGGGCTGCCCGGCCGTGGTGTCGGGGGCCCCGCTGGAGGGGGGCGCTCTGGGTGCGGCTGGGAGTCGGGTGGGGACCCCGCGCTTCGGAAACCGGGGGGCAGACCTCGCTGGCCCCCTCCTCCCCGCCCTCCCGGGTCCTCGCCGCCGGCCCCTACCCCGTGACCCCTCTGTGACCACCATCCCGAGCCGGGCTCGGGGCCCGCAGGTGCCCCCCCGCCTGCCGGCCCCGGGGTCTCGCTTGCGCTGGGCGGGCCGGTGGCGGCCCCCGGGCGGCCCCGGCCTCGGGCGGGGGACTCCCGCCGGAGGAGGGAGAGGCGCGGGGTCCCGGCTGGTCCCGGGGGAGCCGCCCGCCGCCCTCAGGGCCCGCACCCCGCCCCCGCCTCCGGGCGGCCCGCGGCCGCCGCTTCGTCGTAGCCGCCTTTGCGCTCCGCTCGCCAGTTGGGGGGGTCGGACCCGGTCGGTGCGTTGGTGGGAAGGGGGTGACGCCATGTCAACAACAGACGCCGCCGCGCTTCCCGGAGTTTTGGTTTCTCCACCCAGAGCTCCGGGCTGGCTGTTCGGCCAAGGGTCCGGCCACACGGCCCCCGGGAGGGGACCCCGAGGGCCAGCGCCCATGCCGGGGTCGCTGTCATGAGAACCCTATGAAGTTCAGGCCGTTCGCCACCATCTTGCAGAAGGGGAGCCTCAGGGTCAGTAACGGGACCTTGTCGCCTGCCTGATGGAGCCTGGACACAGCCCGGCGTGAGTGTGGTTGGAATTAGAGGAAGAAGGAAACGGTTTCAGCCCGGAACTCACTCCTCTCTCACCTCCAAACACCTGTGGACTCCCCTGCAGCCTGCTGGTATCCCGCTCCTTCCTAGGCAGAACGACACCCCTGAGTTTCTTAGTTTTATTCTTCGCCAGAAGTTGACGATAGGAGTTGCACCTAAAGGAGTTGAGGGTTCCCCGTCCCGCTCCCGTGAGAGGAGTGAGTGGTCAGAGAGATGTCGGGATGGTAAAACATGGGAAGTAAGGAAGGCTGGTTCTGGTTTTCTCACGGTCAGAATTCTGGAAGTGTGAGGCGTGTCCTGAGAGACGGGCCCTCCTTACCTTCCCCCATCCAGCTCACTGAACTGCCCAGGCTCCCCGGAACCTGGGCTTCTCGGAACTGTTACATGTTAGGGGTGCCCCCAGGCTGGCATGGAAGGGTACCTTCAGCCCTGAACATCTGTTTCCGAGAGCTGTGAACATGACTGAAATTCCTTTTTATTTTAAATATATTTTATTGATTTTTTACAGAGAGGAAGGGAGGGAGATAGAGAGTTAGAAACATCGATGAGAGAGATACATCGACCAGCTGCCTCCTGCACTCTCCCTACTGGGGATGTGCCCGCAACCAAGGTACATGCCCTTGACCGGAATCGAGCCCGGACCCTTCAGTCCGCAGGCTGACGCTCTATCCACTGAGCCAACCCGGTTTCGGCGTGACTGAAGCTCTTGCCACGTGGAGCCGTTGTGGGGCCCCGGGTTTCCTGGGTTCGGAAATTGCCCCTCTGTCCGCGTGGGAGGGCGCTAAGGTCCTGTGAGGGCACGTGGCCCGGCTTGTTTGGTTTTCAGCTCTGCTTCTCCTTTGCCCTCTTTTCCAAAGTCGCTAGAGTTGGGGTTGCATCAGAATGTGCTGGCAGCCTGGAGAGAAACTTGAACTCTTCGTGCCAAATTCTCTCACCAACAATAAGCTGCAAAAGCACACTTTTTAAGCGAACCAACCTTTTTTTTTTTTTTAAATCATTTATTTGATTAGAGAGAGGAAGAGAGAAGAGAGAAACCTCGATGTGAGAGCATACCACCTGGCAGTTGCCTCCTTCATGACCTGGGGCCAAGCCTTCACTCTGGGCAAAAGCCCTGATCGGAACCAAACCAGCAAGTCTTTGGTGCCCGGGACACGCCCAGTGAGTGACCAGGCTGCAGGCGCCATTTCGTTTTTAAGTCCTGATCAACCTGTTTTCTTTTTCTCTAGTCAAAGCAGTGCGATTGAAAGAACGTGTGGAGTCCCCCAGACTGCTCTGTCCTCGGACTGCTCTGTCCACCGGCAGAGGGGCATTACCCCTGTGGGCGGAGCCAGTGTTTTGTCTCCTAGAAAGTTGGTTACTTGTCTTTGTGGAATCAGCATCTCATTTAGAAAGAAGAGGAGTGAAGGACCAACTATTTCTTCCTGAACAGGCAGTGGAGAGCAGCGGTTAAAAGTGTGAGCTCTGAAGCCGTCCGCACTGGCTTAGAATCTTAGCTCCACAATTAGCAGCTGGGTGACCTCAGATAATTTACTTAATTTTTCCGGCCTTAGATCCTCCATCTGTAAAATGGGAATGAACTAGTGCCTATGGCATGGGTTGTCCTTGAGGATTAAGTAAGTTATTTTATAACACTGCCTGACCTAGTTTCTTATCTATTATTTTCCATTCAATAAACTGCATTTTCATTCACAAGTGATCTAAAGTTTTCCTCAAGCCCTATTATGTCTTTTAGGGTGTGATTTTATTTTTATTTAATATATATTTTATTGATTTTTTACAG